TGTCCTGCATGCGCAGTAGAGGACGCAATGATGTCACAGGCCAACGGGCTTCATGTTTACGGAAGTAAACATGGATGTAGTGCTGGAGCGCATATAGCGATCTTTCCAAACCTTAAAACCTCAATCTTTGATGGCTAAAAAGAATACTGCTCTCCGCCTCATCGTCGGCCATGGTGTTTGTTTTCTTGCAGCTTCTGTGTAGCAAGACGCAGAATAGCGACTTATGTCAGTTACTAATGGTGTTCAGGTCAGATGAATGCGACCTGGCCGTTCAGACACAGTTCGCATTTGAAAAGATCAGATTTGTATCGTCACCAGAACCACAGAGACCAAGCGGCCTGGGTCGCATTGGAAAAAAACGGATCTGTGTTGTTCAGACAGCCATGAAACGACCAGATCCAGGTCGCATGTGGGCAAAAGAATCGGATTTGGGTTGCTCCGGGCTGCGGTGTGAACGTAGCCGAATGGCATTCAGTAACAGGTGGGTGAAGCTGTTTTACAGCAGTATCATCCAGCTGATACCAGGAAACCGCAGCATATGATCCTGCATCAAGATTTGCAAAATGGTCTAAACACACAACTAACAAAAAACTTTTTAATATTGACAATAATAACATTAAAAGCAGAATCAAGCACGTCTAACTCATGGTACATCAGAAAATCTCTTTCTTAAGTAGTGAAATACTAACACAGCATCAATATTGATAAATAGAAATAAAGAATACTACAAAGATTACGTAATGACAATAATATTACATTCATATTACAGCCTAAAGCAAATGGCTGCAGCTCAGTTCTAGGATTTTGAGGGAAAACGTTTAAATGCTTTGAGTTGATTTGATTTGTGAGAGCAGGGGATTCCAGTTGGCTCTAAAAGGAGCTGGGACACACAATGCCAAACAGTAGGAATAGTAACAGCGAGGTTTGTCTGAGTGATCCAAAAACCACCCAAATGGCAACCCATTTAAAATAAGTCCTTTCTTCTCTTCGAACAGCAAACCAAGTTTCCCGCCTCTGGTCTACCAGTGAACGATCCTGATTTCGTCAGATCATCTGAGCAGAAAACAGAAACTGAACCTTGTGATGATGGGGAGAAGCCAAGATGATGCAAGGAAAAGAAAGTCAAAATGGGAACTGATACAGGTCAATCTGCTGACCCAAGTCATTAACATCCAAGTTATCTTTTGTTGTAAATTACATTACAGCTTATACACAGGAAAAAAAAAGATTTAGAACTTTTGTGGGAAAACAATTGAAACCAGACTTTTAAACCGTTGAAAGAACATCTTCACTGTAGGACCCAACAAAGAAAATAAATTATACCAGCTGGAAACAAACAGCATGATGTCATAAACTGTTTTAAAATAGTAATAATGAAAAGACAATGGGTACATCATTTGCACCCTGTCATAAAACTGTAAAGCATGGCTCACTGTAAAGATTGGGCAACCCTCAGCTTCTTTATAAGGAAGTAAAGAAATCTAATTCTTAGAATAAACGCACAGGCCTGTCAACAGCTACAGGATGTGGGGACATCCTTTTCCAAAGAAAATTCAAATCTAAAGTGATTTACATTTCATTAAATTGGTTTATACCAGGGGTCTTCAATGTTTTCCAGGCCACGGACCCCCAAACTTACGGCGAGGTGGAGCGGGGACCCCCTAATTATATTTATTGTATGAAATAGTGTTCTATCAAATATAGTGCTACAGTTAGCGTAATTTAACGAAAGTAATCCCTCCCCTGGGATTATTAAAGTATTTCTGATTCCTGGTTGATGGGACAGGTGTTGTGAATGAAACGGTGCCCAGCTTGAAAGAGCTCCTGTGTGTCTCTGAATGTGAGCATTGATGACTGAAAGACATCTTCTGCCTCCATTTATCTGTTTACTACAGTCTGTTCAATTCATGTTGATGTGGATTTAAAGACCTTTCAATTAGTGGAAAAAATTGTTGGGGGAATATAAAAAAAAAAAAAAAAATTCTAATCAACCAAAACTTTCGCGACCCCCATGCTGTACCTCCGTGGACGCCCTAGGAGCCTCGGACCCCCTGTTGAAGACCTCCGGTCTACAAAATCAATTGAAGCAGACATCAAATTCAGAAATATTTTGTACTCTGAAAACAAAACTTTTCTAATAAATACAAATAGGCTGAAAGAGCAGCCATTTTTTTACCGCTTCTCACATTAAGTAGGAATTTAAGGGAAGTTAAAAGAAAAAGTAAATCTTCAATCCTTTCTGGTGCAGAACTACAACACATATGAGATGTCCCCAAACATCCAAAAGTAACAATTAGAGACACATCCATCAGGTCATCTAGAAATAATCCAGCTTATGTCCTTATTTCCTAAACTTTCTTAGGAGTTTTCAAAAGGAAAAAACATGCTTTGCTTATAAGAATCACATTCTACTCCATGTCACTAAAGGATTCTGCATCAAGGTCAGACTACCTGTGAACTAACAGGGAAACTGATGGCAGACAGGCAGTAAGCATCGTCGTCTTTGGTCTGAGGTACTCCTAAAGCATGGTGATCACTTTCATTGGACACAGAGCTATGGGTGAGAAAACACAGGGTCGTTGACAATGCCTTTAGAGAGAATTAGATTGCATTGGGGTAGTATTGTTTTTTTGTTGGTCAAAGTTTGTCTCAGAAAGCTGTGGTGCTGAAAGAAAAGTGCAGACCAGGGAGATTATGTGGAACTGGAAAAGCTTTAGGACTCTTATCTGATCAAAGTTTTAAAAGAAAAGCTACTTGGAAAAAATCAAGAGGTTGTTTTATACTAATGATCACAATGAGGTTTAAGACATTTGGCTGGATTAGTGTGAGAAGTGGATTTGGTTGCAGATAAGCCTCTATGGAGAGTAAAACTGGTGGGATTTCTTTTTTAGGAAATGTAATCTCTTTTGGAGAAATTTCCAGTTTCTAAGGTTTTTTTTTTTTTGTTTCTTCTAAAATCCAGGACTTCTGAATAGGTGTGTTCAGATGGGAAAACCAGACAGTTAATTAAGAGTGACACTTATTTAGAAAGAGAAACTGTAGTGAATCTGGGTGTAATTATGTTGTAGGTTAACAGAACAGAAACACCAGCACACTGGTTGTGCGAGCGGTTTACAACCGGCTTGCTGCAAACTAGCATTGAGATTCAGGACAGGTGAGAACTTTGATTTAATCAGATTTTAAAGGTGTGAAATATACTTTTAGACTTGGTTTGTGGCTGTGTCTGAGTCAGTGTTGATGGTGGGTACAGATGTTGGTCTTAGCGCTGCTCGAATTATGATGTAAGGAAGGATTCATGATGCTGTCCACATGTTTCTGAAGAGTGGTAACTTTGTTAAGAGTGCACAGTATCATAACCTTTTTAAGAAACCAGAAGATTTTAAATCACCAGATAGACTCCATCAATAACCTGAAGATGTGGTATTATTAAATGATACAGTAATATCAACATAAAAAATGTTTCACAGACAGCCAAAGTAATAATATTGATAAAAAAAAATAATAAAATGTCTCTATATCTGTCCTCAGACCTAAATTGTGTTGAAAACCTGTGAGGTGGGTTAAGGAGGATAGAGCATTAGAAATGACCCATGACCTTCGACATTATGCAGCCATGGTTCTAAACTGTAGGATTAATACAACTGATGATATTTGAGCTGCCTTTAATGGTACAATGGTGGAAAAAATGGGAATAATTACTCAAAAAGACATATTACGAAAACTACACACGAGGTAGTTTAAACTATCCTAAACATTCGAAAAATTAAGTAATTTCCTACTTCAACCAGATGTTAGTAGGAAATACATTATATTTGGAAAAGATTAGAACTGAAAACAAGAACCTGTGCCTCATTATGGTGCATTTAGAGGCTGGTCTGAAAAATGTCTTTGATTTAACAAATAATCACTGCATTTGAGCGTTAGAGGTCTTTAAAAAAATTTGTGTTTGAGTACAGAAAGACTTAAGGTGAATCTAATGTTTAACTACTGAAGCTATCAAAAATGCACAGTAGCTAAGGTCACGGGTGGTGACTTTCCTTCTGTTACTCTGACTATATAAATTGGTTTAATTAAATCCCTCTCTGACAACAGCAGCGTTAAGACTTTATAACCACCTCTGTTCCCAACAATCTCAATAAGTTGTTGCATTCATGCTGGTTTTTGCACAGTTTATGTCTTAGTCAGTTAAATAATAAGCAGCTGTCATTTTGCACATCTCTGATGTTGCTGCTATTTTCAACTATACATTACTGTGAAAAAATGTCCACAGCTGTATATTGATTATTTATTCTCCAGGTGCACAATATTTATATCATAAAAACACTTTACAGTACAGCATCTTATTTGTTTATAATAACTCTTTACTTTTGTAGAGTTCCCATTTGTGGGACCACTTTTGCTATAATCCTTTTGCTGCTTTAACACCACAATTACCTGATTGTGGGAAAATAAAGGGATTTATCTATTCAATTCTATTAGTTTGAACAAGTTTGCACTAAACTTTACATCACAGAAACCAGGAACTCTGTAAATACCACAAATTAAATGCCACGTAAAAAAAAAATGCCCATAGTTGTATATTGGTTATTTATTCTCAAAGTGCAAAGTTTTATATTGTAAAAAAACACTTTACAGTAAAGTATTTTGTTTATTTATTTATTTTTTTACTTTTCACTATTCTGTAATTTTAAACACTTTTCTAAGGTCCACATTGTGTGACAATTTTTTCTATAACCATTTTGCTGCTGTTAACAGCAGATTTTCATTATTGTGGGACAATAAAGGGATTTTCTATTCTATTCAAACGAAATGGAAAAAGTGCAAATGTTTTAAAGCAGTAATCTAACTATATTGTAGAAAAATCAGTGCTGTAGATGGATAGTAAACCTGTCACTATAGACAGATCTCCATTCATTTCCATTACTCGCTGCACTGTAAGCTCATCTCTAAAGAAAATGCTTTAGTTGATGGTTTGGTATAAAGTTTGATCCCACTCGTACCTTTTTCAGAGCTTGAACGAAGAGGCCTCTCCACTTGTGACTGTTCTCTTCACTGGAAAAGTCGTACATTTGCTGGGGCTGCATCGCTGTAGCGGCTCCTGGCGTTGCCGTGGTCCGGGCTGAGCTGTCAGCATCGGCCCCGTATAGATAGTCCTTATGGGTGGGTCAGTCCGGAGCAGGCACGGGGTGGAGAAAAAGCCACACTGGTTGGTTTAAAAAAATAAAATCTATGCAGAACAAAGCTTAACCGCCACACTGCGCGTCCCACGTCGAGTCCGGGTTGACAAGGAAAAACTCGGCACAGAAAAAGCACATGTAGCTGTGAAGTTCACTCGCTAGCTTAGGGGCTAATAATAGCTGTAAACACAGGGCGCGGCTAAGCTAACGGCTAACAACAATGTTGCAGAGTTTTACCAGTTAGTTTGCTCACAGCAGCGTATGGCAGGCACATTTAGATTAAAGTTAGAACCAGAAAAACAGCCGGTGGTTTGTTACCTGCTACGCGTTAGGTCAGAATGTGCGCTACCTAAAAACACCTGTAACCTTTAGTGAGCTAAGCAGCTAGCTGATGCTACAGGCAGATGCTGGCCTCGATGCGCTTCCACTCCTATGTTGCGGCTCACGACCCCTTCAGCTCCAAACAAGGCACACTTTTTTCTTCGCGGCTCATTTCACAATTAGTCATCTTTTCCGCAGCTACCAGATGTAACATTCAGCGTATATTCCTTTAAAAAAAAAACAGTGGGAAGTCCAAGGCATTTTGGTGGGTGAGAGCAGCTATAAAAAGAAGTCTCAGGGTTTCTGGTTAGAGAGAAGTGGCTCACAGCAACTCCGCTGCTGCTGCCGCTGCTTGTTTGCTGCAGCTGCGCGTCCCTCCGTCCTCCAGGCGCAGGATGCGGAATTTCACATTTAGCGGAAAAAACACCAGAGTCTGCATCATACATCCAGATAAAAAAACCGAAAACAAAAACAAAATATATACATTAAAATTAATTTATTTTATTTTTTTAAGCTGGATAAAAAAAACAAAAAACGTCAAAATACATAAGCAATGGACAAACATACTAATTTACAGAATAAATGTATTCCCAAACTATTAAGATTCCTGGTTTTAAAAAAAGAACATAAAAAAGACTGCTTAAAAAAAAAAAGATTACATTTAAACACACTCTCTGCCGCTGCTGTTGACGAAGTTTGTTATTGTTAGTCCGCCCTCTAGTGGATAAACTCTATTTCTACATGCTTCTTGATCTGAACTGATGGGTTAGTAACTAGAAAAGTTTAGAGTCTGGATATAGTTTAACACCCACATAGTTATATTTCCTGATCTTCTTGTATTTTACAATCTCATTGTAAAATCTCATTGTAAGATACTTATTCTTGAAAAAAAAAAGACTATATATATTTATATATATATATATATATATATATATATATATATATATATATATATATATATATATATATATATATATATATATATATATATATATATATATATATATATATATATATATATATATATATATATATATATATATATATATATATATATATGTCATCCATTTCCTTCGTGCTGTTGTTCCTGGAGAAAATCTGGAAGGTCAAGGCATCAGTGGTACCCGTGGTCATTGGTGCACTCAGGCCGGTGACCCCCAAACTTGAAGAGTGGTTACAGCAGATCCCTGGAAATACATCAGACGTCTCGGTCCAAATGAGTGCAGTTCTAGGAACAGCAAAGATTCTGCGCAGAACCCTCAAGTTCCCAGGCCTCTGGTAGAGGACCCCAGCTTGGAGGAAAAAGGGGGGGAAGACCACCAGATTCACACTGAAGGCATCAAAACTATGAATTCACACATGTGGAATTATATACTAGACAAAAAAGTGTGAGACAACAGAAAATATGTCTTATTTTCTTCAAAGTAGCCACCTTTTGCTTTGATCATCGCTTCACTCACTCTTGGCATTCTCTTGATGAGCTTCCAGAGGTCGTCACCTGAAATGGTTTTCCAACAATCTTGAAGGATTTCCCAGAGATGCTGAGCACCTGTTTACCCTTTTGCCTTCACTCTGCGGTCCAGCTCATCCCAAACCGATTGGGTTCAGGTCTGGTGATAGTGGAGGCCAAGTCATCTGGCGCAGCACCCTATCACTCTCCTTCTAGGTCATATAGCCCTTACACAGCCTGGAGGTGTGTTGGGGGTCATTGTCCTGTTGAAAAATAAATGATGGTCCAACTAAACGCAAACCGGATGCAATAGCATGCCGCTGCAAGATGCTGTAGTGGCCATGCTGGTTTCAGTATGCCTTCCATTTGGAATAAATCCCCAACAGTGTCACCAGCAAAGCACCGCCACACCATCACACCTCCTCCTCCATGCTTCATGGTGGGAACCAGGCTTGTAGAGTCCATCTGTTCATCTTTTCTGCGTCTCACACAAAGACACAATGTTTGGAACCAAAGATCTCAAATTTGGATTCATCAGACCAAAGCCCTCTGGTCTAATGTCCATTCCTGGTGTTCTTAAGCCCAAGCTATTCTCTTCTGCTTGTTGCCTGTCCTTAGCAGTGCTTTCCTTTTTCGGATGGACTGACATTAATTTCTTAAAGTAATGATGACCACTCGTTTGTCTTTACTTAGCTGCTTTTTCTTGCCATAATCCAAACTCTAACAGTCTATTCAGTAGGACTATCAGCTGTCTATCCGCCTGACTTCTGCACAACACAACTGATAGTCCCAACCCAATTTATAAGGCAAGAAATCACATTTATTAAACTGGAAAGGGGACACCTGTGAAGTGAAAACCATTTCAGGTGACGACCTGTTGAAGCTCATCAAGAGAATGCCAAGAGTGTGTGAAGCAGTAATCAAAGCAAAAGGTGGCTACTTTGAAGAACCTAGAATATCAGACAAATTTTCTGTTGTCTCACACTTTTTTAAAGTATATAATTCTACATCTTAATTCATAGTTTGGATGCCTTCAGTGTGAATCTACAATTTTTATAATCATTAAAATAAAGAAAACTCTTTGACTGTGAAAAAATGTTGGTCTGTACTATATATATATCACTTTTAAATAGTTTACTTGTGTTCATAACCCTATATTTAGCCCTGTACGTTTAGGGCATGAATTAAAGGAAAATAGATCAATAATTGCTTTGTGATTGTGACCAGAACACCATGGAATAGTCAGCTATAATCATCAAATAGATTCAGTGATCATAACAAACCACGTCGTAATAAATACATCAATCTCTGGTTGACTCATTCAATTAGGATTATTTGCAAGTTCCAGATTTTTTTCTTGCATCACTGACTTTTAAGAAGCCCTAAAAATAGTTCAACTACAGGGGTCTGCAACCTCTGGCAAGTGACTCTTTGGATCCTCTCCAATGGTTAATAGTAGCTAAAAATGAAGACCTTTGAATTAGGTATAAAAAAAAATACTATTTTTAAGAGGTTTAAACAAAACTTTCACAGAAGAATCAAACTAAAAGAACAAAATGTTTTTTTAATCTATTTTTTGTCACCAGCCTTGAAAGTATCTTTTTTTAATTTTTCATAATGATCTTTAAAAGAAGCTCTATGCTTCATTTTTATTTACCTTATTTTAAAAACTGGAATTATAAATAAACTGCTGGTCATTTAAAATAAGAACAGATCTCCTATAGCAATAAAGTTTGTCTAAGTCTATAATATAATAAAAGTATCAATAATTTTTTATTGAGTTGCACTGAGTAAAATGGCTCTTTGGGTTTCAAAGGTTGCAGACCTGTGCTCTACTTTGTCAGCATCCTTGCAGGCAACACTCTGGGCACCAACTACTGACAAAAACAAAGCAACATATTTAAAACCATACAGACAGAATACTGCATTTATTCATTTTAGAATGGGCTTTTTTTCCCTTTTACATAAATCAGACAAAAAATTACGAACAAAAAAAAAAAAAATTATACCATTAACAGTTTTAAAGACATACATTCTTATCATAGTTTGCTCCTGCTTCCCCATCCAAGCCAGCCTCCATCATAGTTTGGGGTTGTTTGGTGTTAAACATTGGCTGAAAGCAAAAAGGTTCAACTGTTTGCTTCAGTCTACTTTAAAATCTGTTTCTTCTGGTAACCGACGCTAGCTCTAAGCTAAATTCCTGTGCTTCTTGAGACGTCCATCACCTAATCAAAATCACACCAAGGAAGCTTTACACAATCTTCTTCTGTAGCATATAAAATCTTTTTTTTCCTACAAACTTTAAGTTGACCTTTTCACTTTTTTCAAATCTTTTTGCCTTTACATTTTTCTCCAGCGCGTTTATTAGATTACTCTTTATAACCATGTCCAGGGTTTAACACTTTAGAAAGTTGACAGTAGCACAAACCCCACATTTTATGCACATTCCAATTAAAAAATATATATTTTTGTAAAAATACTTTATTTGTTTATAATAAAATAACACTGACAGATTTATTAACATGAATAGTTACAGCAGTGGGTGAACTCACCGAGGCAACTTAAAGGCAAATTTAAAAGGGATCACAGTCTTAAACGAGATAAAATCACAACATTAAAAAGTTCTGTATCGGTTTGGTATTGTGTAGAAGTTCCTACAAAATGATATCCAGGAAGAAAAATCCTCTCGCATAAACTGTGCATAAATGTGCAAACAAATGTCCTGCCCAAAACACCAAATTACTCAAATGTACACCAAGTCAATACTAGCTAAAATAAAAGGAGATCAGCACCAAAATTCAAATAGTAGAAACACCGTATTTAAAAGGGCATGCCCACATTTTTATTATGTGAAAGATAATGCTCTGAAGAATTAATTCGAAGTTTGAATATAATTCAATATTCTCATAATTGAAGATGGTCTTTTTTTCAAAGGATTTTTTTAGATGATAAAGTTGTTTATGTTTGGTTTTTGTAAAAAAAAAAAGTAAACATGTTTTGAAGCCTATTTTAGCACTTCATTGAGAAAAGTCTTTCAAAATAAAAGTCAGAATTAAGGCCTGACATGACTCCGAAGGCTATGGGACGGATGCAGTTTGAATCTGGGATTTCTGCCACCCTGCCAGTTTCATCGCACCGATCTCCATCTACAGTTTAAAGCGACTGTCCACCTCATCTGCAATCATTTCAGCGATGGCTAAAGAAGAGGTAGCAGCTGGGGAGGGAGCGTTGCGCACGTGGAGAATCCGACTGCCCAAATCTCCAACCCCGCCGTCAAAGACAAAGTCATCAACAAGGTTCCCGTCCCGGTCCAAGGCTTGAGCTCGGACTCCAGTTGGACCTCTGGACAGGGAGACATGTAAGTAAGAAAAAAAAAAAACTATCTAAATAAGACAGATAAGCTTTATAACATAATGTTTTGATTTTCTTTTCCTACCTGAGCACATCAGTAAGAGAGAGTTCAGGGATATACTTTTGCAGAATTTTGATCTGTGCACCAAGGAATACTCCCCGGTACATTTCCCCGATTCCATAGGTTGCATTCTTAATTATAAGCTTCTGAAGGCCTCTGTGAATAATAAAAAATCAAAAAGAGAGAGAGAAAAAAATCCTTTAAAATGACAAATATTTTGTTTGCAACCATTTCAATCTTTTAAAAGATATAAAACTTCCAACCTAAAAGAGAGAGCATCTGCAAAGTCTTGTGCGTTGAAGTCAAACAGGTTATAGCCCTCTCTTTTAAACGCCAGGACGGCATTGGGGCCAAGCCAAACACTTCCATCCATCCTTGGAGTGAAATGAACACCAAGGAAGGGGAAGCGGGGGTCAGGAACCTACATAAGAAGTGAATTAGTTAACGCTGAAATGTCAGGGATAACACTTAAAAAGCCTAAATGTTTGCCATAATAAAAATCCTTTAAAAAAACTCTGAAAAAGAACTAAAATAACTCATGTGGGTCATGTTTACAGATCTTCTGTATTAGAGACCTTAATGAGGTTTTAAAATAGAGCAAATAAAGAAAAACAAACCTAAAATAGATACAAGTATCTGTTCACGAGGAAAGAAGTTACATTTATCTTTTATATCTGAACTTTACTGCTGTAAAACACTAAAATAAAACCTTGATATTATCAAGGTTTTGCTGTATTGTATCTGTAGTTCATATCAGTAGCTTGTGCTGCTCTTTTTACATCTGTCTTTGCAGGACATGAAGCAGACTGATAATCCATCGCTTTCTTTCACCTTTTCTCCCTTTCTTTCTAATTTTCCAATGTAGTGTCCTCATAACAAATTATTCAATAAATAAACCATAATAAAACTATTTACACATATAAATCAAGCAGAGCAGCGAAAATGTTCCACTTGTGAGAGTAAAATCTGTTGTGCTCTTTCTGGCATGAGGACAACAATTTTTATTGCCACATTGCTAGAAAGGACACTATTAAAAATAAATGAATAAATAAAACCAGTGTAGGGTCCTTCAATGTGGCTTTGATTAAAAAAATAGCTCCTTCTGCCTAAACAGATACTTAAAGTGGAGGTCTGTGCTTTATTAAATGCTTTTATTGATAAAATTCTTATCCAGGTCAATTGATTTTATTCAACTAGAATAACATCTGGTTGATGCATCAGGTGAATGTTAAGATTTGAAGAATAAAAAACAAAACAAAACAAAAAAACACATATTTTATTCAGTAAGAATTATCCGGGACCTTTATACAAAGTTAATCTCACCACCTTCCTACCAGGGCAGATTTTAGGGCAAATCACTAAGCCTGGTTGTTAATAGTCAGAAAACAAGCAGTGTGTCCTGATTGAATGTTTCCAGAGGACTTACAGGGTAAATGTTTCCTTTGACCAGGTAGTGTTTCTCTGGTTTTAAGACCAAATAATCCCCCCTGAAGGGGACGATCCTCGGTTCCGGACTGCATCCAGATATCTGCGACAGACGGTCCGAGTACAGGCCGCCACAGGTCAGGACATAACGACACTGCACTTCATTATTCTGGTATAAAATTTAAAAAAAAAGCACTAAAGTAAGGAACGGCAGAATGCAGATCGGATGTGAATCTTTTCTGTAAAATCACTGAACCTTACATTTTTATCTCTTATAGAAATAGGATATTTCATTCCTGTAAATGGAAAAAAAAAGATGTAAATTTGAAGACTTGTGAAAAATAAATCGTTATTAGAAGTCTATGATTGTTTAATGATCCTTACCCTCTTGGCTCCCAGCTGGACTCTCCTGAACCACGGAAATATCTCTGACCTCAAACTCAGTAACGACTGCGCCGCCTGCCTCCTCAAAGTCTTTCCCATACCTGAGAGCCACCATCCGCCAGTCCACAATCCCAGTGTAGGGCGAATCCAAGGCCATTATCCCCTGAACACATGACATTATTTAGCTCCTCCTCTCATGCTTTTCTAGATATAAACAACCAAAACAACTCATCTTCTACCCTGCAGTAAGGCTCTCGCTCTCGGATCCCCTTGGCATCGACGACGCTGAGGTCGCGCACGTTGTTCTTTAAGCCGCGTTCATACAGAGCTTTCAGTCTGGGAATCTCTTCCTGCTCCAAAGCGACGATAAGCTGTCAGAAAAAATAACAATCAGAGGGCAGATTAAACATTTCAACAATGCGCTGATCAGACGTTTACCTCAATAAAACACCAGCGGTAACGTCATTAGTGTTTTATCAAGGTTTAAGAGGCTGGATCAATGTTTAAGTTTCAGCAAAATCTATAAAATCTAATTACAACAGAGGGATAAAAATAGACCTTCAACATGTTGCTACCATCATCATCATCACCTTGCCATAAAGCTGGTACAGTGTTATTAGGACTAAGACGCCAAATCGTTCTCATCATAAAGAGAGTGCATATGTACAGGTTTTTTTTATTATTAAAACTGTTAATTTCTATGTTACATGTTTTAAACGTAACATTATTGTGAAGCAATCTGTTATTTGATATTGTAATAAGTGCTCTATAAATAAGATTACGTCTGTCTTTTCAATAAGTTGCACCTAGGGATGTCCCGATCAGCATTTTAGGCCTCCGATGCCGATCCGATCTTTTAAGCTAAAATCCGATCCGATATTTTCTCTTTAGTAGTGAAATTGGTAAAACCAGAATTTATCAGAATTAAAGGTCAGCTTCAATTTAATGTTTTACACAAAAGTCAAAAGAAAAATACTGACTTGGTAGAGTATTATCAAATAAAAAGCGATATCCAAGATCCACTTTGAGCTTATAAGAGCTTAATATAGGCTGCCATAAAGTCAATAGAAATAAACTGACCACTGAGCAAATTTAAAATGCACTCGCTCATCTTAGATGTGGTGTAAACAGAATGACAAATAGTCACAATTCAGTAAATTAATTTGAAACAATCCAACATAAAAAAATAAGTAAACAGAATTAAATCAAATTAATTAAAAACTTTAGGACCGCAACTTAAAAGTAGCATGATCACCGAAACATGATCAAAATCAACAAGAACATCCTTCATTAATGAACAAACACGTACGTAAACCTAAAAATAAATAAACAACTAAACCTGAATACTTGGTTATAATAACCACAATGCTCTTTCCAGTTATGCCTCACTCACATATTTTAATCCAGTCAAGTTGTCTAGAGCAATAAATCTGACCAACCTTTCTGTGATCTTTGCTCTATTATTTTCGTTGGAGTATTTCTCTCTCCTCATAACGTCCAGCGTTTGTTGCTTTGCTTTAGTAACCTTTCCTCCTGCAGCTTTACAAAACGCTTTATAAACATTGTCATGTTTTGTTCTCAGATGATGAATGAAGTTCATGGTGTTAACTGTAGCTCTGCTGCTGCCTCCTCTTGAAATTAACATGTTGCAGACATTGCAAGTAGCTTTAGGACAGTCTTCACTCGTGACAGTAAAATACTTCCACACTTCTGACACGCTTGCTTTGCACCCGCTGCGGAGGTTTGTATTTTGCAACTACCATCAACCGTAACTAGCGGGTGCTTTACGGCAGTTGCAATACAGATCGGCGCGACTAGTCAGGTGATGTAGCCAATCTCTGATCACGGCAAAATAGGAGAAGATCGGGCCGATCCGATCTCGCGATCCGGATCAGGACATCCCTAGTTGCAACCATTAAAAGTTTGGTTTAATGGTTGCAACGGCCCCTCTGGTCCCTACAGGTGAGCCGTTGCAGATTTCTGTCATGCATGAAGGTCAGAATTTTGCAGCAGGCACCCTCTGGGAGCATGTTTATATTGTTTTGTTTTTTTTTTACATTTTTATATTACTGTTTTTATATATTTGGTTTCACTATTTTTCAAGGCTGCACTTTTAAAAAGATGAAGTTGTCCAAACAGCTGTTCTAAATGAAATTTCTTTTTGTTTCACACTTTTGTAAACAAAATGACAAATAAATCTGTTTAAGTCTGTAAGTCTAATGTTGACGCAAAACTCTGCAATGCAGTCAGTGCATCTCCCAGTTCACTATAGGGTTTGGTTCCTTTGTCGTTCCTTCCAAAACACTTTAAAACGTTAAAATTTGAGACTCCCTAAAGTTAAAATACCATAGCACCTACAAAAAACCATTTGGTTTAAGTCCATAATTAAAGACCAAAATTAACCTCCCATTCAAACCAACAATGAGTTTAATATCTGCACGTTTCTGCCTCGTGTTGTACATTTATTTAGCCGAGTCTAGACTGCATGCATTCAAGTGGCAGCATTGATGTGTGTCAGCTGATCACTTTGACAATCAGCCTTTGCAGCGAACCTGATCAAGTTAAAACCCACCTTTCCACATCTTTTATAAGGGATCCCTTTCTTCTCACAGTACTCATACGCTAAAGTTGCTCCTCGTACACACAGGCGAGCCTTCAGGGAGCCTGGCGTGTAGTAGATCCCACTGTGGATGACTCCACTGTTGTGCCCACTCTGGTGTACAGCTGATAGGACACAGAAAAACCACAGATTAGAAGAAACGGGAGAGTGATTTTTATATTTTATTTCCAGATGTATTTATGCAGATCTTTGCAGAACACATTATGTTTAAAGATAAACAAGTGATGAATCAATCATACAATGGTTAAATTAAAATCATTGCACATTTAATTTGTTAATAAAAACCACCTACCAAGTTCTTTCTCTTTCTCCAGCAGGACAAAGGTCAGCGCCGGGTGTCTCAGGATAAGCTCTCTGGCTGAGGCCAGGCCCACAATGCCAGCTCCAACAATGGCCACATCATATGTGCTGAAAAACAGAGGCAGCGGTTCAGGTTCCCACAGCAACTTCTCTGGGCCACGGGGGTGGGGGGAGTGGAGCCTAATATTTGACTGTGTGCTTCAATGTGTAACTGGGTATGGCTTTATAACCGAGGGACCTTTGAATCTTCAGTGCACTGGAAACCCTGACAACAGGTGCTGCAGTTAAAAGTCAGTTTGGAGCCACACAGGATTCACAAAACTCACCATCTGTACATTTCCTCACTCCTCCTGATCTGCAGTTTGCTAAGAGGAATGTAAACAAACAAGGAGGACGGTGATCTGGTCACATGAGAGCAAAACTGATCTTAGATTCTTTGGTTCTTCTGGACTGTTGGAGCTTCAACAATCCAGAAGATCAAGGGGAGGCCATTTGATTTGCTTCTGACTTGAAATGCATGCAGGAGGACGGACCTCCATGCTGGTTAAATACATCAGCTCTCTAACTAGAGATGGCTCTGATGTGAGCCTACAGAAAAAGGCTCGTGGATAGGTGTTGAAACGTCTTCAAAGAACTGAGAAAAAGTCTGGTTGCCTTCCAGTTTAAGTCTGCTTGTGGTTGAAATGACCCAGATGAAAAACAACACAATACATGGTCTAATACAAATAATTATCCCTACTGTAAAACATGCTAGTGGCAGTGTCATGCTTCTCTGCAGCAGGCGGAGAGAAGCTTGACATCAGAGCTGATCGGTAAAGCTGACCGATAGCAGATAAAACTGACAACTAGGGGTGTAAATAATAATCGCTTTGCATCGATGCATCGATCCAACAGCTGATGACAGATGCATCGACATGTCTGCAAGAGAATCAATTCATGTTTTTTTTGCTCCTGGACGTAATTCTGACTCCCAAGCTGCGGTGGCGCTAAACCTATTTTGCCCTCCTACCTCACTTCCTTTAGCCACACCCTCTTTGCGGTATTTTTTTATGCAGGGCCTTTCAGAATCTATAACGCAGAGGTATTATTATTTTTCAGGGAATGAGGTTTTAATAGGTGGAGTACAACTTTCCTACGTCTGTTATTTGCTGCTGTTTCTCAATTAAAATGCATAACGATATTACAGCTTTCATTGATTTATTTCAATTCTGAAACATTGTCTAGCCTGTAAGGTAACAACATTTTTTTTTACCAACTAATCGTATCGTATTGTGTATTCTTGAGTATTGAAAATATTCAAATTGTTGGGTCAGGAAATTGATCCTGAATCAAATCGCCATGATGAGTGTGATTTACACCCCTACTGACAACAGGGTAACGCAGGAGAAAACCTCTTAGAGGCTAAGATCTGAAACAAAGGTTCATCTTACACAGATAGACCTGAATAAAATAGATAATCTATGAATAGAAATAAAGGAAGCTGCTGAAACAGACTACCTGCTCTTCGCTGAGCCAGCCAGAGAAGGATTGGTTAAATCTATACTGACACTCACCAACAGGTTAGACAGACCTTTGTGCAATTTAAGGAAGAATGTGAAAGATTTCAGACTTTAGACGTGCAAAGCTAGCAGACATTTTTGCCCCACCACCAAAAAAAACATGCAGCTGTACCTTCAGCTAAGCGCCATTTAAAAAATAAAAAAGACCACCAGTCCTCTAAACATTTCACAATTACGAACTATGTCATATAGCTCTATCACTTAGTATCACTAATACAATGCATGGAGGTTTGTGCCTTGATGACTGGATGTGAAAAGAATAAGGGACGTAAACATTATTGCATTAAATATACACAATGTTTCAGAAAGAGAAAATCTATAAACAGCTTAATAAACTCACACAGGGAAGACAAAAAAGGATCCATTCTTCTAAGATTATGAAAGGTTAATCATTAATTAACTCTTTAAACAGCTACCCTAACAGGGACAATATTTCAAGGAAATTTTGCTGCAAGATTTTTTTCCAAAACACTTTTTAGACACAAAACTTCCAGAATCAGCAGTTTGTCTTCAAAGCTTTGTTTCCAGTAAGTAAAGCTAAATTTAATATGTGAACTTAAGCTCTGAGGACTCTGCGTTCAAGACCTGCGTTCAAGACCTGCACGATTTGTTATTCAACATGTTTTCAATGTTTAAAATGTTTTTTACAGCAACGTAGAAGGAAGAATAACCTTCAGGTAGAGTTTTGTGTGAACATAATGCTAAGAAATGCACACTTGTCTTGCTGATTAGGAAGTCCAGCTCTGTGATTGGATGCCCTCTGGACTCAGCGCAGGAGGTGGGAAACAAATGAACATCTCTGTCGGATAATGTAATTTGAACAGTTTCTGTCTTAGTTTAATAACATGCTGCTTTCTTATTTGCGCATCTCTGATGTTGCTGCTATTTTTCACATATCCATTACTGCGGAGGTCTTCAACAGGGGGTTCGCAACCCCAAGGGGGCCCACGGAGGTACAGCATAGGGGTCGCAAAAGTTTTGGTTGATTAGACTTTTATATTCCCCCCTGCAATTTTTTCCACTAATTGAAATGTCTTTAAATCCCCATTAACATGAATTAAACACACTGATGTAAACAGATAAATGGAGGCAGAAGATGTCTTTCAGTCATCAATTCTCACATTCGGCGACACACATAAAGCTGGGCACCGTTTCATTCACAACACCTGTCCCATCAACCAGGAATCAGAAATACTTTAATAATCCCAGGGAGGGATTACTTTAGTTACATTACTCCATCTGTAATAGAGTGACTATAGGACCAGTTTAAATATAACACAATATCATACAGTATATATAATTAGGGGGGCCCCGACTCGCCATCAGTTTGGGGTCCTTGGCCTGGAAAACATTGAAGACCCCTGATTTACTGTAAAAATGTCCACAGCTGTATATTGATAATTTATTCTCTAGCTGCACAATATTTATATTATAAAAACACTTTACAGTACAGTATTTTTTTCTAACTATTCTGTTATTTTTATACACTTTTCCAGGGTCCACATTTGTGTGACCATTTTTGCTATAATCTTTTGCTGCTGTAACACAACAATTACCCCATTGTGGGGCAATAATGGGATTTTTCTATTCTATTAGTTTGAACAAGTTTGCACAAAACTTTACATCTCAGAAATCAGGCACTCTGTAAATACCATAAATTAAATGCCACGTCTTTATAATAAACTGGAGAATGAAAGACATGCTCCTCCTCTAAACTCTCCATTCTTGCCTCTGTGTTTCTCTTACCTGTGGATCTGTCTGCTTGGAATGCCCTTTAGCAGCTTCGGCTGAGCTGCACAAGCCGCCTTTAAAAACGCTCCACCCCGTGTTCTCATCATTATTATTTCCCTTTAAACAACCGCTCATACTTTGTTCTTCATTGTCCAGCAGTTAAAGCGACTTTTTAAGGTCTGAGTCTCCGCTTTGTTCGTTTGTTTTCGCAGCTAGCCATTTAAGCAGCCGCTGTGTCCCGTGAGGGGGTTCTATATGTAACCGCGCCTCCTCCAGGGGGAGGAGCCGTATGACGTAGTTATGTTTAACCAATAGCGATGCACTTGGTTGTGACATCTTTAGGTCAAAGGTTTTCAAAATGGAGGCGTTCAAAACGTAAACAGAAAACCTGCGTTTTTGAAGGACAGGTGAGATTAATTTGAAACGCAGTTGTTTTGTTTTCCATTTGGCGTCCCGTTGTGTTTTTTTTGCAGCCGCAGAGTTAATAACTGTGTGTTTATTTTGCAGATATGGGGCTGTTGTCGCGGACGGTGCAGTCTGTGGCGAGGCAGAGGGAGTGGAGTCGCAGACACTTCTGGGGTTGGCTTAATGCTGTTTTTAACAAGTGAGAATCCTCAATCATTGACAAGTTTGATTCCGATCTTAAAGTAACGCAGGACCTTCAAAGCTTACTTTTTCCTTAAACGTTTTGATTTGTTTTTAAAGATATGGTCCCCAAAGGGAGGGGTTAAATGCAGAGATAAATTTATCCAATGTGAGATCAATAAAGTTAAATTATAATTTTTTTTATTATTATTATATAAATATGTATATAATATTGGTATATTTTAGTGGAATTATTATGACTTAGAATTATCAAAGTAATTAATAACAAAATTATTGTCTGTTATTAAGCTTTGGTGACAATGAGACAAAATTCATATTAGTAGTAGAACAATAACTGGTGATAAAGAAAAGTAAATTCATTGTTCTTTTGGTAGCTCGTTGGTTTTCATGGAGGAAGATCTATCTAATGGCTTTATTGAGACTTTGTGGCATTCTTTCCTGCAGTTTTAAAAACATAACATAAAAGATATAAAATTAAAAATTGTAATCAAAATACGCTTTAGATGCATTTATTCTAAAAGGATACTTTAGGGCATAATGCATAAAACATCAGTTTGAGGGGTGCACTGATCACTGATTCCTGATCTTTAAAAAGCCTGAAATGCCGATTCCAATTTTGACCAATACAGATTTCTATTTATAACTTTTAGTTCTTATAAGATCAAAAGATAGCAGATATTTCAATCTGATATTAAGGAAAAAAACAATTGTCTGTAAAACATTAAAAACTTCTGAAATAACTGCAATAAGAAACTCAAGGGAGTTTGATTGGCCAAATAATTGGTGCACCCCTAATTATTATGTTGGAGAAATATTTTTGTAGTCTAATAATTTTTTAATTGTAAATATTTATTCACTAAATGTACTCCAAACATATATTTTAGGGAGGCGGGGCCTCAGATGTCCTTTTAGCCATTCTTGGTTCAAGTAGTGATCAGGTGACCTTTGTGAAATTATAATTTTTTTAATGATACTGCAGTAAGATTTTTTTCATATTTACGGCAAAACATAAAATAAACCTATTGATATTCGTCAGTTAATTAGTAAACATTTGCATGTTCCAGCATGCTGACTTTGTATGGTATGCACCATATAATGCAATAGTCATATATTGCCCTAAATACTATCACTGTTAATATTGTGAATATGTCTTGAACTGACCTATTCGTTAGATAAGAGTATATTTATGTACGTGTGTGTGTGTATGTATTTATCTAAGGTTTCCTGATGTTTTTTTTTTTTTTTATGTTGGCTGCATTTTGATTAATTTTCAATCCAAGCACCATTACATTTTTTTCTTTAAGTGCCTCTTCAGTGTCTGTGTTGCTGGATTCATCTGTCTTTCCCAAACCTTGATGATTTCATATGACCATTATGTATTTTAGACAGACTATTTGCTTGTTTTTATTCAGGGTGGACCATGAACGAATCAAAGCCGTTGGTCCGGATAGAGCTGCAGCAGAGTGGCTGCTAAGATGCGGCGCCAAAGTGAGGTTTGAAGGTTTTGATCGCTGGCATCATGACTACAACGGACTGCCAACGGGGCCTCTTGGCAGATACAAGATCCAGGCAATCGATGCTACAGAATCCTGCATCATGCAGAGAGGGTTTGACTACCTGGGTGAGTGCAAAGAATGTTCTTTTGTCTTCTTGTGACTCATCCATCACTTATTCTAATTTCCTTCAAAAAATATTTCCGATTAACTTTTTTTTACGCTTTTTAAAACAAAAGGCAATACTGGAGTTGATTTTAGTCAGCATAATACTTATGCATATTTTAAATTGCCCTTTTTTTCTTAGATGGCTTAAAATATGTGGAGGAAATTAAACTCAACAAGTGTATCTACATAGAGGACATCTGCCTGGAAAGGTTGAGCTCAGTGGAGAACCTGCAGGCCAGTCTTTACATGATGGAGGTGGTTTCATGTGGAAATGTGACAGACAAGGGCATTATTGCTCTCCATAAACTCAGGTTAGTGGTTATGAAAATAGTTTTCTTTATTAAATCTGTGAAAGCAGTTACACAGAGAACCAATGAATTAATTACTACTTCCCTCCAGGAACTTGGAGTATCTGTTTCTCAGTGATCTCCCTGGAATCAAAGATAAAGAAATGACAGTTGAACGGCTACAGAGGGCGCTCCCACGTCTGGACATCTCACTGGACCTGGACTGAAGCAAGAGCAGATGGCTGTTGTGCTTCTGAAGAACGGACGCACTCCCCCTGTTCCAAACACGAATGAAAACCCTCAAACATTCAACTGGATGTTTGGCTTTGGATTGTGTGCCTGAATCAGCCATTCTACAAACAGTTTAGGCCGTTCCTACTGATATTTCTAGGTTTACTGAAGGTCGTTCAGTTCTGCTCGGGAATTTGTCATTCTTAATTTCTTGTAGGATAAATGTAAAATATATATAGACAATTTGTAGAAAGAAACCTAAGAATGAGAGTTCCAGGGATAAAGATTGTTTTATTAAAGGAATTGTTGTAACAGGAATGTTTGCAGCTGTATTCACTGAAGTCAATAAATATCATATTTAGAACTAATTAACGTTTTTATCCTTCATTATAACTTAGTGAAAGATTAAACTTGTTACAAAATATCCACTTTAAGAAAGGTCATTACATTATTTAAAAAAACACAAACATTTGGCAAACTGGACAAGGCAGTAGAGCAGTTTTACCATCAGTCAACTCTGTAACAAGCAGAGCAGCACGGCGCTCCTCGTTGTCTTAATAAACAAGCAGAAAAGGCTGGCAAAACATACAAACCAACACATCCAACAGGACATGCCGGCAATAGTGCATAGAGTCAGTAAGACACCCAGCATGTCTTATTAGGAACAAAAAATTCAAAAATCTACTGAAACTGTTTTTTTTTTTATCATTATAATGCTAATAAACTATATTCTAGAGTGCTTTATTTCCTGAGCGGTTCAGAAAATGCAGTCGTCCAGCTTAACTTCTGATCGGCATCGCAGCTCTTAGATGTTTGGGAGGTGGTAGTTAAACTTGCGCAGGTTGTTGTAGTACTTTTTATTGTCCAGGGCTGGAAAGATGCTGCTGCTGGTCAACTGTGGCAAATACTGGAGAGGAAAATAAAAAGGAATGAGTCCATTTTTAAATATATTCATCATGCATATGTATTCAAACCTCCTATAGTGCTGTGCAGTGCGTGCCTTGCAACAAGAAGGTTCTGGTTTCGATTGATCATGGAGTTAGCATGTTCTCCCTGAGCATGCTTGGGTTCTTACCTGGTATTCCGGCTTCCTCCCACAGTCCAAAAACATGACTGCTAATTGGCCTCTGTATTATGAAATTTAGGCAGGATCGGGATGAGTCGGCAATAAACATGCACACACAGAACACACAAACTGTTTCTGCTAGGATTAAAATGTGTCGTTTTATTGCCGACTCATCCCGATCCTGCCTAAATTTCATAATACATTTTCTGACGTCACGAACGGGATGGATTACACTACAGGGGTCACAGAGACTAACTTTACACCTTAACTTCAGAAGGACTGATGGCGTGCAGCTGCTGAGATGCAGACATTAAGGAGGTGACTGGATGCCCACTGCTTCAGATGAGAGCAGGCCACTGGCAGTGATGGGGGTCTGCTAGGGTTGCGTACGGACGCCTAGCTGCGCGGGTTGCTGCCCTGCAGGGATCGACCGGCCCTCCGATCCTTGTGTCACGGTAGGGGGGACAATATAAATTGTATTGAGACAATATAATTTGTATTCAGCACCGTGCCTTGATTGATGTGCTTGCTTTGCTGTTTTCTATGGTGGAATAAAACGACACATTTTAATTCTAGCAGAAACTGTTTGTGTGTTCATTTTTATTACTGACTCACCCTGATCCTGCCTAAGTTTCATAATACAGCCTCTATAAATTGTCCTTAGGTCAGACTGGCGACGTGTCCATGCTGGACCCCGCCTCTCGCACGCTAACAGCTGGAGATGGACACCAGCACCCCTCCCAACCCCAGCAGGGATAAGCGTGACGGAAGACGGATGGATGGATGGATGGATGGATGGACGGACGGACGGACGGACGGATGGATAATGTAACAAAGTGTGTGGTTAAAGTGGAAGGAAAAGATGCTTTTCCAACTTCTTTAAAACAGTAAAATCACATTTCAGTCCCGTAGAAGCTGCCTTTCTTGGAATTTTTAAACAGTTTTTTGAATCTGGAGAGAAATAATTTGAAGCATTCTTTTCAAAATAGGAAGAATTCACGCTAGATAGAAAAAAATTGTGATCATTTTTTTTTTATGTCTACTCAAGGATTCCCATCCTAGAGCTCTGGTTGTTTGTTCAGGATCAACCTCTACTTTTCACTCTTGCAGCATCTATAACAGATTTCCATGCAGGACTGTATGAAACACCTTTGCACACGGGTCACAAAGTAAAAACAGTGATTAAAAGCTAAATAAACAAATGAATAGGAAGATTAAGGATGTGCTTTAAAAAGCTTCCCTTTAAAAGTGGCCACAGTGTCCAGGGAGCTATCTTTCATGGAAAAGTATGACCTTCGTGTATTGAATGATTGGAATATATGGAATGAATACATTAATTTATTCGATAATAAATCTTAAACAAGCATAATTTTTATTCCAGCTAGAAGTTTAGTTTAAATTTATGTTGAAATCACAGTGAGCCACATTAAAGTCTCTGATTCTAACTTAACAAACCCTAATCAAGTGGAATTAATGAGCATCTCTCTGCTATACTGGATAGATTTTGTTCTGTATATTTATTTTTTTTAGCTAATGGTTTGACCCAGTTATCTACCAATGAAGAGATGAATTGTAATGGGAATAGGAATGTCAAACTGGTTTGCACAAGATCGCCTGAATGACAGCATGTGGACACCATTATTATTGCTCACCCCGGGGGGAAGGTGTCTACGAGGTAGACGGGTCCTCTTGTAGTTGGTACGATCCAGTTCTCGAGACGTGCTCTCGCTTTTTTCTCTCATACTGTCAAAGTAGGGGTGGCGTAGGAGCTGCTCACAGCTCAGCCGCTCAGACGGGTCCATTTTCAAACAGCTCTACATGATCAATATGTGAAACAAAATAAAAATACTATCAATCAAGGTATTGACTCCATATTAGGAAGTTATTTTTCTCTATTGGGGGTTTAAACATTCTTACCTTCATAAGGCTCAGAGTTTGATGTGAGAGATTTGGATATTTTTGTTCCAGAGGTTCCTACAAAACCAAACATGATGAAGGAGATTATTAATGTTTAGATTCGATTGTTTCTGGATAAAGGTTTGCAAATCTTTTTAAGTTTTTACGGCACTAGTGACTCGTTTTTTTTTTGACAGGAGAGAGACATGCGGGAAAGGACCACAGGCCGGATTCAAACCCGGGTCGCCCACGTCGAGGACTAAGGCCTCCGTACGTGGGTCGTGTGCTTACCACACTGCCACCTGCAGGCCCAAAGGTTCACAAATCTGACTTAGAAATATAAACATGTAATGCAGCAGGGGTAGAGACTCACCATCTCTGGTGGCTCAGGGATGGAAACTCCGCAGAAGAACTGGTTGTTGCTGAAAACCTGCTGATGTCGAGGAGTCAGATCTCCTGCAGGAGGACAGAAAGCGTTGAGCTCAGTCAGATCTGCTTGACAAAAACAAACTATATCGAATCAGGAAAAAACTTTATGCTTTTAATATCAATTTGACTACATTTTCCAAATAAGTCATTTTCTGGGCATCATCCCAAACATATTAAGTATTTTACATTTTAAAGAAATTCAGTAAATATTACCTAGAAGAGCACCAAATTATTCTGTGGAGAAAATTGGTAAATTCTGCTATATTTTATTGTCCATTTCCTCTGATCAGCTCAGACAAGAGACTTAAAGCTCAGGACTGCACAGAGCATATATCCTTCTAGTTTTGGGTATTTATTGGCATTTTAACTCAGGGTCTCATGAACCTATGCTTTACATTCCTATTAGATTGAACCTATTAAAGTAAAAGTTCACACATGATGATAAATGTCTCTGCAAAGAACTGTGATGGTAGATAAAAGTTGAAGAAATATGAGACACGATTTGGCAGAAAAGCTACAACAAGTCAATAACTTTATAATTGATTGAAAACTTTATTGATCTCACATTGGAGAAATGTACCTCTGCATTTAACTGCATATGGGCTGCCATAGTGGGGCCCCTGGGGAGCAATCTGGGGTTAAGGGTCTTGCTCAGAGACCCAGAGTGGCAGTCTGTGGGAGTGGGTTTCGAACTCACAACCTCAGGATTCGAACTATACGCCCTACCCACTAGGCTGCCACTGAAAGTGTCCAAATTATTAAATGGTAACATTTCTATGTCCCTACATCCAAACCCCCACAGGTTCAGGACGGGTCTCACCCAGAGTCCTCCGGATCAAGTAAAGCTGGTCCATGTCCGACTTCCCGGGCCACAGAGGAATCCCAGAGAGCAGCTCCGCAAACACGCACCCAACTGCCCACACATCGACAGGGGCCCCGTACTGGGTGTCCCCAACCAGCAGCTCTGGGGCCCGATACCAGCGAGTCGCTACGTAGTCCGTGTAGTAGTCACACGGGCCGGCTGAAAACACAAAAAGGCTAATTTTAGGGAAGAATTACGGGGGGGAGGGGTCTGTCTAAACTTGTTCATCATCAACCCTCTATGAACAGGAAGGATGTTGATCTCATTTCATGACAATATTCATTTAATAAAGGCTTCAGGCCATCTTATTTATTTCATTTCCATCAACATCCCATAGTGACACACAGCTGGATTTTTCCTGGTGGTTAGATGAGCTTCAAAGCAAGAAAATATTCAGACTTTTTTGAAAAATATTCCAGAATTGGCCATAAAATGTGTATTATGGTTAACATTACTTTACCTGAGGAATAAATACCTGGTTGGGTTAAGCTTACTGGGATCTTTGCAGATTGACTTAAATGTTTGTTTTCAGTATTTGCCCTGAGTTCACTTAAAATGATCTTAAACAACCACTAAGTGGCAGCATCAACAGTTTACCAGGAAACCTACTGAGAATCCTGGCAAAGCCGAAGTCACAGAGTTTGATGACTTGGTGTTTGGTGATGAGAATGTTTTCTGGCTTGACGTCTCGGTGAATGCACTGCAAAAACACAGATAGCAGCCATCAATCAGAGGGTGTTTTTGGAACATTTGAAGAGCAAATTCTGAGTAACAATTCAAAGATAAAGAGAATAAAGTATTTGTGAACGAGGAAACTTGGAGGGAAAAGGGGCTTTCTGGATTTTATGGCACCCCGATATACAGGGGCCCTTGTAGCATTGGTTGTGTCTAGGTGATACATTAACGGCTGGTTGGCCAAGGGGAAGGAATTCATGCAGTAAAAGAAGAGCCGTAAAGCTGAGGGCTCGGTGGGAGATGGAGAAGGGAGGAGAGCTCAGAGGAATTTGAAAAACAGCTTTGATGAGAGGAGGATGAACTGCACTGGGGAAAACAAAAACAAAAAAAAAACATGGTGCACTCACTCACATTTTGTTTGTGACAGAAGTTGACGGCTTGAAGCGTCTGCCAGGTTATACTTTTGACCAGGTGCTCCGGGATGCTGAGGAAATCAACACTCAAGTGTCACTTCTATTATATTGTCCAGCAATCCACACACACACACACACACACACACACACACACACACACACACACACACACACACACACACACACACACACACACACGTTATGTCACAATATCCTTGTGGGGACCTTCCATTGACTTCCATTCATTTCCCACTAATCTATATGGCCTAACCGTGACCCTTGCCCTAACCCTAACCATTACCGACACATACCTATCCCTAACCTAAACTCAATTCACACCTTAGTCCTAAACCTAACCCCCACCCCAAGAAGAGAAACTTTCCTTATGGGGACCAGTTGTTGGTCCCCACAAGTACCTATGAGTCCCCAAAATGTAGCATATTCCTAGGAAATTGTCCCCACCAGTTATTAAAGACATGGCCACACATTACACACACACACACACACACCTTTATTTTCATGACATATGGGGACATTTTATTGACTTGCATTCATTTTATATGGCCTAACCCAGACCCTTACCCTAACTTTAACCAATACGTACCTAATCCTAACCTAAACTGAATTCACACCTTAGTCCTAAACCTAACCCCAACTCAAAGAACAGAACTTTACCACATAAGGACCGGTTGAATATGTCCCCATATGTACCTGTAAGTCCTCGCATGTAGGATATTTTACAAAATACGTCCCTCACATTGCAGGTAAAACAAGACTACACACACACACACACACACAAACTCAATCTGTTTTGTTCAACTGCTAAAGAACAAATGATGCATTGCATAAAGCGTTTCACTTTTTGTCTCTTTACAAATAAAAATTTCAGTTTATTTGTTCATTCAAATTAAACAATGTAAAATTAAAGTGGAACAAAAAAGAGAAATAATTTTTTTTTTCACAAATAGAAAATGTCAGAAAAGTGTGGCATTTTAATTAAGTTGGAGTGAAATAAAATTTGGAGGTTTTTTTAGGATGCATCTCTGCAGGTTTGCATTTCTTAACAATGACTTATTTTTCCATCGTGGACAGAGACTCTAGGTCTGGCCCAGTGTAGCATATAAACAGGGAAGAGTTTCTTTTCTTGCAGGATTGACCCATATTTAACCTCATCCAGCTTTCTGTCGACTGTGACTGGCCTCTTTGTCCTTATGGTCTGATGGTTTCATCATGGAGATGGCATGCAAGAATTTTTATCCGCCTTTCATTTTACATGCAGATCAAAAAGTTCAATTTCATATACGTAGTTTTTCTTCATATAAATGCAAATACTTAACTCGCTTTAAATGTGAAAAAGTCAAACGCTGAACACTTTTCCAAAGCTCTGTAAAAAAGTTTTATTCTGACATTCAATTCTTTCCTCATCACCGAATCCATAAATATCCCAAATTTAAGAAAATCAGTTTCTACTTTCCCTTTCTGTGCGTCAAGATTTCCAGACTGTTTTTTTTTTTCTTCGGTTGATGACAGGGAACAACAGAGCTGCTGTTTCCACTGAGAGCCTTGATGTTCAGCCCCGAGGCTCTGCTGGCTCTGCAGTTGCCATCGATCACTGTTGCCGTGGAAATGGCTAATTCGAGCCTTGTGTCTGCCGATCAATTATAATCTCCATCCTTTCTCTCCATTTTCTTTTCCCCCATCTGAATGAAATGCAGCTCGCAGGCTACAGGCCGGGAGCAGAAAGTAGAAACGGGGCAGACAGAATGCTCCCGACTATGAATTAAGGTTTGCTGCCAATGAAAGCCTCTTTAAGAGCATCACTGTAAGCATACCATGGAGAGTCGGTCGGCCTCTGTGGAGACCAGAGCTCATCTGCACATCAAAGCGGGACAGACCCTAGTGGATGCTGACGAATACACGTCATGGTTTTTGCTCTGGTTGGTACAGAGCGCTTGCACGCCACTTTCATTTGGTTGTCAAGTTACAAATCAGTACAATTATATTCAAGTGGAAATTTAAAGTGGGGAAAAAAAAGGATTACCAACAAGGCTTCTTCAATAAGAGGTTTACAACGTTCCAACTTTATGAGCTGGATACTCATCAAGATGTCCTTTCTGTGCTGTGATTTAACTTCCCAGCATAGTGAATTCTGTCCTTATGTATTTATATAGAAATAAAATAAAAAAATTGGAATAAAAAAAACTTCTTTACTTACAAAACACATACAAATACAAAACACTTTACATTCTGCATGATACGAAGTAAATCACATTTAATAACCCATCAGGGATCCTTTTCTCCTACATTTGTTTTTATTAATGGGAAACTAGTACTTTTTGAGCTGTTTATAATTACTTAACAAGAGTAATTCTGTTGTAGAAGTTCTTAGTTTTCCTTCTTGTTCCAGTGTCCTACTAAAGCACCCAATAAACTATTTTCATCAGAAGCACAAACATTCATTCGTTGGAACGGGATCTCTTGAAACTGACCAAAAACAAGTAGAGCCTAAAAGGAAAGGTGTAGGAAAAGGACACATTTTTCCAACATTTTCCTAACATTCCTGTTCTCCAGGTCTGTACTTATTGAAGGGTAGAAGATGAATTTTAAAGCAGAACATAAGAAGTTCTGTTTGCAGCTCGCCTTGAGTTTATTTTTCCTAATTGTGTCAGATGTTCCAAGCAGAGCTGGATTTTTTAAAAACAGGATTGGAGGCAGATCTTTTATTTTTCAGGCTCCTGTCCTGAGAAACCAACTCCGTTATATTGTTAGGATGTTTGGGAGACGGGTCTCTGTTACACTAGGCTTTGTTTTTTTTACTGTTCATAAAGCTTATAGTTAAAGTTAGGTTATCCTGAGCTATATCCATAATAATGCTGCTATAGGCTTAGTCTGCTGGAGGACATAACACTTTTTCACACTCAGCTATAATCCACTACTCTTCTTCCCTTCTATGCTGTGTTATTTACTGCTCTCAGATAGCACTAAGCATTTCACTTTCTATAATCTCTGTTTTGTTTCCTCCTCACAGTAGCTACATCTGGCCTGGTGTTCAGTCCAGCTGCAACCATCCTGAAGGGAGTCATCAGCTGGGCTGCTGCTGATTATCTATTCAGTCCAGATTTAATGTAGTTAAGTCAGTCTATCCAATTGACACTGTGACAGAATGTATGTTCTCCATTTCATCTTCCACACCTGATCTTTGCTTTAGAGCTCATCTGTTTCTATTAAACCACTAAAGGTGTTAAACTGCTATTGAGTTTTTACTTTTCTTTTAAAGTGAAAGTACTTCTAGATCAATGTATCATGCATAAAACATTGCTCCATGGTTGGTATGAGTGATTGTTGCAAAGTCAACACCACAATGTCACTTTGTCCAAGGAGAGAGGATTCTCAGAGTCTTTTACTCGATGCAATCGGCTGGGATGTTCGATAGAACACGCTTTAAACTAATCCTTCTTTGATATTTCATGGATTATGTAAAGTTTCTTGACACAATGTGACAAGATTGCCAGACTGGGGAAAATGGTTTTCCTGCAGAACCTCAAGTTACAACGAAATGTTTTAAAAGAATGCATATTTAAGAACAGATCTCTAACAAAGAACCACTGAAAGACTGGAAAATTGCTATTTACAGATACTCTCCCTGGTGAAGTGACAGAGCCTGAGATATTTTGGGGTTAAGAAGAGTCTGACACCCCCAATGGGTTTCCATGTGAATTCAGCACCAACTGAGAAGTGCTGAACAATCACACGCAAAAATACAATTCTGTCACAATTCTTAGATTTATATTCATAGAAAATGTTGAACATGCATGTACTCCTTTAATCCACATTTTATATGATATGCGCTGATCTAGCATATAAAAAAACACTAAAGTTTGAAGTTGCAAAGAGATGATGTAAAAAAAAAAAAGGGATAAATGATTTTAAATAATCAAATAACTGAATGAAAATGATGTCATGTGTTTGTGTTACTGTGCGATGAGGAGACACCCACCCTGCTGGATGGCGGTCCAGCTCGTTGAGGACGGTGTGATCACAGTATTCAAACACCAGGTGAAGCTTCCGTTTCCTTCTGAACACTTCAATCAGATTCACCAGGTTGGTGTGCTTCAGTTGCTGCACAAGCGCAGAAGTAAAGAACACCAAATATTTAGTTAAAACAAAAACAGCCCAGTTAACTGTGGGGTCCGCTTTATCGCTTCTTCTGGGGTTTGCTCTCAGTCTACAGTAGACGGGAGCTCATAAACATGCTGTTGCCCCTGACAACTTGTCCTATTTATGAGCTCCTGGTGGACTACCAACACTCCCACCCTCTGCATGACTGATTTCAACTCTGACGAAAGCACAACTGTATCTTTTGTATGTTGCAATATATGACAACATAAATGAAATTTTGGCCATATAAGTAAGAGAAGCAGAATTTATAAATTGTATCTTCACATCCCAGGATCTGGGGTGATAACTGGCAGGTTAACAATAATAGTTTTTTAGGATTTTTTAACCACGTTCTTCACTTTAACCGGTTGCTAAGTATATACTAACTGAATCTGATTATTTGTTTTTACCTTGAGCATCCGGATCTCCCTCAGTGCGATCTTTTTGATGACGGGATCATCCTCAGACTCTACAAACTTCTTGATGGCAACGATCTGTCCGGTGTCCCTGTTTCTGCACTTGAAGACAACACCATAGGAGCCCTCGCCAATCTTCCCTATCCTCTCGTACTTCTCCATCGTCCAAGTCAGGCAGTGAGGGACAACAAACGGGGAGGCAGGAGCGTCTCTGCAGCTGCAAAACAGAGGGAGATGTTTGGCTCTCAGAGGGAAAACGGAGAGTGAGAGTTAGAGTAACCCGACCACTGACTGCTTTTGGTTGCAATGAGGAATAATTACAAAACAGAATTGAGTGTTCCTTTATGACTGTGCATCACACATATAGGGTAACATGCAAAACAGAATTGACTGGACAGAACTATTTTTATCCATCTTTAAGCACAAGCATGCCTTCAAATAAGTGTGTTACAGCCTGATGTAGAACTAAATGTTTAAGATAACCTCTTAAACTACCTGTAAAAAGAGAGAGGTCCGGAGAACATTATACCTGTCTCCAAACAGTTAGATTGCATAAGGAAACATTTGCAATGCAAAGTATGTGAGGTAATTCTCCACACGGTGCAGAAAGAGAAAACAAATAAAGGAGCTTCCTAAACAGCCAAGGAAAAACAGTCAAAACAAATCAGCAAAGGTAAATAAAGGAATTAAATGTGCAAATAAAAAAATTCACGTGTGATTATAACCCTTAGCTGATAGTAAAATATATATGCAATTTATTTGGTGTTATTTTTATTAGATTTGTAACAGAAAATCTTATTTTGAAATTAAAATTCCTTACCTGTTTGCAGGTGGTCAGTCAGGACGATGCTGCTCTTCTCCACAACCAACCTGTGAGAAGGACAACTAAAGATCAACTATCCTACAGCTGCTGCAGGGGATGCATTTAAAGCCTCAAGCCAGACATAATTAGCTTCTCTTCCGGTCAAGCTTTTCAAAATAAAACTCCATCCTGTGTTTCTATCCGTTCGGTAAATATTTCTTCAAGTTCCAAATTTATGTGGGAGAGAAATGACTGGGATTGTCCTCCTGAAGCTTAGGAAGTATGAAATAATTTCTCAAAGCTCTTAACTGCAAAAAGGCTCACATTTAAAACAATATCTGTTAAAGTCTAACAATGACTTAATGCATCTTATTAGAAAGACAATTCAAACCCATCTTACATGCAATTTAAAAACTGTTATTGTTTCAAAACATTATTAACATCATACTAGTTCAAAGTAAAATTTATCCTTAAAATGGAAGGAAGCAGTAACTGGATTTCCCTCTGACTCGAGAGCAGGACGTCACAGAGCTGCCCCTCTCCCATCAGTTGCTGCGCACTGCTTTTCAGCTGCAATAACTTAAGGTCATGAAACAATCACTGTAAAGCTTTAAAAATGCTAAAATGTTAAATCAGTGGAGTCCATGCTTTATTTAAGCCTAATTGGTCAGCTAATATGAGCTCCTTTGACTTTTTGTAAAAATTTAATGTTCAATACAATTTAGACTTCTACCTAATTTAACTACAATAATTGTTATTTGCTCTGTGCTAAAAATGAAAAAATGCATTTAAAACCACAATTTAAACTTTTCTTTTATGTTTATGTCCACGTTTCTTTTATCTATTAACAGCTATAACCTGTTACCTAAATTGTTTCACAATATCAATAGCATTTTTTTGCAGCAATATTCACTAAATACAGATTTTAACAAGAGATAAAGGTCACCACAGTCATTTTTACTGCTGTCTCACTTTTGCCAAACGTCCCACTTTGGTTTTATTTTGAAGGTACCATCTGCTTTATGATTCACACTCTTGTTGGTAACTTGACACATTTATGGCTTTTCAAGCTTAGTTTCTATAGAAACAGTCGACTCAACCTATTGAGAAGGGAAATGGATCCCCATGTCCATTTTCCAATCGAACCAAAAATTCCCAGCTACATTTATCCTTTGACAAATTATGAGATTAACTTCTAAGGTGATATTTGACGTCATCTAACTGGTGACACCAGGCTGCAGTTCAATCACACTGGGACCAATTAGTGAAGCCAAAGATGAGGCAGCCTGAAGGGGGAAATCATGTAAACAAACACCTATTTTCTCATTTCCCAAAGGATCTTCAGCTTTTATGCGACTCCCACTTCCCGCCCAAACAAACAGACAGCCTGCTTTATCATGTTAAAAGCTTTTTTATTACAAAAAGTACATATTAAACATTTTGCGAAGGGAATGCAGAGATGTTATTAAAACCTAGCACTGTCCCCCTGTCATTTTATTTTAAATAAAAATAATGTACAAAAGTGCTTAAATGGTGCAAGAGTAGTAAAATGTCTATAAAAGAAAAGAGTGAAGAAAAAAAAAAAAAAACATGTACATTTTATCCAAGTACTAAAAAATGCGACAGAGCAGGAGATGCAACTATATCACACGTCGATAAAAATATCCCACAGCTAATCAGGGACTGTTCACTAGGTAGTTAATCCTGATGCAGCGTAAAACTCTGACCGTCTGGAAACCAAACATTCCCAATGAACTAAAGATGAGGTTAATAAATATTGCTTAAATAACCTACAAGGCTCAAGGGTTTCCTTAAAAAACAACCTATCGACTTTTGGCTACAAAGTGTGTAATATTTCTCTTGAGCCTTTTGGTATCTGTCACTATTAAGGATTATGTGTGACGTGTTAAAACCACAAAAACTATTTGATCTCCCAATGCTTCTAATAGAATCACCATGGGTGTGAATTTTAATGGCACTTTAGTCAATAATACCTGTAGACAGTTTGTTCACAGTACAGAGAAGTGAGAAAGCGGTAAGGTACTCTGTAACATTTGTTTCTCCACTTCCAGCTCCCGCCGGTTTCCCTGTTTCTTGTGTTAAGTTGTGCTACGCTGAACATCCTGCTGTTGTAAGGCTACTAACGGATCCGCACTGAAGAAGCTCCTGGTATACTGACCGGTGGATCCGTTTTAATCCATATAAGCTCCCAGTAATTGTTTCCCTTTACAAAGTTCAGACGTAGGTCTAAAACTCCCAAAAACTGTGGAATCTTCTTTCCTTCTCCAAGAAGAAGCCGTTGAGCTTCTGAGGATCAGTAACTGTTCTCATGGCCGGCTAAAATGTAAAGGTTGCTCAAAGCCGTCGAGTTGTCTGTTGGTCGGCTCTCCAGAACGACCACCCTGGAGGAGAAACAGGAAGAAGCACAGAGGACGTTAAACAGGCGCGATGCTGTGAGGAACTCAGACATAAAGGTTATTCTACGCTCTGCGGGCGTTTGTCGCGTCTCAATAAAATCTTTATGGTAACTGTTCAAAAATATCACTTTGATGGAGAGAATAAAGCAAAAAGTAGAACGATCAGAGAGCCAGGACAGACAGACAGACAACACTCTTCAGTGTGGGTGCAGTTACTCAGTGACTCCATCATTCCAGCTTTTCTGTGGGTTTTATTTAAGGAGCTTTTTGAAAAGAAAAAACATTTTCTCCCACATGTTAAGTGGCTGCAGTTTGTTCAGGCTGTGATACCAACAGGAAAACAGTGATACTCATGAACTACCAACCACTGCAATCCAAGGTTTGAGGAGATTTGAGTCTTTATTAGGATTTTGGAAAACTTAAATTCACAAACCTGTTTTCTACTGATCTAAGTTTGATGCTATTTTAGCTCTAATATAAACAATTAATGACCAATGAGGGCAGAGAGGTTAGCATATTTTCAATATTATGATGCTTTCAATGTTGTACTTCTCTCTTTTTAAATTGATTTAAAGAAAAACTGTATCGGGAGGTCAAGGATTTACAAAATCAGTCATGGAGTTGAAATCAACGGATCCCTACTAATAGGTTATCAATTAAACTGATCATATTGTTGGCTGACTTTAAAAAAAAGAAGTATACTGGTATTAAAACCACTATTGGGTAGAAATGATAGGCTCTTTAAGTTGGTTCTTTATCCCCTCCCTGCACTTGCTTCTCTTCAAAGGAATTATATATTTGTAGTAATTCAACCGTCTGAAGATAAGCAGCAGACGTACAGGATACTTTAAAGGAACTAGCATTTATAATACTTATCAGATCACTTAATACAATTAGTTGTCTTTTCAAACTAACCTAGAAAAAGAAAACATGTCGAATAATAAAAGAAAATCCATTATCTGGCTGCACTGTTCATAAACTTCCTGATCGGTGACCTTCTGTGCCATCCTGACATGCAGGACATGCTGAGTGGATCGCTCAGTCAGTTTGCAGACAACATTCATGCATGTTAAGCAACAGTATGATGTCAGATCAGGACGGGGGTCACTGCGTCTTCAGATACAATCTGTCTCATGGTGACAGGAGAGCAGCTTAGCTGCAGTCCATACTGTCCGTTCCATTAGATGAAATTACAGAGCCGTGCAGACACAGAAACCAGGCTGGCAGTGCCCATGCTTCGGTGAATAAAACATGGAGGGCTGGGCAGCGGACAGAACGGGCACCACCGGTAACTCCCCGCCACTCCTCAGAGCTCCACCTTTATCCTGTACTCAGGGGTACAAACTAAAGCGCCATCCTTTAAGATCCCTTCTAGACTCTTACCATATATGAAAGAATTATTTACAGACTGAACTGACTTTCCGTAAAAATTCAAAAATATCCACTGGACTTGGTTTTCAAGATTTGAAAGATTTTCAAATCTTGAAAACCAAGTCCAGTGGATATTTTTGAATTTTTACGGAATGACTGACCTGGATGACTGAGAACCTTCATCGGCATACTGAACTGACGAGCAGCAGATTATTTAATCTGTTTATCAACAACTATTGTCTGATAACAGGATTAAGGTGATTGTTCTTGGGGCTTCGGCTGCAGCAGGTAGAGATATTCTGATAGCTGAATAAAGGTCAACAGATACAGAAACATCGACTGCATTTAAACCCAGCTGTCAGACATAACCAATCTATTCCAATCTGAACTCATTTCATGCTCACTTTGCAACCATCCATCCATCCATCCATCCATCCTTGCAGCAGCTAAAAGGATTTTAGAGTTTTTGTTTAGTTTCTCTTAATGACTCATAACACATTACATCAGTTTCTAATTATTTAATAAATATGATGTTTTTAATAAATATTTAGTAAGTGGTTAGTTTAATTAATCTCTAAGAACACAAAACAAAAGCATCAGATAAAATGAGATTATATGGAAAGAAAGACAAACACTATGAAAAGAGGCTAAATCACAGAAGATAATGAAAAACCTTTTCAGGGTGATGGGAACCCGTGAAAATAAGGTTAGCATCTAGAGACACTGAGTAAAACGAAGCAATGGAGGATAATAGAATCTCCAAACAGTAAAGATGAGTAAAGAAAAGAAAATCAGCTGCTGCTAAAGTAGCTCCACTCAGTGAGGTAATTAGTTGGTTAATTCTTTCAATTTAAATCTGAAGCAACATTTAGGCACCATGAGGACAGCCTTTATTAAACGTTCTAACCTGTCGGATCCCAGGAGGCGGAAAACTCTGCTTGGGTCACAGATCTCCTGAGTCACCTGGAAATTAGACAAAAACAGGATTTTTATTGAAAATCTTATCCAGTAAAAGAGACACATTAGGAATAATAAATAAATGAACAAGATGAGATAAATGGAGAAGTTTAACATTCCAACTGTTAACTTTTAAGCAGATATCAACAATTCATTCAGATTTCTTTAAAGAACCAACTTGGCTTATATTACGCAAATTAGGTGACAAAAAAAAAAAAAACAACTTTGCTCGTTTCCGTCTCATGATTTTCTGTTAAAGTTGAGCCTTTAACTAAGAAGTGGATCAGAAGCAGCATGTTTAAACCTTGAGGAGTCACAGCGAGCTAAATGTTCAAAATATGCTTACCGTATTTTCACGACCATAAGGCGCACCGTACTAAAAGGTGCAGTCTCAGTTATGTGTCCCATTTCTGTATTTAACACACATAAGGCGCACCGGACTATAGGGAGCGTTTTTTATATACAGGTACATGTCCTCTACTACCTTTAAATACCTCTACTGCGTATTTAAAAATACAGCGGGGGCAAAACTGAGTATGATTGTGCTTTATTCATGTATTTATTACAAAGTATTAATCAAACCCATCAAAGTCATCATCCTCTGTTTCTGAATTAAACAGCTGCGCTAAATCAGACATGCCAATTTCCCCTTCTTCGCTGTCAGAGTCACTTTCCGTGCAGCGCGGCTCCTCAGAAATAATGCCGGCTTTTGCGAAAGCTTGAACAACAGAGCCAGCAGACACGTTAGTCCAAGCATCTACAATCCATCCGCAAACGGTGGCGTAACTTGCCCGGCGCTGCCTTCCACTTATCGTGAAACTGTGGTCTCCGTCGGTCATCCATCGCTCCCACGCCGCTCGCAGCCTTACTTTGAACGGCCGCTTCACACCGATGTCGAGCGGTGGAAGTTCCTTTGTCAGACCCCCCGGGATAACGGCGAGCACAGCGTTCATTTGATTCACCTTTTTTTTCCACATCGGCTGTGAGATGGGCACGCAGCGATGGTGATGCGTGGAAAAAACCACCTGGTCTCCTCACATACACCTGCCTCAGCCACGCTTTCATCATCTCCTCATCCATCCAGCCTTTTTCATTGGCGTTAATATCATATGTCATCAGAGCGCTGTGTCTCTCGCTGTCTGCTCCCAGATCAGCTTCTCTGATTGGTTGATGCGGCGCGTCCAGCAGCAGAACTTCAATTTTTCCATCTCGAGCAGCAGCAGCGCGTTGGCAGATGCTTAAACGCTCCCGACGTGCTGCACCAAAACGCGCTGCAGGACCTTTTGCTGCACCTGTACGCGCGTCAACCATTGACTTTGCATGTAAACTCGCTGCTTCTGCTGCACCTGCTGCGTCCGGTTCACACCGATGTCGAGCGGTTGAACAGCGAGCACAGCGTTAATTTGTTTCCCCATGTTTTTCACATCAGCTGTGAGATGGGCACGCATGGAGTCACATATTAACAGCGATGGTGATGAGTGGAAAAAAAACACCTGGTCTCCTTACATTCAGCCACTCTTTCATCATCTCCTCAATGAGGTGGTCTCAAAAGTCGCAGTTACAACACACATAGGGCGCACCGCACCATAGGGCGCACCGCACATTTTGAGGGGAAAAAAAGACGTTTAAGTGCGCCTTATAGTCGTGAAAATACGGTAATTGTTTTTTTTTTTATTCTCAATGTTTCAGTCAGTTTTATGATTAATGCTCGAAAACTCGGCCAGGATTTGCTTTATTATTTATTTCCAGAGGTGTCAAGTAATGAAGTACAAATACGTCATTACTGTACTTAAGTACACTTTTTAGTTATCTATACTTTACTCCATTACTTATTTTTCTTCTGACTTCTATTCATTACATTTTCACACAAGTATCTGTACTTTCTATTCTTTACATTTTTAAAACAAACGTTACTCGTTACTCTTGGCTTTGGTTTAATGTTTCTAAATCTTTATTTCCCGTCATGCGCTCCATCCAATGCAGATCATTGGCTCCGCCCACATCTAGTGAAAACTAGTGTGATTGGATGAGTCATAGAACGCAAACACTCATTGGTTAGCTAAAGGAAATCATCAGAAGCCAGCAGGTGTTCTTCAAACTGCTAACGTGAATTGTCTATGCCATGCTACAATGTGGGATTCAGAAAAAGATGCTGAAATGTCTGAAAGGTCGGACACAGGCGAGAGCGTATCGGGAGACGGAGACCAACCAGACCTCCCTCATCCTTGGCCCTATCTCAGAGAATTTATAGAAATAATCGTAAATTTGAGCTTTCAGTTCATATAGCGGCATCTGGCTGTTTTTTTTAAAGGTTACTTTAATACTTTTATACTTTAAGTAGTTTTGGGAGCACATACTTTTTCACTTTTACTTGAGTAAAGAGGCCAAGTTGATACTTCAACTTTTACCAGAGTGTTTTTAAACTGCAGCATCTATACTTCTACTGAAGTAACAAATGTGTGTACTTATCTCACCACTGATTATTTCTGAATTTCTTCATCCTTTATGTAACATTATGCAAACACTTTACCTTTAGTAAGGATGTGATGACTCCCATTAGAACGACTAATTTTTGATACATAAAGAATCTTGACATTTAATCATAAGTTTTTCATGGAATTTTTAAACATCAGTATTTTTGGTTAATATTGCATTTTTTCCCCCTTTCTAATGGTTCAGGGATTTTCTTTCATTCTTTTTTAATACAAAGGGACACAAACATATTAGAACATTTAGTAAATATCAAAAACTTTGTATCTATGATAGATTTAAAGCTGTTGAACAGATCTGATGCCAAGAAAGCGAATAAAAAATATATATTTTTTAATTTGTAAATCATGCAATTTTGGAACCTCACGGTTTAAATTGAATCATTAATAAAACAAAGCTGGCTCAAAGGTTAAGGAGAGTGTTTCTTAAAGAAGAATGGGCGTGTTAATTTATATTTCCGTGCAAACCTGTTGTAACAGTAAGGTGCAGCCCCGTACGACAGAGGAACAAACGAGGCTTTTCTAAAGTCCCGCTTGCTGACAGATGTGAGATAGTCGACGGATGACACCTGCAAGGTGTAAACTCTTGGCCTTGGGAGAGACTTGATCTGTTTTATTCTCAAATGGCTACAAGGTCTTGGTTATTCAAAGGAGCATCCACCCAAGACCAGCATGGTTCGCCAGGCAAGACCCGCCCTTTAAGTCTTATGAGAAGAATCATAACGAGACAAAGGCTGAATTATTTAGTGCTGCTCCCTGTTGTGTGACAGGCTGCGTTTATGACTGAACATGAATTTTACATGGCGACTGACATTTTTAACATCCTTGCTATGGGAGAACTGCCGAGTTGGGCCAGGCACACACTTAGGAAAGACCTTTTCTGTTTCGGCCGACTGCTCCAGGACCAGGACCGACACAGGCAGAGTTCGTATGGGTGGCCTCTATAGCCGTATCCCCTTTCATAAAGGAACGCTTCACCTCCCTGTGATCTTTTGAACTTTTATTGTGCAGCTTTGCTTGACTCAAGATCAGGTTAACACTGAATCCCTCAGTGAAAAGGAGAACAAATTCTTTACTTTGGCCAAACAAAGAAACTTTGTCTGGTTCCACCTGAAAGCAAACATCTAGGGATCAGTGACGGCTTGTTTCTGTACAGAGAGGGACAAGACCTCAGGGCTCCTGGTTACACAAAGGGATGTTTGTCCATTTTTTTCAGTAAACAAGCCAAAATTAAGCAGCAGGAAACATTAACCGATAATAGTTTTAAGTTCCAAGTATAATAATCAGGGAGGGAAGAAAATGGAGGGGGAAAAAAAGCTGTGCACAAAAAAGAAAGAAAAAGGAAATAGCAACCAACACATACTTTTAACCATCTGTAAGGGTTATTACATAACTACACCCAACTTTAGAGGTTCTATTACATTTACCTCATTGGACTTGAAGCTCTTTCCCTGCATACCATGCTTCCAGAAGGCCAGGACGCTGTCCTGAAGGCACACTGCAATAAAGAAATATGAGCCACTTCATTAACAGACATTACTTATGGAAGCCAGAAAATATAAAAAAATAAACGTGATAAAAACCCAATTAAATCAGAGCAAGTTACAAAAATAAGGTTTTTTTTAAAAAAATAAATAAAACAGCTCTCTGAAGAAAGGGAATATATATATAAACAACAGGGTTTACTTTTGGGGGAAATCTAATGGTTCTATTTAAAGTTGAACACTCAAAATATTCACACCAATAGTTTTTAAAATGTTTGTGAAATCTGTTCTTTGAAACACATTCATTGATTTTATTTAATGAATAAAAATCTGACTATCAAATAAAGTTAAATAAAGTTACTTTTTTATTGCATGAGGACCAATTTCTATGTTGATTAGAATTTCAATATATAACAAAAATAGAAAATACTGGCCATCAACCATGGCTGTAGATTCTTTTACAGATATATTATACCACAGCAGCTGGATACTAGATTCAACTTGGAGGCGAAGGTAAAAATTGGAGAATTGAAAAGCCCCCCACAGCTGGCTGAAAAAAAACGTTACTACATTTCCTCTGTTGATAAATCAGAATAATTCACCAACTGGGAAATACTTCTGATATCCTCCGGATTGTACATGTGTGACTCTTACAATGTAAAATTGAAACATGAGCCTCATTTTTATGCTTTCTAATGAATAATGAACCCTACAAGCTGCAGATTAATAGTGAGATAGCCATTTCTAAAGGTAGCGTTCTTAAATCCTTTCCTCTGATGCTAAGTAGGCAACATGTGGGACATCTTACCAACAGCTCCAATGCAGAAGTCGAAGCTGAGCTCAGAGGCCAGCTTCTTGTTGGACTTCAGTCTGCCCTGAAGATTAACAATCTTTACATTTTCTACGAAAAGTTTAGGAAAAAGTAGGGTTAAAACTTAACATCTTCATTTATTTATGAATGTGGAAATTAAGCAGAGGTTATGCGAGTACTCACGGTCTAAACACACCAACACTGTGTCTCTCTCCAGCTGAGTGACATGGATTGCATCCACTTGCTGATTATCTGAAGGCCGGGGTGGATGGGAACAAACTCATTATCTTTAGGTGTGGAGACTAATTTCACATTGATTTTTTTAAACCTTAAATCATATTCAAATAGATGGGACCAAAATGGAGCTATTTTTCCTTACTTGTTCCCATCTCTGTGAACCAGGATGAACAAGAGTTGAGGTTGATGGTCTCAAAGCGAACCACCTGGCCCTGCTCTGTACCCTCACTGATGGCGACACACACCAGAGGGTACTCCTGCTCTGGGACCACCAACATTTCAAACACCTTGAGCGGGCTGGGAAGAGGGAAGTCAAAGTGCTGCATTGGAGAAAAGAACAAAGAGAGTGAAAAGGATGAATAGTGTTTACTGGTTCTGAGGAATCCTTAAGGGTGGGGCTTGATTCAAAGTTCTATCAACTACTGTCATGTTACTGGATTTAAATCAGCCTAAAGTGTATTCAAAGACACAAAGGAATCTGTTTGGAAAAAATTAAATAAAAGAGATGATTTTAATCTGAGGGAACAGATAATGAACTGACCTTGATGAGCATAAACCTTTGCATGGGCTCGTACCACTGCAACAGGACAATGCCGGACTGAAGAGCCCCACACAGGTACTTATGGCCTGTATAAGGGTTTCTCACTGCAATATTGAAAGGAACAGCGTCAGTTTGAAAAATAGTGTTTATACAACTTTAAAAAAATCAGAGGAAAAATGCTGCAGTAAAATGAAAATGATGGCGGGTTGCTAGGAAATTCTTATCAATAAAAACAAAATACCTGAAGAATTTTCCATAAGAAATGTATCTGAAAGATAAAAGTTACTTACCTATGCAGCATTTATGACAACCCTTTGTGTCGGGGATCTTTGTTGTCAGGGCAAAGCGCCTGAAAGAAAAACAGTTAAATATTGTGGTGAGCAAAGTCGAACAGGAAATGAGGTCAATAGATGAACATCCGGGATGTAGGCATGGTCTACAGCTCATGCTTTATAATCATCACCTAATATAATGCCACAGGAAATCATTCCTACCTGTGCTCATCAATCTCTATAACTGTAACTGGAGCGTGTAACAAAAGTAATTTCCCTCTGGGATTATTAAAGTATTTCTGATTCTGATAACTGCATCTCAATTAAGTTAAATCTTATTGATTGGGGAAATGTTTTTACTGTCAGTGTGCACATAAATCCAGGACCTGGGAAAGAACGTACGGTCACGTTCCTGTTTGTAAAGTTTAACCCATTCAGAGAGAACATCATGTCGGACCAGTATAAAATAGTGTGGACTGTTGCTTGGTGGCCAAAAAAAAAAGCTTTTCCAGACAAAGGCAACTTTTTATTTTTTAAACTCAATCTCAGTGTTTAAATGGAACATGAAGATGTATTAAGTCCATGTTCTTTAAGGACAAATATCTGTTGGTGCTGTTCCAGTTTCTTCTAAATCAAATCCAAAGTTAGCTCATCAATTTACCAAAAGGTTTCAGAGCACCTTATGCCAACGGATTTAATAGAGATGCTGATATCATTTTCCACAGGATTTGTGCACTTTCCAAATTTACCAAAAGTACAAATAACATCTTTAAATTAATGTAATGTATCACTGTGAGGAAACTAGTTTGATCCAAACCCTGCAGAGAATCCACAGCTTATTGTTAATGTTTATGATGCAGCGAAGCTAAAGAAGTCAGTTGAGCTGCAGGCGGCTGTTGAAGCGTCCCCAGAAACGCCATCACCACGCCATGCAGCACCGGTGCAGTAATTTATACGAAAATAGCCTCTACTAATTATTGAGCACATCGGCTTTACATGGAAACATTTATTCAGAAGTTACTACATTAAAAGAGATGTTGCGTTGGTCTAATATTTTTAATTTTTTCCCATATAATTGATTTCTTCATTTTTTTTTTTTTCTTTTTACGTTGTAAGCCACAATAAGCAAAAAGATCAGAAATTAGGTTTGAACCGTTTTAGTTCATATACAGTGGGTACGGAACGTATTCAGACCCCTTTAAATGTTTCACTCTTTGTTTCATTGCAGCCATTTGCTAAAATCAATAGAGTTCATTTTATTCCTCATTAATGTCCACTCAGCATCCCATCTTGACAGAATTTACTAAAAATGAAAAATGGAAATATCACATCTTCATAAGTATTCAGACCCTTCGCAAAGCACTGAGTTCAAGCACCCTTATCCAACTCTTGGGAATGATGCAACAAGTTTTTCACACCTGGATTTGGGAATCCTTTGCCCTTTTCCTTGCAGATCTTCTCCAGTTCTGTCAGGTTGGATGGTGAGCGTCGGTGAAAAGCCATTTTCAGGTCTCTCCAGAGATGCTTAAGCTTTAGATCAGGGCTCTGGCTGGGCCAGTAAAGAATGGTCACAGAATTGTTTCCAAGCCACTCCTTTCTTGTTTTAGCTGTCTGCTTAGGGTCATTGTCTTGTTGGAAGGTGAACCTTTGGCCCAGTCTGAGCACCAGAGCGCTCTGGATGAAGTTTTCTTCCAGAATATCTCTGTACTTGGCCGCATTCATCTTTCCTTCAATTGCAAACAGTTGTCCTGTCCCTGCAGCTGAAAAACATCCCCAAAGCATGATGCTGCCATCACCATGCTTTACATACCACTTAGAATTAACGCCGAAAGGTTTAATCTTTGTCTTATCAGACCAGAGAATCTTCTTTCTTATATTCTGGGAGTCTTTCGTGTGTTTTTTGGCAAACTCTATGCAGGCTTTCATATGTCTTCACTTAGGACAGGCTTCCGTCGGGCCACTCTGTCATAGAGCCCCGACTGGTGGAGGGCTGCAGTGGTCGATGACTTTGTGGAACTTTCTCCCACCTCCCTACTGCATCTCTAGAGCTCAGTGATCTTTGGGTTCTTCTTTACCTCTCTCACCAAGGCTCTCCTCCAACGACTGCTGAGTTTGGCTGGCCGGCCAGGTCTAGGAAGAGTTCTGGTCTCCCAAACTTCTTCCATTTAAGGATTATGGAGGCCACTATGCTCTTAGGAACATTGAGTGCTGCTGAAATTCATTTGTAACCTTGGCCGGATCTGTGCTTTGCCACACTTCTGTCTCTGCGCTCATGAGGTGGCAGTTCCTTCCACCTAATGATTCTCATTTGCTCTGAGATGCACTGTGAGCTGGAAGGTCTTATATAGACAGGTGTGCGCCTTTCCTAATCAAGTCCAATCAGTTTAATTAAACACAGCTGGACTACAATGAAGGAGCAGAACAATCTCAAGGAGGATCAGAAGAAATGGACAGAATGTGAGTTAAATACGAGTGTCACAGCAAAGGGTCTGAAAACTTATGACCATTTGATATTTTAGTTTTTCTTTAATAAATTAGCAAAAATTTCTACATTTTTGTTTTTTTTCTATCAATATGGGGTGCTGAGTGTAAATTAATGAGAAATAAAATCAACTTTTTTGATTTTAGCAAATGGCTGCAATGAAACACATTGAAAAATTTAAAGGGGTCTGAATATTTTCTGTACCAACTGTAAGATCTAATATTCATTAATTTCAGTTCAAACACTGAATTACTTTCAACAATTCTCCAATTTATTGAGATACACCTATAGATGGACACATTTGAGCATTCAAATCTTAGGACTTTAGTTTATTCCATCAGTAAACAGAGTAAAAAAAAAAAACACACAATAACTTTGATGAATAATTAGATATTGTCCTAAAGAGAAAAGCGTTCCATAGATGAAGATCTCACCTGGGCAAAATTTTGTCTGGGAAGCGGTGCGTCTGAAACTGAGCCGCGAGGCCAGGCTTCTTCAGCTGCTCGAACTGCCCGATCAGATTGTGAGAATACAGCTGGAAAGATCTCCCTAAAACACAGCAAACCCTGACGTTACCATCATGGAACAAGCAGAGTAGCGTTTCCATATAGAATAGGAGCAAAAAGGACAACATTTATTGCAGGTATCATTTTGAAACATTTGTCATTGTGACAATCAGGCTTTTCCTACAGGGAGGTTAGATGTGAACAGGGGGTAAAAAACAGAGGTGTTGATGATGATGATGATGGTGGTGATGTGAGGAATGATTACCTTCTGATGAAGCCAGTTAGTAGAATATCAAATCAAGCCAGGCGATAGGAGGATGGATAGAGTCCAAGGGAAGAGGAGAAGAGAACAGAGGTTAAGCATACCCAGGTGCAAACTGCTAAAGGTAAAACCGCAAGTAGACCTAACACCATGTAATCCCATCCTCGGCTGTTAAACCGAGCAAAGGATAGGCTCTTAGGAAAGCCAGATGCAGACGCTTTGGTTTCAAATGTAAGCTGAAACACAGCATTCCCGTCTTAAAAAACAAACTAGACTTGGTTTTACTGATAGTATAACACTGTGAAGCAAAAACAACAGAAACTGTTTTATGCGTTTATTCTTCACAAACTTAACCAGCTTGTAGGATTTGTGTTTCTTCTATCTTACTGTTCTACCACAGCTCGCATAGTGATCCTTACGGCAAACAGCAGAATCAGATATTTTAGGCCTGCAGATATAGAGTGACTGCGATGCCTTCAGGTGCAGCCAGATAACACAGGACAAAGACAAAGCTGGTTATAACAGAGGCCTGTCAAGTAGGAGTAATGGGTGCTTTGCTTACCAGACAGGGACATCAGGTTGTTGTTGATAACATACAGCCATGTGCACTTCCTTGGGAAAAGCTAACAAGAAAACGAAATCATGTAATCAGTGTATGTAAGTATGGAGTTGACCTTTAGCTGTAAACAGTGAGCGATAGAGGAAATCTGCACCAGTTCAGTGAATTTAAAAATATAGCACTTTAGATCAGTATTCATAGTGAAAAATAGTGACAGTATCCTGCAGCTGGGATAGGAAAAATGATCAGGGAATATAAATTAATCTAATTTCAAAGCAATCCTTTAAAATCCAAGCCTGGGTGGAGTTTTACCTCACAGCTTGACAGTAACCATGAATGCTTTGGGTCAAAGTGCATTCATTTGTAGACACACTGTGACTCCACACGCGCATATTGGCTACACTCGACTACAAGGCAGAAAGCATAATACCCTGCGATGGTTTCGTTAGACCAGTTACCTTCTAGACTGACAAAAATAAAAGAAGCGATGTCTAGAAAGTTTATTTTCATCAGGCACCTATCAGAGAGGTGAAGGGAGTAGCTGTGATGGTGGGGGGTCACATTTAATCCAGTTTGCTGTGAATACTTTATCCCTGCAAAAAGTACTTACCTTGAGGCCTGATAAAATGAATGCAATGACTGACTGCTAGTGAGAATTTCATATCATCAAATGAAACAATTTTAAATGCCAATATTTCTATTCTAAATGTATCTCAATGCATTGTAGAGGCTAAAAAGAACGGGAGAGGACGTTTAACAATTAAGTATTTACCACACGGAATCGTTTCGCAGCCCTCCACCATGTTGAAAGGTCAAAGTACCTCATCTCAGCAACTCGGGTATCATTCATTATTTCCAGTGGAAATCACAATACAAGTACCGCAATTTTCAGACTATAAGCCTCGACTTTTTCTTTATTTTTCAACCTTGCAGCTTATATAATAACGCGGCTTATCTATGGACTTTTACAGCTAATGGCCATTAGGGTAATACGGTACCTAAATCTATGGATTTTACAATCCACCATGTTGACGTCACATTTGCTTCAACACACAAGTAGCCGCGCGCAGGAATGTGGATGTCCTCCAGAAGCAGACTCCGAGACAGTTTGTGTGACACCCCCATTATGGAAAACAAACGTTGAAATGCATATGATGCAGCTTTTAAGTTAAAAGCAGTCAATTTGGCAGTAAACGAAGGAAATAGAACCGCTGCACGTAACCTTGGAATCAATGGTGAGACGTTGGAGACGCCAGCAGGAAGAATTGTCTCAATTCAATTGTGTTGAAATGTTAATAAACAGGAGCTTCCCCCAAACAGTTGCCTGTTTCCCGACAATCCTCTCTGTGCACGAACCGTATGGTAATTAAACATAAAAAACCTGCGGCTTATAGTCCGGTGCGGCTTGTATTTGTGCAAATCATGCAATTTAGCTTCTGCGGCTTATATTCAGGTGCGGCTAATAGTCCAAAAATTACGGTAGTTTTTCATGGGCAATTTTGATTTCGGTTTTTGGTGTTTATCATAATTACGAGACCACATTAAGGCCCCAATAGCTCAGAATTTTCACAATTGTATTAATTTTCTTCCACTTCAACATGGGACACTACTCCATCCATAGCATAAAATCCTGAAGTTTGTGGTTGAATACTTTTACAAGGCTTTATAGTAGATCAGAAAATGAATTTGACTTAAAAGCTGAAGCTTCTGACATTCTTTTATATTTGCTGAGGTACCTCAAGCATTATTTATACAAAATAAACAATTTCTTCATTTAAATATCTAATCTTGTTAAAAATAAAAAACATTTTCATAAAATAAGAGATTTGTTTTAAAAGTTTAAAGCCTAAACAGTCAAATAAAAATATCTGGTCCGACTGGACCGTCACCAGATTTGGAAACTATTTCTACATGCTTCCATCTTTTTCTTCCTGATACGCGTTTTGAGTCGAGTCATCTGGAAACATTTAACCCCTAATCGTACACCGTGTTATTTTCCAGCTCATGGAAATCACATCAGCACAGAACAAAGAGTTGCTCAACTAAGCCATCTCATAACAAAGTAGACAGGAACTGGACAAACATTAGTTTAGATAAAATATAAATAATGATCACTACATCGCTGAACAGAAAGGCATTAAATAATATAGAAATAGTTTAATAAAACTATTAAAGCTGTTTTTAATGCACAGAAAAAAGCTGGATTTTAGTCAATGTTACCTGCTCCATTGTTGCCTCATGCAGCTCATTAAGATTTAGTGTGTAGATGCCATCCTCTGTTCCAAAGATCAGGTACTGATCTAAAACAAAAGCAATCGAAATTTAACTAAAGAATTAAACAACAATAATTAATTTGCAGAATGTACCGTTTACCTTTAGTGTCTGGATGAATCCAAGACGTGGCACAGTTGATTTTCAGCGGACAGCCATCAAACACTTTAGAGAAACAGGCTCCCATCTGCAACAGAAAGCCGGCAGCTCAAAACAAGAAGCATCTGGTTCAGAAAGCGCCAAAATGTCAGCAAGGTATTAATGAGCCTAAGTGGAGCTGAACCACAAGGCAGAGAGTTATGTGGAGGCCAGATATCTACAGAATGCACAGCAGCAACAAAAATGAGAGTTTAATAACAGCAGGCCAGCATGGATGAGCAGAGAGTGTGAAGGACAAAGAAGATGATTGACTCACCAGTACTTTAGGAGTGGGTGGCAGACCGTTTATTGCTGGTTTCTAGGAAGGAGCAGAGGAAACAATAAGATAAGATCTGCTGAAGACAATTGGGAAGCTATAGTTACGCTTTGGCTTCAACTAATAAGGAATTAAAATAATAGCAGTGGGAATAGATTTGAAGCACAATCAAAGGCCAAGTTCTCAAAGTGAGGAATTGGATCTGAATAAAAAACAAAAAGCAGCAACAAAAAGGAGTTTTTAGAGCACGTAAAGCCAGCTAACTCCAGGGTTCCTAAACTGTTTCTATGCATCTTATATTTTTCTAGGTTCAAATTTTCAGACTCTTAATCCTCTACACAGTCTGAAAATTTTACAAATCTTTAAAAAAAAGAAAAAAAAGAAAGAAAATTAAATAAAATGTGTAAAGCTGGAAATCCTCTCTACAAGTATTTAAAAAAAACAACAACTTTAGACTATTACCTGATTGAAAAAACTTATTTTATTAATTTTTGTGATTAAGAGTTCCCATTTGCCACCAATTACAGTAAACCAAAGAATCAGAAATAAAGCTAATTTGTCTAACTTTTTCTGAATATGCGTGAAGGCCACGGCGAGCCAGAGGGCAGCTTTAATGAAAGACTGCTGCACCCTAGGTTCACTAAGGAGCATCATCGTAGATGCTCCCCCAACAGCTGTTAGACTTTACAACCTTTAGTTACAACACAATAAACTAAAGTTGCTTAAATTCCTGCTGTTAAATTCCAGAGTGTCTTTCATATTTTGTTAACTGCCGCTTATGAAAAATATACATGTGAATTTGCTTCACATTCTATTTAATCTGAGGATGCTGTTTTTCATAATAACGCATCTGTTTACAAGCCGTTTCCTTGCTTGTTGCTCTAACAGCCCAATTTCTCCACTATGGGACAATAAATCCTCATTCTATTCTATTCAACCCTTTGAATCCTGTAGCGAAAGCCACAGTTTTTATAGAATTTAAAAAGAATTAATTCATTTGGAAAATGTTTGCAGTTTTAATTTTTCATTTATTTTCATTTTCCCCATTTAAGAAGTTTTAGATTAAATATAGGAACAGAAATATCACATTCTTTTGTGATTAAGCTTTCAATTTTTTATTACAGTCTTAACCTTTTTAACCTCACATGAACCTCGTGTTTTAACATGATTCTGGAAACTTGTGAGATCCTGTCTATTTTAGAGTGGAAATACTGCAAAACTTGGGAAAAATTATGGACATAGTGCAAGTAAAGAAAGATTAGTACAAGGAACGTAACAAATAAGACAGAGAAAAATCAAGATAAGATAGATTGGGTAGAAAGCAAAAAAGAAAATACCCTAAAAAGATAGATAACCAAAAAGGCGATGTAGAAAGAAAGAAAAAGATGAACAAAAGGAAGACAGAGAGACAGGACACAAAATAAAGTCAAGAAGGAATAAAGACGATCAAAGAAGAAGAGACATAAAGAAGGCAGAAGGGACAAAAGGACAGAAGAAAACAAGATGGAAAAGGCAGAAGGATACAAAAAAACGGAAGAAAAGAAGTAGGCATGAGCAAAGGAAGGTAGGAAAAAATAAAATAAAAGGGATGATAAAGGATCGAAATAAAGAAGGAAAACAATCAAACAAAATCAATCCAATAAGACGCAAATGATCTACAACTCACCGGGAACTCCTTTTTCTCCTTCCGGTGTGGCGTTGGTGTAGGACTTCCTCCATTTACGCTTCCATCTGAATCATAATCTGTCACACAGATGGAGGCGTTAATATTAAACCAGAATAAGTACACTTCCTACATTTAAGGCAGTTAATAGCAGGCTCCCTTACCTTTATACTCACATTTAATTGGAGCTTGTAAAGATGGAGTAAGATTACATTTAGAGACCAAACTAATTGAAGAGTACTACGAAGCACTAAACAGAACTCATAACAGTCAAAGGGTAAAACTGGACTCACCAGGGTCAGAGGCATGCGATAAGAAGCCAGGGCTGCTGACGCTCGCCGACAGGAAGTCAGATGACGAATGCTCCACCTTGTGGCCCTGATCAGGTGTGCTCTGTCTGCGGATGGCCTGGCTCGGTCCGTTTTCAGAGTTTGGGAACCTACGAACTGTCAGAGACCTCTCCTCGTTCAGTCCAAGCTCCTGAGATGATGTGTTTATTCGTGGCTTAGGAAAGAAACAAAAAACAAAACCTTTTTTCACAGAACAAACCGGAGAACAACAAAGAAGCAGTGAAAAATGTTGGACAGCAAGGCTTACCTTTGGAGGGAGAGGAGGAGGTACACCTGGTTTAAGTGTCGACCTGAAATCCATTTTTGGACGGAACAAAATGTTTACTACTGAAATTGTTTTGCTGTGTATGAACACAAACATCTCAATCTACGTACGAAACTTACAGCTCAACTTCTTCAGTGGCATCTTCCAGATGGGCGATGTGTCCACTGTGGATGATAGATGCAATCATCAGTGTGAAATGGGTAACTGTAGGCTGTGATAAAATATTAAATGGGCAGATGTTTCTTTACAAACAAAACACCAACAAAAAGAAAAAATTGTATCACAATAATCCTTGGACTGAAGTCATGATCTTCATCATATCTGGACTCTGTTCTAATAAGAACAGTTTGATGCAAAGGAGCTTGAACTACTCCATTTTTTCAGTGAATTGTATTGTGATTTAATATGACAGACAAAATAAAACATAGGAAGATGTGGAGTTTTGCAAATATTCTATAAATAAAAATCTGAAGAGTGACGTGCATCTGTATATAGCCCCCTTCATTGTAACTAGATGAATATGGATCCAGCAGTTCTTTCATCGTCTCAGAGGTTTAGTGAACAAACAGCCTCATCAGGACTAAACACAGCAGATGGGTCAGGGAGAAAGTTTAAAGCAAAGCTCGTTTATAAAACAAAATCACACAGCGGTTCTCATTCTAACAGAAAATGGCAAAAGCAGATTCATCACTACCTAAATAACTGTCTATCCATACTGAAAGACTGGGAAGGAAAGCAACAATCAGAGCAGCAGAGGAGGCTGTGGTTCCTCTGGAGGAGCTGCAGATTCACAGCTCAGATATTTATAGAAAAGTGGCAAAAATAGAGCAATAGTTGATAGAAAGCCATTAGCAGCCAACAATCAAAATGCCGTCAGGAAAGCTGCTCAGGCAACACAAAAACAAAGCTGAACTTTTCCACTTATATGCAAAAAAGCTGTATAGTTAAAAACTGATGACAAAATATCATCCCTATGGTGCAGCATGGTGGTGGCAGCATCATGAAATAGTATGTTATTGACAAGACACATGGAGCTAAATACTGGGAAATCATGTTAAAGGCTGGCAGACCAACACCAAACGCTGCTGTTAAATCCACCAGTCATAGTTTACACCTAAACTCAACCGATAGTCTGATAGGAAAACTAGAATTAATGCTGATTACAGAGGCTCTGCTTCAGCAATGACTGAGCAGGAAGTGTTGAACAAAGAAAATGGGTGAAGCCTTCTTCTTTCAGATGTGAAAAATAATAAGATGGGAGCTTGGGGAACTGATACATATACATGAAACACTTTTCAGAGTTTTATTCAATAAAATTAAGCTTCATCTACACGCGCCTTCCTAATTATAGAATACTTTGCTTTACTCTTTGATCATAAAAATCTAAGGAGTGCAGGTGGTACAGCGGTTAGCGCGCACGACCTATATACGGAGGACTGAGTCCGCGGCCGACCCGGGTTCGAATCGTTAGCTCCATGTCTCTCTCTTATACCCCCTTTCCTGTTGGAAGAGCGAGCTTCTAGTGCTGCAAAAACTTAAAAAAAATAAATAAATAAATAAAATCTAATCTAAAGACACTGAAATTTGCATGCATAAAATGTAAAGGTAGGAGTATTTAGCCAGAAACAGTAACCATGTGTAGGAATATTTAATAATACATCCCACTATCTACATCATAATCACATCACACATGCTAAACAGATGGAGGCCCCGAGGGTTCAAGGCCAAAGCAAAAAAAGGGAAGTGACAGAGCAAAACAATAAGGGGCTGGTATGACGGACTAAAACACACAGTGTTAGTGTTACCGTTGGAACAATTCATCCTCAACGCTTTTGAGAAGGCTCCTTTAAGGGACAACAAGTGAGGCAGACGGCAAAAGGAAGACAGAGAAAAGTGGAGGGGGAAAGAAAACAACAAAAGTCAAAGTAGATGGACAAGTGAGACTGAGCTTAAAAGCCCAACACAACATGCTGGACTCCAGACAAGGAGAGAAAGCTTTTTTCTATCAAACTTTGGATTCAGTGATTAAGCAGGTTACTGTGAGGGGGGGCTTTAATTGGCACTAAAATGCTAATATCTCTGCATATTAGTAGTGTAGAAACAAATAAAACATGCGCTTCATCCATTTATGTGAACTAGCCTTCTAAGATGCATTAAATGATAAAAGCCAGGTAGTAAAAGAGAGAGAGGGTTATTAGGAGCAGTTCCCATGACTACGGTTTCCATAGAGTACCTGGTTGTTATTCCTCCATCTGCAAAGGGGCTCCATGGGGAAGGGAAGTCATTATCTTTATTCACATCCTGTGGAGAGGAAGGCAGGGATAAAAATAGAACTTTAATGTTTTTTATTTATTTAAATGTACAGTAAATGGCAGATTTAGACTTTTTATCTCCAATTACATGCATCGTCTGACCAGATTAAAGCCGGTGTTTTAGAGCGGTCCAGCCACAGACCTGACATTATTTTAATGGAGGACCTGTGGAATGAGCTGAAGATGAGGGTGATGGACAGGATGCTTTCCAACCTCAATAGCCTTCAGCTCACTCCAAAGACATGTTTTACCACTAGAAACATGCAGAAGGCTGCTTAGTCACTACAAAAAACATTTCAGAGCTGTGTTGCTACAAATGTTTGCTCTTGATTTTGGACTTTCTGATTTTTATTAAGTTTGTCAATAATTGCAGGGAATATTTCCAAGTTTATATTGAGAAAAAAATCCTTGTTCACTTCAATGCTGCCCTTTAAATTTTGTATTATTGTTCAGAAGATCCCAGTTGTTTACAGCCGGTTTAGGCCTAACTATGTAGAGTATACTAAATATCTATATATGTAATAAACAAATTATAATTATTACCATTTCAACATGAGCTTCGGTTTCTTTCGGGAGAAGAGGTGCCTGAAACTGGACCTTGTCAACTGTGAATGATACACATTTTTAGGTGTCTTTCAAGCACAAACCTTTAACACCAGAGGGCATCAGCACTTAACAGTTAAAGGCAAACAACAACTCTCACTCAAACCAGGTGTTTTAATAAGCAAATCTTAATAAAAAACAATTTATAAGCACAAATAAATGTTAATGCATATAGTACTGCTGATTGTGTATAAAGGGTTTAGTTGAATTGGTCATTAAAGGAATAGTACACCCAAAACATGATTAGCCTTCATTTTCTACTCACCCCCATGCTGAACAACACTCTGGAGTACTTTTTTGATATCTCAAATGCATCTGGAGATCTGGGAGGCTTCTTGCTGTCTGCTGACATTCAAATAATGGAGGTCTATGGCGCCCGAGACAGAAAGGTCCATAAAAGTCCATAAAAACGTGTCAATATTCCTCCATACAGCTCGTCCAATGTATTCCAAGTGTCCTGAGTGGGTAGCATCCAGAATTTACTCGAAACGAAGTCATTTAGAATGTTTTTAGAGCATAAACAGTAGTGTATAGTATTTCCTGAAAGCGCGCGCCAGCGCGTTCACGAGCCTACGGAAGCCGGCAGACCAAACCAGCGCATTCAGCTCGGCAAAGAACTCATGCTCTTCCTCAACACTGAAGTCCTCAGACATTTTTCTTTCGTTGTTTCTTTCTTTGCACAGGTAAACAGCACATTTCTTCTTCTACGCTTGCATTATCGGCAGAGCAGACGCTGAATGCGCTCTTTCATCTGGTTTGGTCTGCCGCGGCTTCCGTAGCGTCGTGAACGTGCAGGCGCGCGCTTTCAGGAAATCCTATACACTACTGTTTATGCTCTAAAAACATTCTAAATGACTTCGTTTCGAGTAAATTCTGGATGCTACCCACTCAGGACACTTGGAATACATTGGACGAGCAGTATGGAGGAATATTGACACGTTTTTGTGGACTTTTATTGACCTTTCTGCCTCGGGCGCCATAGACCTCCATTATTTGAATGTCAGCAGACAGCAAGAAGCCTCCCAGATCTCCAGATGCATTTGAGATATCAAAAAAGTACTCCAGAGTGTTGTTCAGCATGGGGGTGAGTAGAAAATGAAGGCTAATCATGTTTTGGGTGTACTATTCCTTTAAATATTTACACTCAAAACAAAGAACCTATTAATACTGGAAATATTTAAAACGAACCAAGAAATGTCAAAACAAATCCTCTTACTTTGGGTTTTGGATTAAACTACAATAAATATCTAATCCAGTAAGGGGGGCTGGTTTATAGTTCAGTATAAATCAAACATTGTTGGGTGGAGGATTATGGTTTTTTCCTCGTTGAGCCATCCTGATCATGCAGAAGTGCTGCAGATTGTTAAGAAAAAGTTACAGTCGAAAAGGTCAGATGATGTGACGTCCCCTGTCAATTAATCCTGAAGGCTGCTCAGCTATTGACCAATCAGTGATCAGCTGTGTCTCTGCATCAACTTTCAGGAAGGTGTAGCTGAAATGGGAATTTTGGTCAAAGAAATGCCTAAAAAGTGGGGAAGAGGGGAATATTCAATTTAGAAAGGTTTACCCCAAAATACTTAGAAACGGAAAATGGAGTCATAAAAAACAGGCCTGTGATCTATGGGAGCTACCAGCTGTTTATTTGTACAATTTGTAACAAACAATTCTTACTTTTTAATGACAGTATTTGCTTATGTTTAGCTTGGTAAAAGCTCTCTTTGATTATTAAACTACAAAATAAACTGCAATGAAGGGAATGTTCTGGCATGGGCTAAAAATAATTATGCAAATTCTGATTGTACATGTAATAAGAAAATGCTTCAAGTTTTCTCCGTCATATTTGTGTAGTATTCTTTCATGCGCCATTTGTAACAGCAAAAGGTATCAGACAACTTCTCTCCTATCCAGCCATTATTGCTATTATTGTCGCTTTTTTGGCTTTTATGGTGACTTTTCTGTTACTGCCTTGAAATAACTTTGCTTACTTGATGGAGTAATAAAAATGCAGCTAATAGGCTGTGTCTGAAAGTCTGCCCCAACCGCTAGATCCTTAGTGAACTTTATAGTGAACTGAGGACAGATGATCACTACTTTTCGCTCCCCATCGATCACATGACTCCTCCTCCCTACACAGTGCCTGTGCCATCTTTGTTATTTGTCACGTTGTCGGGTAGGGACAGCGGGCCTCTTAGGACAAATCCCATAATGCCTTGTGAGGAGAGCTCTCCTCGCAAAGCATTCTGGGAGATATCTTCTCGTATAGTGACCATGGACGATCGATACTTTTCAAGGTGCATTGTGGGAAATTTCGAGTCCATACCTTTTCATTCACTAGATGTTTTGACACTCATTTAAAAGGGTGTAACCACTACATAGTGGCCTATATAGTTATTAGGGATGTAAATAATAATAGTTTTGTATCGATGCATCGATCCAACAGCCCACGATCCGATGCATCGACACGTCCGCAAGAGAATCGATTCATTTTTTTTTTTTTTCCTCCGGTCTATGTTTATCCATTTGCTCCTGGGCGTAATTCTCCCTCCCATGCTGCGGTGGCGCTAAACCTATCTTGCCCTCCTACCTCGCTTCCTGGTTATACTCTTACAGCAGTGTGTTGCAGTGAGCTTGATGCAGACATTTTTGATTTATGCTCAATATTGAAGCGTGGTCTGTGCTACACGCTGTGGGTCTAGATACGGCCGAGGCGGTGACGAAGTGGGGGCGAGTTTAGTCCGACGACGGAGGGACATGAGGGCCAAAAAGAGCGGAGATCCAGGTGGAAAAAGGGTCCCAGCGGTCTCGCGCACCTTGCTCTTCTAGCGGGTCAAACTTCACAAGTCGTTTTCCGCAATTTCGGTGATAAAAACAAACCAAGCCGGCCTCCTGTCTGCGGTCAGCTACAATGTGGGAGAGGAGCAGTGGAGCGTCTGTGGAGGGGGCGGGACGTCTGGATCCGAGGTATTGCATTGCACTCATTGCACTGATTATGTGCAGTACTTTTTGATGCAAGGCCTTGCAGAATCTATAATGCAGGGGTATTATTATTTTTCAGTGAATGAGGCTTTAATAGGAATAGGTGGAGTACAACTTCTCTACTTCTGTTATTTGCTGCTGTTTCTCAAATAAAATGCATAACGATATTACAGCTTTCATTGATTTATTTCAATTTTGAAACATTGTCTAGCCTGTATGGTAAAAAAAAAAATTAAAAAATGAACCAATTAATCAAATCGTATCGTGGTGTATTCTTGAGTATCGAAAATAATCAAATCGATTGGTCCGGAAACCGTTACTGAATCAAATCGCCATGATGGGTGTGATTTATGCCCCTAATAGTTATTAGGGTGGACATTCAGACACAGCCATTGTCTTTGCCTTAAGGTTTGCTGTTGAAGCAAAATGCCTCAGGTAACGCTGTGCTTCACTTTATCACATTTAATACTATCTGCTTTCTTTTCAGAGCTGTGCTCACACTGGCTTGGATCTCTGTCTAGGTTTAGGTTTCTAGCGTTACAACAATTAAAGCGGAGGGATCAGATGTGACGTTCGAGTGAAACTGAACGTTCCAGTAAGTGTTTTATTAGTCATCACCAAAGTAATGGTGGTTCAGTCAGTCTGACATAATGGCCTCACAGAGTTGAACAACTTATCCTTCATCAAGACAGGGTAACGTTGAGGCAGCATTCCATGCAGCAAACTGGTCTCAGTGTTGCCTAAATTTAAACCTAAAGCTCTGGTGTGTCATTTTCTGGGTATGCACAGTATCATAACAAGTCTTGGCAGCAAAAACGGGAACCAAAACACGGCGTCTCACTGCACTGCCACTAACCTGCATCCCCCCTGTGTCCCTCAGAGTCACTAGGACCTGAGATTGGACGCTCGAGGCCTGATCCATTGTTTGCTTCACGCAGGAGGAAAAGGTCAGATAACAGTGAGACATTAAGATAAAAAAACAAACAGGATGTGGACCTAGTGCAATAATCAGAGTACAAACATGTAAAAAAGGTAGTTGGGTATGAGTACGGACAAATAAATGTGACAGACATCTCTCCATCGCTACATGACCACATGACGTGATTAATGGTTGAAACCTGCTGATAGTGAGACAGAGATCTGCTTTATCTAGCACGACGCAACAATCCAACTTCTCTGAAGGGTGTCAAAACATTAACATGGTGCAATTAAATAAGATCACCTGCCAAGTATGTAGATCTGAAACTTAATGCCACTGGAAACGTTCAGGACCCTTCAGACAAGCTCTGTTTTCTCTTAGTAAAGGATGAGGGATGACTTTAAAACAACACAACCTAGAAAGCTACAGAATGGACTCTGGCTTCTCTACCAGACTATCACCATTCACACTACCAAAAACAGTGGCCTGGAGAGATGCCAGGTACTGCCACGAGATTAGTGGGATGACTGTCAGAAAACCCGCACAATAACCGGTGATGTCACAGACGCAAGGAACAGAGGCGCTCTTTAGCTTTGTGTGCACTTACAGTCGATCTCAGAGCGGGTCCTCTCAACCTTTGGGTGTTTGTTGGTGGAACGGATGGTGTGTCTGACCACGGACAGAGGCTGCAAAACAATGCAAGAAAGACATTTAAAAAAAAGTCTTTGGTGGGTGATGCAAAACTGAAACAGAACTAACTGAATTCAATTAGGAAGCTTGAGAAATTATCTTTAGAAATAATCTGAAATGTTTCGGAAACTTTGCAAGTTAGTAACAGCTGAGAGCTGCCTTTTGTGTGCATCATCACATTAATATGCATCCCAGAGGCTGTTTGTTTGTCACAAGCTCCATTGCTTGCAGTCAGTAGCCTTAAGGTTTTTGTTTTTTCCCCACTTGCCGTGGCACAGACAGTGGCGCTGCTGTCAGGGTGAGAAAAGAACAACGCTCGCTTAAATGGTACTGGTACCACCTCTTTGGCTGCCACAGACGTGATGGTCATCTAGAAGGCGTCGCAGAAGTATTACTACACATTTTAACTTTTAACATGCTAGTCGGTTTCAATGCAAATGTCCCACATAGTATTACAGATTCATATCATCTGTGGTCTTGAGCACATCTTCAAATTTTTTTTGCCTTCTTTTGCAGTATAGCTTAAGAATTCAGGCAAACTGAATGCAGATAATGTGTGAACATTTAATTTTCCCACTCTACATTCTCAATAAGACTGAGGCAGAGGCATTTCAACTGTGCCTTTCTAACATTTAAGCTCTGATTTAAATAACTTATAAGTGAATAAACATCATGATGCTATCTACATGTTTCACCATGGAAAGGACACTCAAAGCGATTTATAGTGATTTCCAATGCAAATGTGTTTTGCAGGCAAGGCAAAAAAAATTATAATAATTTTCCTCCTACTTTACACCAATGTGCTATTTATGCTTGATTTGTCACTTTGATAATATATTAAGTTTTATGATTGAACTATAATATAGTTTTGAAAGGCCCTTTAAGCAAACTTTAATGTCTTTCCCTAGTTTGCTAAAAACAACTAATTTTTCTTTAACGTATTTTTACTGATACACAATCCACATTACCTCGATGTCATCATCATCCACTTCACTGAAATGTTGGTGGTTGTCTGGGTTGTTCATCTTATCAAGCAGATCAACTGCAAGCCTCCTTGTCAACCCAGTCTGAGCCACAAAGACATGCTAGCAAAACAAACAGCAATAGATACAGTTATAATATTGCTAAACTCAGCAACATCGTTATTATAGCAACTCCACTTACTAATTAAAATGCTCACCTAAGTAAAGAGGTGTGCATTTTAATTAGAAAGTAAAAAGGCTAGAAATATAAATCAAATGGTACTTTTTAAGTTCTGCTCTTCTATTCTATCAATAAGAAAACAAGTAGTTTGTTCTGTTCTAATAAGGTTCAGGTCCCTCATTTCTATAAAAGTTCACAAATCTGAAGACACAGAGCAACACTTCTTATCAGCAAAGGTAAGAAACGACCCCCATTCCAAAAGGGCGGGCCTATTTGTCTGGTTCAATTTGCATGTTTTCTAAGCCAAAACCAGGCTTTGTTTTCTGTTCCACTCTATAAAGCCTTGAACTCAACGCCATTTCTGACATTTTGAATTGAAAAGACTTCCTGGATGGGAAGGGAAACGTCTTCAAACTTGGTAACAAAGTCCAGTGGATTGTTTTTTTAAACGTTTTTGCAATGACTATGACCTGGATGATGGAGAATCTTCACCAGCTTACCAGTAAAAGTTTCTCTGCAGTCGGCCGCTTCTTTGGGTTCTTTGTTAGAGAGACTTTCACAAAGTTATGGAAAGCAGCAGACCTGTAAGGAACAAAGGTCATTGAGTAGAAACAGCACATCCTAGTAATAGTTTGTGAGAATTTGATATGGGTTTAATATGACAATAACCTTGACACAACGCATATTGTTCTCAGATACCAACCATTTGTTTTTGTCTTTTAGCTTAGGAGGCTGGAAACTGCTCTTGGACATCAAAAACAAGGCCCTAAATAGAACAAAGAAATAAGTCAAAAGGAAGGTGCCAAAAATGAATGAAAGGAGACCGAGTTTGTTCCATTCATCACCTAAATCTGCTATATTATAACAGGACAGCCTCACAAGTCACCAAGATGTGAAGAAACACTCAAAGAAAAACAAAAGCAGGAAGCCAGCCAGGAATGACTAGGGGAAACGGTGACTGATCGTTCTTGGTGCAAGTAAACCATACCTCATCGGATGCAGGTCAAACATTGGAGGCTGCAGCTCAGCGAGCTCGATGGACGTGATGCCCACAGCCCAGATATCACACAGCTGGTTGTAGCCTCCATTCTTCTCAACTGCTGCTACCTCAGGAGCCATCCTAAACAAAGATCAGACTGAATATTAGACACGATTTACAGCCGAGAACAAAATATTAAGATCGTGAGAAATAAATGGCATTATTGCACTCTGATGTAATATTTCAAGGTGTTGATCTGGAATAATGCAAACGGGAACTGATCCTGTAGCATCTCTGTCACCACCTTCATCACCAGACTGGGTCCCATTAAAGGAGTTGCTCACCAGTAAGGGGTTCCAATGAACGACTTTCTTTTTGCAATGGTAGCTGTAATTTTGGCAGCAACTCCAAAGTCAGCTGTAACGAAGATCAGAAACATGCTAATTAAAGCAACTAAAGATTTTAGGCTCTAAGCAGGACAAATTCAGCGGCAAACATCTTACCTAACTTCACGTCTCCATTGTCCGTTAGGAGTATGTTCGCTCCCTGTTGACAAATCCCAAAAACACCTTTTTATAACTTAAAAACAAAGAAAGCTCTGCCACTCTCGGTTAAAATTATTAAAACAACCCCCCCCAGACCTGCTGATATCTGGTCTAACTTCTATTAAAATTAAACCACTATCACAGCTTCTGGCATTGTTTGTGTTGGCTGTGACTGACAGTCTCTGTGGTAGCATCCTGTGGTGAGAGTAGAGGAAACAGGAAGCGTTTGCTGCATAGAGCTGAGAAAAGATAATAGGGCCAGCCCTGACCTTTATGATAACACATTAGAGTGAGGCTTCAGCATTTTGAGCTTTTATGAAACCTAAAACTACTGCCTTTTGCTGCACAGGCCACATCCTTTTAAATATAACACCCCTGCTAAGGTGTGAAGAGAATGGGGCCCCTGGGCTGTTTTAGCAACACATGCATCTGCAGATGTTTACCTTCTTAAATAAGCAGTACTGCTGCTTCTACGAATCTGAACCACCGTCACTGAAGTTGCTTTAATATTTGTATTCTATTCTGTTATTTGCTGCCAAACAGTAACAGTCTTCATTGTTAATGGATAAAAAATTAAAGTGAAGATACCTTAATATCACGATGCATCTTGCCCTTCATGTGCAGATATCCCAAACCCTGTAAAGGAAGTTAAAACATTTAGCTAAAAGTTATCTAGATAACAATACACTGCAGAATTCATGAAATGCATTGCGATCATATTAACCTGTAAGGTCTCCCTGCAGACATATGCAATCTGAAGCTCGGACAGAGGCCCCGTTACTGTAACAACAGCAGGTTATTCAGATTTGATAGAGTTCAGAAAGCACAGCTTAAAAATGATTTGACTTAAACAAGCGGCTTACCGTGATAGATGTCCTGCAGAGATCCTCCTCCACAGTATTCCATACATATCCACAGTTTTTCTCGGCTTGAGGACAAAAAAAGGAAATTAGATGAAAAATTATTTCAATTGTTTACTTTTTTTTTTACTTTTTTCTTGTCAGATAGACATGAAACAAGCTATAATTAATATAAGACTTCATATGGCTTTCTGTCAACACTGGTTTTCTTTACCAAAGTCAGATTGTGCATAAAAATGAAACACTAAGGGCTGTTCCTTCAACAACCTCCCCAAGTTGAGCTCTGGTCTCTGCAGCTCCTCCAGAGTCAGATGGTGGTCATACTTAACCTGGGTGCCATTCCGAACTTAGTCCCGCCCACAACGTTTGAGGTCGGGAAGTTCGGTCTGGCATTGCTCAATAGTAGCGCGAGTATGCTAGCACAATATCTGGCGAGCCAATCAAATTGTCAGGGCGGGCTTTATACGATGATGGACAGATGATCAACAGTAACGTAATCAACCACGTGACCAAAGCGCGCTTGGGTGACAACAACAATGGCTGCTGCCGGAGAGTTGAGGTGAGTAGATTCTGCTATTAGGTCTGTTCTAGAAGATATCGAAAGCAAATTAATTTTAAAAGAGGAACAGAGAAACGCGATCAAGGCTCATCTTCTTATTCTAGGCGTGCAACTGCACGCTTTGATTTTTGTTGACAACAACTATGTGTCACTCAACATATGTCACGCACTCCGTTGCTCTTATTGGTTGTAGGTCTATCCAATTGAGTGCAGAGGCATTTTTTTTCCTGGTTCGTTCGAAACACGCCCCATAATCACAGCTCTATGGAGCAGCATCAGACTCATTCTGACTAGAATTGAGTAGGACTACGTCAGGCTAGTTCATACCTGCATGTCTGGGTTAAACTAACCAGAGTCAGTCTCCTGCCTTTTAAAGGTGAGAATATACTGAAATGAACCCAAAGATCCACCCTTTGCATCAGTCTCAGGGTATTTCCAGGTGAAATGAAGCAGTTCCCTTCTAGAACTAATATCTACCAGCCTCAACCAAACTACAGGAAGCATAAACGCCAACAATAGTGAATGTATAAGTCAAAAACTAATGCCAGCATGCTGGCACATGGAAGGGGTCCTTCCTTTGCCTTGCAGATGCCATAGGACATGGAATGAGCCGCTCTTTGCTTTCAAAAATATTCTGCAGCTAAAATAACAACACAAGTATGTGGAACAGAAATGCAGCTCGCTATAATTGTTTTCCTCCATTTCCAGGTCATTGCTGTGTGATTGTGGTCAAATGAAAGCAATAATTGTTTTCTGTATTGTAGCTTTGTTTACATGATATCGTTCTCTTACAAAAAGTATAGCGTGTGAAACTAATTCAACCAAACTAATTAAGGCGAGCTTTTAATGTGGACCAAAGGATTTGGCTAATTTATACGGGCCTCTTTGGTACTTTTCAAAGTAACGCTCTCCTTTCTCCTTTCTAGCTGGGTTTGCAGTTATGGCATTTTGATCTCATTGCTTTGAAATGCTCCACAATCTTATTTAATCTAAAATATTGATATATACATGAAATATAGGATATTTACAAATGTATTAAGAATCCCATAAAATACAGAAGATTTGTTACCATCTAATAGATGTGACTCCTTTTTGCATTATAAGTGTAAGTAAATTAAAAACTGGTTTAGTTTTCAATAACTGTCACTGAACAGGAAGAGCCAGTTTTTTTGTTTTTGTTTTTTTTTTTTACATTTTATAATGAATTCCAACTTAGGGACTTGGTGTTTTTGAAGTTTGCTGTCAATACCCAGTAAAGAGGATGTCTAACCTGAAAGATGAAGTTTTTTTTCCCACTTGTGGACCAGAATCTAATTATAGCATCTAAGTAGCTGAAAAAACAGCCCGATTACAGACGTGAGAGAAAACTGATGAAATGTATTCAGCTATTACTAGATCACTACTAGATGTGAAAACATCCTGAAGTATTATGTCAAGCATAAGAATAACGATTCCATAAAAACTGTTGTTCCTCTACTGTCTAATAATTAATGCATTGTGGGCTGATGCTGCTCATTTTTGTTCTCAGCTGACTTTTCTATAGCCAGACAACACAAGACGTACCTGCTGCGCCACGGCCTGCATGTCTCTGCATTAACAGCCATATAAAACAGTTCAGAGCCTTTCAATTCCAGTTAAACCTGCTGGAATTCTAAGACACTGTTGGGCGGACCAAGTTTACTTCCTCAAAGATAAAAGCTTAAAAAAAAAAACAGACCCCTGTAAAACATAAAAGCAGCACCGAGCACCGAAGGAGCGAGGCTGAAAGCCTTGAGTCATAGTTTCACGCTTTAGTGTGACAAAGTCAATGAATACACATTGTGACACGAGTGCTGCAGCTAGTCAAAGCAAAAAAAAAAACTTTCAGGCAGAGGTATTTAAATTTGGAAAATGTTTAATCATAGACGTACTAGGAGGAAGCCAAACGGCCTGAAAAATAAAAATAAAAAACACAAAAGAAGAGTAATTTTCAGTTGGCTCTTACCAGAGGTAGCTCCCAAAGTAGGCCACAATGTTGTGGTGCTTGCATTCTTTCACCATGAAGATTTCCTGCTGAATTATGGAAAAATCATCTCCTGGAGACAAAGGAAAGAAACAGACGTGAACAAAAACTCTACCAAGAGAAAATACTTAAAATTAAGAAATACATGGAACTAAAATCCTAAAAGTAGCCATTATTACCCACCCAGATGTTGAAAAACACACTTTAAAGCAGCTAGTGTGCAAAAGTGTCCTATGCTTCCCTTTCTGATTTTAAAAACACTGATTCCCAACAAAAACAACTCTTAATAGACTGGAAAAATAAAGAATAGACGAGACTACAACAACAACAGGGGAACCATCTTATAAGGTTTGCAGAGAAGGCCAAAATATCAGGGCAGCTTTCCACATGAGCATTCTACGGTAGCACACACCACCGATAGGAAGTGAAAAAAACAAAACATTAGGCCAAAGTGTTCACAGCTGTGCAGAAACACAAGCCTGGAATGTATCAACAGGAGGTAAAGCAGCACCAAGCTATCAAATGAAGCACGCAGAGATTGTTTTAATAAAATAACACCTTTTAGGCAGAATAAATGCAAGCATGGGATTTATTTCATTCATACAATCAAGTTTGAGAACTCTGCTTTCAACATGGTATATAAACAGCTGTCCTGCTGTATATCCATAGTTAAAATCATCCCATGGAGCCTGATTAGATCAACCAGATGCTCCTCTACGCTTCAACCTTGCAGTTTAGTTTGTTTCCGACAAAGCTAAAGGTATTGACCCCTTCTGGACTATTTCACACCTCTGAATTTCAAACACTAATCTTGGTGCGTCATCATTGCTGTTTGTGAAACAGGCAGAAAAAAAAAAAAAAAGTAGCACATAATGACGAAGCATTTTTTCCCCTATTGCAAATCTGGTGGTATATTTAGGACCATGTCCTGTAGGAAGGGGAACCTTCCTGAGTCTATAGGGCTGGTTTTCCTCCCGCAACAGTGTGTCGCAGTTAGCTTGTCGCAGGTATGATGCAGATATTTTTGATTTATACCCAATTTTGAAGCGTGGTCTACGCTGTTATTCCACGACAAGAGGAACAACCACAAACTAGCTAGGATTGTGCGTGTCTGTCGGTTTGAAGAGCTTGTTCGCCGTCTACAGCCCCTCATCCAACGCCGGACGCCTCACAGTTCACCCGTGAGTGTTGCCCAAAGACTGGCCGTGGCGTTGCGTGCTTTGGCTTCGGGTGCAAACCAACAGACCGTCGCACAGAGCTACAAACTAGCGTCCAGCACGGTGTCTGGGATAGTGTCCGAGGTGGATGGCACTACAGCCAGAGTTTCTGCCATTAGGTACCAAACAGGAAATACGCATAGTGTAGAGCAGATGTAGAATTGACCAATCAGAGGCCTCCTTTCTCTCCTCCCTGCGACGCTCTCTGTCTGGGGTCACCTACCACCTGGTTTCTGAGCATAAACCAGGCTTAAGTCTTAACTCGTTTGCTGTGTTCCCTACTTCCCTAAAAAATAAACAATATTCGATGCATCTCTTAAGAATATCTAGTTTCTGGCTACTTTTCCACTAAGACAAGCCTTGTGGAGTGCTAGGCTAATAGCTCTCCTGCCAAAGGCTCCTTCTAGCTGAGATGAGGATCTTTACAGCTTTACAGTTTCATCGACAATCCTGACGGAGTCTCTACGTTCCTCCATTGTGTTCCTTAGTCTTTGTGATGCTTTATGTTAATACGTGTTCTTGAATAATCCAAAAGCACTCCATTACCATCTGCATCTATATATGATTAAACACAGATGGACCGTATTTATTAAACAGATGACTTCTGATTTAGAAGTGTGGGGGAAAAAAATCAATTTGGCAAAATATATGGTGATTTTGGCTGCATCTTACTACATCAATCTTTAAGTTCCTAGACTTAAAAAAAAACAAAACGAAGCATCTTTACCTAAAACGGGGAAAATGGCCAACCTCTGCACGGCCACTCTGGCAGATAGAGCTGTGGAGCCGTACGGCTCAGCAACATATCTTTAGTTGAGGCAGTCAGAGGGGAGGTGGACCGACTCAAACCCCAAACAACATGGATACCAAAATAATCAAATGATCATCTAATCATCATATACAGAACTTGCTTCTTTTTTATCCATACATTAATTTTGATAGCTGGGGAAAATATCGCAGTATATAGTGATATTGTAACCCAAGTATCTTTACACATATCGAAACGCAACACACATGCAAATACTCACCCCTATGCAATTATCTCCACTAGATTTTATCTAGTTTTATTAGCATTGAAGGATTGACATTATATTTTCAAAGTATTTATACAAAACAAAAATAATCAAGCTTTCTCTTTATAACGTAAAGTTGAATTGTTCAATACTGGTTTATCACAGACATCCCAACCAAACATGTTGGAATTTGTGGTTTCCATGCGTCTTATGATGGTCATCAGAGTCAGATATGGTTGCCACTAAAAACAGCAGTCTTGTTTCCAAATAGCATGACAGGTTTTGGCCTCCCTCACATGATTACTTAAATCTAAGCCTGGGTGGTTTACTGTAGAACAGATGCATGTGAACGACTGCTGATCATAGATCTTTTCAGACACATCTGATAATAGAGTGAGGAGCCACAAACATTTAAAACAGTGTGACTGCAATGGCAAGACTAAGCTAAGCCTAAAGAGAAGAGTAAATAGTCACACCACAGTCATCTTTTCTTGGTGAGCCTGGGCTGGAGAATGCATCCACTTCCTCTCCAGTTCAGTCCTTCCCTCTGCTCCGACTACACACATTCTTCTTCTTTACAGCAAGTTTTTTTAAATGTTAAGTTTGTTTAGTTTTGAAAACCACATAGAACACATAGTGGTAGAATTCAGAGGTCAGAATGAAATAAATGTTAACTTGTTTTTCAAACTACCAATCAGAAGGCTAATTACTCCTATTGTTTGAACCAGAGTGGTGTCTGATGTTAGTAAAAACTACCATTGACACCGTTTTGAATGTTGCTTTGTTAAATGATCAGTTCGATGAGTCCCTGCCGCCCCAGAGGCCTCAACACTCCTATCTTTGTACTTTCTGCTGTGTACTCAATGCCAGCGTCACTTCTTCTGGTCTAACCTGTCTGATTGCATGATTCGCCCAAAGCCGTTTACCTCTGGCACAGAGACAAGCCAGGAGACCAAAAACCAGCGTATAAAGAAATACTTTTTTCTTAAGAAATTAAAATAAGTCTAAATCCGTTAGGTCAAAAAAGACAATAAATGTGAATAAAAAACAAACGGTAGGTCATAAATCTATTAAAAAACAACAACATACAAGCTGCATAATAAATCAGGGTTTCCCTAAGGGTTCTAGTCTTGGGTGGAGGGGGTGTGGTTCACACAAGAACGTTATCCAATCACACGATGGATAGGACACAAGTAAAACACTAGATTTAACATGAATACTGGTATTCAAAAAGCAAATGATTTGACTACAATCCTTTGATCTCTAGAGATTAAAAGTATTATATTCAGCACTGCGACCATTCCAGCCCTGCACGTTGGAGCTCTACCTGGGAACACTTGTTTTTTTGGGTGGTTCCTGCTCCATTTTTCTGCTTCTTGTCCTCTTCATCTTACATCATCTTCTCCTCCTCCTCCTCACTCCTAATACTGGCATTATTCTGTCGCTCTGCACCAGCTCCGTAACCATAACTGATAATGGCTTTCTGCTACTAATAACAACGGCGCCAACAATCATAAACATTAGACATTTCAGAAAACAAATACATGCACACAAACACAGTAAGTGAGCTGCTTATTTAAATTTTTTTTTAGATTAAAGAAGTAGGTATATATTAAATAGGGCCATCGCGATTAATCGATTATTGAAATAATCGTCAACTAATTTAGGCATTGATTAATCGTTAAGTATAGTGTAGAGACTAAAACATGCCTTTAGCTAAACGGGTAACCCACCTTGAGCAGCAATTGGACAAAAGTTGTCCAATTGCAAAAAAAAAAAAAGTAAATATTTTGCACTTAAGATAAAAATCTTTTTCGTCTTACAATATGCTCGATCACTCAAGTGGAAAAGTCTTCTTTAAGAAACCCTTTGCTCTCTGATTATTAATCGATTAATCAATAAAAATAAATAAATAGACAGATTAATCAATTTGCAAAATAATCATCAGTCGCAGCCATAATATTAATGTAGGAACAGAAGCGGAAACTAGGATCTGTATTCATTTGAACATTGTTTCAACTTTGAACACAGACTTTATTGTTAAAAAGCTTTTCGATTGGAGTAAAGAAACAATTCCATTTATTCTGGTCAGCCAGTGGGGATTGGCTTTAAACTGGTAAACATCCTGCATAAACTTTCTCTTCTCCAGCCGTTTCCTCCTCCGTTATTCCAGCATGTTTTAAAATTCAGCCAACTCCTCTCTCTTTCGTTTTTTATCTTTTTTCATATGCAAAATATCACTGATTCATTCTAGTATAGCACCACATATGCTTTTTGAGCTGAGAAATCTTACAGTGACACGATAACAGCTGGTATCTAAGAATAGCAATGGTTTTTCATTGAAAACGTCACAAAAGATTTTGATTATACTCTTGCATAAATAAACAAGTTGAAATGTTTTATATTTTTATGTGTGCAAAGTATTAAGTGCATAGATTTGTCTCCTTGTTATTCTTGCTGTGTAATGGTACAAATTGCTTTACAGCAACACCTTCTGTTTAGCAGGGTGGCTTCAGTAATGCTTATTCCAAGATGTAAACAGTCTGCCAGGATATAAATGTTACTTACTGCCAATAGACGGCTAAGTTCATGAACCTGTTTAACTTCTAGTCTAATGAAGACTTCAAAGTGTGCTTACTGGCAGTAAATCACACAATCTAGGCTATCCAAATAAAAGTACACTGTGGAACTTCTGTCAGAAAGTGAAGAAACGTAGCATAAGCTTGACCCAAAAACAGCATTTAACAGAAAACAAAAAAGGGTAAAAGGACTCAGGAAGGATAAATCACAGGAAGAATATGAAGCAAAACAACCCTGACTGGATACGCTGGAGAGAGATTAACACAGAGATGAAATATAATCTGTCTTTCCTTCTGTTTCTGCAATATGCACATCTTGGAGTGGCTCATTTACAATGATTGCAAATCGCCCAAGACAGGAACACGGCTGAGTTTAGAAAACCTGCTACAGAGTTGTTGTTTTTCTTAAAAACAACAACTACATGAGAAGGTATAATACAATATAAGGAAAACTGGATCCTCTGGATGTTACGTAGGTTCAGTGGTTTACAGAAATCTGGGTTAAGCCTGCTGAGTTTCTTACTCAGACTCCATAGGCTAAATTACCAATAGGTGATTCAACAGTAAATGCAGCGACTTTATAGCAAAGCAACGCTGAACAGATTTTAGAAAGCCAAAATCCCAAAATTATACAACTAAATGGGTCAAACCCAGCTTTAGTGTTGTTGAAAAACACAGTTGAAACCCCAAGATCCTCCACTACCTGAACTCTCTTCAATAACCCTGCAGATCTATGTCTGTCTATCTATATATAGATCTGTGTGTGTGTGTTATTTTTAGGTCAAATTTTAATTTATTATAGACTTATAAGAAAGAAAGAAAAAAGAAACTAACTTCATTGCATCGTTTTCACAAATTAATCACAGGACTTTCTAGCCCACAGAGGACAAAGATCAGCACTGACTGCCAAGAAGAATGAAACCAAAAACAAAGAAGTGAATCTCTTCCTTTCCTGGCCAGTCTATGGCATAAAGCCGTATTCGTAATCCCTCTAATCTGGATCACACTAACTCTGTCACTGGGTCATTACTAACACAGACCTGAGCCAGGCAAAGAAAGAAAAATGTCTTTCTTTACAATACCATAAAAATTTCATTTAATTTATGATCACAGAAAAAAAGCACAAGAAACAAGCTCAAATATTATTCTTTTTAGACACCACAGATTAAATACAAATTGTAAAACAAAACAAAAAAAAAACTTATTAGTATATATAATAACTTAAATGCTCAGTGTGGGAAAACAAAATTCAATTACCTGGTTCCAACTTTATAATCTTGACAGCAGCAAGCTCTCCTGTTTGAATGTTTCGTGCCTGAAAGAGAAGCAACAAAGATTGGAAACAAATCGACAAAGAAAAATATAAAACTTTAGCTGATATTGACGCTTTATGTTCTCATGGTGCTGAAATAAAAACTTTACAACCTTAACATTGACATATAAGATTTTTTTTCTAAGTTTTTATTAACACATTTTGTGTCTTTATAAAAGTCATATACTCATATGTATGACTCACATTTTTACAGTTAGTGGGCATTAGCAAATGCTAACAGACGATACACTGTGTGACCAGATGAAAACGGATTATTGACCAAATGCTGCTTTAAGCAGCAGATTAATCAATTCAGATAAAAAATAATGCTAAGGCTGTAAATGTGATATTAAGGTGAAAAGTATAAAAGGGGATTACCAAGTCTGTTTTAAAAGGTTTTATATACATTTATATTCCAATAACCTAATACATAAAACATAACCAATATAAAGTAATAGTCTAGATACATAATTCAACTTAAATCTGTGTTCTAGTATAATCAGCTGTTCTTAAAACCACCATTAGACAGGTTTAGCCCCACTATATTGGTGGTTTTCCATCTCTACTGGTCATTTACATTTTTACCAAAAACTTTATAAAAACCTTTAAAAAAAGAACAAAAAGGACATTTCCAGGCTTGCAGGGCAGGATTAGTCTTAAACCTTCAAATATCTCAAATAAGCTTCCCCTTAAGTGAAATTTGTGGAAGAACTTAATATAATTTTTTTCTCTGTTTATATGCATAAGTATTTAAAGTGTGTGTTTTTTATTTCATTTTAATTTACAGGGGATAGTCTGCAACTGATTCCCTGTGAAATTTCTGTGTCAAAGCAGGATGTGTCGTCTTCCAAAACCAGGTCAAGACGGGATGCTCCCTAATCCGTGAGAAGAAGTGATGGAACAAGCAGCTAAATCAGCCGTAAACCAAAAACCCATCCAGTGTGGTCAACTTTCATCACTCTTGTTCAGCTACTGACTTTCAACACAGGGCAAAGCTAGTCATTTCCACTTTGAAGTGCTAAGCTATGAAAGAAAAACAGCCCTTTGCAACAACAACCAGATACAAGCAAAGAAAACGGACAAAATGAGGCATTATGTTTATGCATTGCTCTGCAGAGAGATTACCAATGTGTGTTTTCATTTTAATCTGAAAGCCCTCCACAGTTCTGCTTTAAAGAGGGAGCATTTAGAAACTGCACATTTGTTTGCAACCTGTCTCACTTTACACTTCCTTAAGTCGACGTAACCCACAAAAAAATGAAGCAGGAAAGGAGAAGTTTTGAAATTAATGTTTGTGTGAGAAATGCTTTTTACAACATAGTTTAAAATAATCTGTCATGCCTGATGTCTCTGATGAGACAAAATTCAAAATAAATCTTAATTGAAAATAAATTAAATTTGTCAATTTATCTGAGAAAAACTTGGATTCATCATTAGTCATTTGATAGACAAACCTTGTTTTATTTTATTTGCTATGACTTATAAAAACAGTTTGTTCAGGAAAGAACACCTGAACAATGTTATTTTTAGACCTACTAGTTCCTTGTTGATTCAAGGTTTGACTAATGTGGAATTAGCATTACCGCATTTATTAAGATTCACTTCAAACAACAATGTCTTCCTTTTATTAAAACTAATAAAGTGACAGGTAAACAATAGCCACAATGTTATCAAATTGTATTTGTTTCTAGTTAAACTGCTAATGTGTCTAGCACAGTAAAAAAAAAAGCAAGGTAAATTTCAATTTGCAACGACAAACTCAACTATTAATAAAAACAGAGGCTAAATGAGGGTAAGGGGGATTTAAAATGAGGGAAATCAGCCATTAAACTAGTTTCTCACTCAGTCGTCTTTTTCTCAAAACACAGAAATCCCAAAGCTTTTTCTGTATGGCTTATAGCATGTCCATTATGAAAATAAAAACAGGAATCCAGGAAATAAAGTGGGTTGACGGTAAAGTAAACCAGTCTGCCATTAAAAAACATTTAGATGATAAAAAGAAAAGAAATGAGTGAGATAAATCGAGGCTGCTAACTACGGATGTGCAACGATTGATGCTGCTTGCTTTGTGACAGTTTTTCCTCACTAATCTCTATAGTCCCATTAACACTACCCCGCTGAAACCGTGCTGAAATCGTGCAAGCACGATAACCGAGATAACTGTGGAGAGTAAATGGAACACAACTGAACTGGACCGTGCCAGACACCACCAAACCGTGCTAAATCTAGTACTAGTTCATCAGTAAAGCTCGGAGCCGTTCAGTTGTGGCTCAGCTCTCAAAAAAACAAAGAGCATAAGCAGACCACGTCATCTGCTTTTCAGTCAGCTGACTCATTTCGCAGGTTTTCCTTCGGCCTTACTATTCACAGATCTCTTCACCTGTTCACAACACCTACTTCTTCTCAGCTTATTAACAATAAATGGCATGAAGAGCGTGGCAGATACGGAGATGATGCCAAGACTGAGGCTCTCCTTGAAATTTGGGCAGAGGACGCTATGCAGACACATAAGTTCCTCAATGTTATGGGCGGCGCCATTTTTGTTTGCGTAATTCCTGCATTGAGAGCTGTAGTATCATGGAGGGCCAATAGGGGGCGAGGTACCGTGCTAGCGTAATACATAAATGTTCGTAAGGAACCAAAGTCGGTCCAAACTCGGCACGGATCGTTTCAGAGGGGTAGGGATCCGTTTATGTGTTGATATGTTTAGCAGCCATGTTGTTTAGCATGTTTAGAGTTATGAAAACGATTATTGCAGTTACCTACACTTGTTTATTTATAATGAAAATGATGAGACAAAGAGAGGAAATAAAAAGACATTCCTAATTTCCATAAACTGGACTTATATCCAACAAATTAAATGAGATGGGATATGTTCATGTTTTGTAAAAACCCAAAGTTCTGCCTTAAAGAGGAAGACATTACTTTTGTTTTGTGTTTTATTAGAGAGGCTTATAGGACACATTAAGGGAACCTCTGCACAACACATGAACACATGCTTATTTGCAGAGCTTTTGACAGATGAAATGCTCTAAAGCTTCCTAGAGCTTCATCCTTTGGTGACACCAGCATTCCAAACTGTTTTCCAACCACCAGTGCTTTTCCTGTCAGGTGGTTCAGATCTACAAAAAAAAAAGATCTAAACAAAGAGATCCTGCACCTGTTTTCTCCTGTTTCATTGGGAAAATAAGTCAATGAACTTTGTAGAAAGCAGGGGTACACCTTTACTCCCAGAACATCTATGTAACTGATCTACAATTAAGGCAGGGAAAGGCTGCGACTTGTAGTTGTTTGTGCTCATTTAAAAATATTATTCCTTAATTTTTGATGGTTAGAATGGCAAACAGAATAAATTAACCCACGTTTTTATTTCTACTATAGGGAAAAAAAGTCCTTTAAAAAAAGTATTAAATTGGTATTATTCAGAAAAATGAAAGCATGTTAAAAAAGAAAGAGAATCCATTTTGTCGTGAATCTCCAGAGGGTCACAACACTGCTACGGCAGCCTAAACAGGGACATTTAAAAAAAAAAAACTGGAGGTGTTACCGCTGTCATTTTAGGGCTGAACACACCCTTAGTGAAACGCGCGTGTTTAGACAGGGTCTGGGTCATATTTCAGCCTGCTGCAGCCGTCCGCATGTGAGCTCCGAGTGAATACCAGGCGCTACATTCCACCAGTGGTCTGTTGGGGGTGGGGGCTGCTCGGCAAAGCTTTGTATGGAAAGGGCAATGACAGACAGCCTGTACTTTCACCTCTCGATCATACCTTTTTTTTTGTAATTTACAGATAAGCAAAGGTCCCCCCCCCCCCAAGTAGAGTTAAGGTGATGCATCTTTGTAATGATGGATGTTTTTATCTTGGCTGTTTTGTAAATTGCAGCATTAAAAGGCTATTGTTTCATAGCTCTCTCTCTCTCTCTCTCTCTATATTATATATATATATATATATTAGGGCTGCAACAACGAATCGATAAAATCGATAAAAATCGACTTTTAAAAGCGTTGGCAACGAATTTAATCATCGATTAGTTGTGTCGCGCGATTAATGCGTCATCCGCCGCCGCTGTCAACCGGGGGAAGAAAAAAAAATATGGCGGAGCGAGTCAGCGCCGCAGTTGCAGTGTTGCCAACTCAGCGACTTTTCAGACCCCTCCAGCGACTATTTTTCAAAAAAGCGACTAGCGACAAATCTGGCGACTTTTTACGGTGTCACTGGCGGCTTTTGCTTGCCTTGGGGCGCATCCCCCATCCCAACGCCTTTTTCCCTCTCCCACAGGAATCCCTCTCAATCAGAGCCGCAGGATTTTAGTGAGGAGTTAACCCTCAGCGTCCAGACTGCAAATGAAGCGCGCATGCGCCGGGATTGACGGCGCAAATTGATCACAATAATTAAAATAGCCGGCGCTTTGTAAAGTGAAAAAAGTCGTAACATGCAACTTTTGTAAAAACAAATGAACATGGCACGGAAGCACCACTGTTATGACGCAGCACCTGAAAAGAAAACACGTTGGAGCCTTCAATGGCAGTGAAGAGAGCTGATCAGCAGGATGAGTAACCATGTTTGTTTCATTTTAAAGTGGGGAAACGTAACGTTAGTTTCTCAGGTAGCTCATCTGATGCTTTCCTTACCTTGTTAGTAGGTTACAGACAGTGATAAGGTTGGCTACTTATTTTACTTTTAATTTCATTTAAATTTGTTTAAGCAGCGTTTATATTTTCTTTATAAATAAATTAACTTGCAAATTATGAGGGCAAGGCTTTTAAAGTTTAAATCTTCTGGCAAAGATAAAGAAAAGAAGATCCTGCAATTTATGGAAGTAAAGCAGAACAAAATCCAGCAAGATCAGTAATATGTCAATTAATTATCTGCCACATTCCCATGTAAATATCTGTCTTTGGAGGATGTGTCATTTTTATTCCAAATACAATTTATAATTTGAATCACAGGGCTATTTTTATCTCTATGGTTCAGTATTTTCTCAAGCAGCAACTTTAACTGCTATACTTTCCTGTCTTAAAAGGCAGAACTCTTCTAGTCTAAAAAAACTCATTTGTTGAAATGGGGGGACCTATTGTTTGAACCCCTTAGGGGCTTTAACAAAAATGCCTGTCTCTTTTTGCGCTTTATGAAACAAAGTAGCCTATATTTTGTGGATGTACAGCTACATTTCTCATGTAAGTTTGCGTAGTTTTTACACAAACATTTATTTTTCATATTGCACCAGTACAGTTAATGAGCAACCTGTACTTGTGGGCTTGTTTGTTCTGTCTAAAATGTTTATTTTGGAATAAAGAGGTTAATATAAAAAAAATTTTTTGTCCGATTCATCGATTAATCGAAAAAATAATCGGCCGATTCATCGATTTTTAAAATAATCGTTAGTTGCAGCCCTAATATATATATATATATATATATATATATATATATATATATATATATATATATATATATATACACGCATTTTACTGCACTAGTGGTTTGTTTTTCTGACAGTAGGCTGACAGTAAAGGGGGTATGAGAGAGGGGGAGAGACATGCAGCAAAGGACCACAGGCTGGATTCGAACCCGGGTCGGCCGCGTCGAGGGCTAAGGCCTCCGTACATGGTGCCACCTGCACGCCCATAACTATATTCTAAATTCAGCTGGATGATTTTCAGGGAAATTGATCCATTAGTAAAATATGGATTAGCAAGCATAGGTCCACATGTTATTAAAGCTTCAGAATATATATAGAAAACATGAGCTGTAGACAACTTTGGTTTGTTTAGTGTCCTTTGAAACTCTCATGACATTTAACAAACAAAGGCTGGTGCTTAAGGTATTCGTGGTTTATCAGGCTTTGTGATATTTGAGAACTCACATCTTCTTGAACCCTCTATCCATAAGAAGTGAGAATTTCTGAGGTTATAGTGGCATTTGGTTCATCTAGCTGTCAACACTGACCCTAGACAACCACATTTTGTTTTAAATAAAAAGTGCAAAATTGTGTTGAGATTTTTAAATTAAAGAACCCGACCCATACAGAAAGCATTTAGAAATGAAAGCTTTAGTCAAAACTAGTGTCACATGTGGTCACCACATCTTCTTATAGTTTAAAAACAAACTGCACACAGATAATGCATTGATTAGCTGGATCATTTTAAATCATCTCCAGCTCCTGTGACAGACTGAGGACCAGTGCATTGAACCCACCTTGTACACGTCTCCATATGTCCCACTTCCCACCCTCTGAATGAGCTCAAAGTCATGCTGGGGGTTCCTCCTCTGGATTTCACCGCTTGGTCGAGGAAAAATATCCATGATACCTTGAAACCGATGGATCCTTTACATTTAGTTGGCTTGATTAAACGGGGTGTGGGAGGCTGGCAGAACAGTCTGGATCAATGCTATTCAGACGGCGCCTGTCTGAGCTCCATGTCCTGAAGAGACACAAAGTTTAGGAAAGTCTTATAAAAGGGGTTAAATTAAAGGCTTAATCCCAATGCGCTTTAGTCTTAAAGGAAAAATAAGGGTTAGAAAAACAGATTTAAAGTTACATTCTTGAAATAAAATCTGTTAATTTTAATACAAATGAGTGGGGTGAACAATTCCAGTCCGTAGATGTTAATATACATCGATGTTAAACAAATAACATCACTTTTAGCAGGAAAACCGTAGCCATCCAGCCCATAGCCAGTGCCATCCAGCAAATAGCCAGAGCCAGCCGTTGGGTTAGCATTGGGGGGCTAACTGGCGCTAGCTAACATGCAAACGTTAACTTGGCCCCCCTCCGTCTGCATTTAACTTCTAACTGGGCTTACCTTTAGCAACGCAAACACACCGGCTAGGCTCGCCTTGCATTTCAGTTCCCCTCCAAGTCTTTAAATATATCCCGACGTCGAATAAATGCTTTAAAAAGTAAAACTGTTGCTCCTTTGTTGTGATGAAACAGTAGTAAAGTTCAGTTCGCTGCGACTCCAGTTTCTCCTGGTAGCGCTGCCAGCTACAGTCCACTTCACCCCCCTCTGTAATCACAGTCCTAAACCTCCCCGTTCAAATGTCATTTCCCCCCGTTGGCAGCTTTAAAGAAGCTGAAACATTTCCGGTTGAATTCTATCGCCGCACCGCGAATGTAATCGATTTGTTTCAGAATTTATTTCGAGAGAAACGCTCCCCTCAGAGCAACAGTGTGCTGCTAATCCGGGCAGTTTCTACAGACTGGTGGTGCGTTCAGGGTACTACGACCAAAATGTAGATAATCCCTTTTTTTTTTTTTTTTACCCTATTTCTGATATCTACGGAAGAGGATCAGGGCCAGAAAAAGAAGTTAAAATGTTAACTGATTTTTATTTATTTTTTTTCAGTATAATATGAGAAAAAAAGGTCAGAATTCTGGCTTTAATCTTAGAATTCTGACTTTTTTCCCCCTCAAAATTCTGTCTTTTTTTCTCAGAATTCTGATTTAAAACTCCTAATTCTGACTTTAATCTCAGAATTCTGACTTTTTCCTCTATCTCAGAATTCTGACTTTTTTTTCTCTAAATTCTGACTTTTATCTCAGAATTTGGACTTTTTTCTCTAAATTCTGACTCAAATCTCCTAATTCTGACTTTTTTTTCTCACAATTCTGACTTAAATCTTCAAATTCTGACATCTAACAAACATGTTAGCATCAAGCCGTAGCCATTTATGTTTTAGAGACTAAACTAGCTTTCTGTTTTTATCACTTTCTGATCTTCCATTAATTAAATAGAATCACCAGGGATCCCTCAGGGATGTAAAAAGTCACCTAATTCCCTCATTTTCCACCAATCTGATACTGTTCTACATCTACATTAAGATCCAAAATGCTGAGATTAAAGTCAGAATTCTGAGAAAAAAGACAGAATTCCGAGATTTAAAATCAGAATTCTGACTTTTTACCATATTAAATTGAAATAATATTAAAAATCAGTTAACTTTTTTTTTTCTTCCCAGTGGCCCTAATCCTCTTGCCCTTTTTAACTATTAGTTGATTACCTGTAAAGCTTAAATGTCCAACAATCCATTTGACAGAATAATGTAAAATAATAACCTTAATTCTAACGTAGTGTGATTTTCCCCCACAGTCTAACCATCATGTTAAGAATGTTCGTTCTGGAAATAACACCAAAAAAGCCCCTTCTGGAAGTAATAGTTATTTTTCTTCAATCTTTCCATACATTTAGCCGCTATTACTATTTTCTATAATCAAAATACTTTTTAAATGTTATGTATCTCAGTTAAATTCTGAAATATTTGTGGAAAGTCTAAAATATCAAAGGCTTAGTGACCTTTCAATTAGGTAAATATACATACCAGTTAATATGTTATTGAATTATGACTTTTATAAAAAAAACAACAAACAAAACACCCAAATTCATTCAATGAGATAATAATAATAGGAGCCTGATTATATTAACCAAAATTGTTTGTTTATGTTGTCTTTAATGAAATTATTTGTTGAATACTGTAATTTTTTTTAATCTTTTTTTATATTTGTGACGAGTTACGTGTACGCTTTAAATATTTTTAATCTAGTACAACATGTACGTTAACCGCACCTTCTGCAAATAAATGCTTGTTTTAGATGTTTTTTTTCAAATGCTGGTTTATCAAAGCAGGTCTGAAATTTGCTCAAGGAGATTTCAAAGTGACACACGGTCTTTGCAAAGATGTTTGCGCTAGAAACAAAGAAAAAACACTCAGGGTTGAAATGGCGAAATAAGGATCTATTTCCCTTGCCTGTGACATTTCCCTGATGTCACTGAAGGCACCATGAGTTCCAACTGTTGTACAACGCTGCCACCTACCGACAAAAACACAGATTGCATAATCAGTATTGTGACAGCAACAACAACAAAAAAGAATAGGTTGACGCTTAAAAAAACCCCACCTTGAATATTTTTTATCATTTAATGCTAATATACTGCTGTAACTCTATATAGCTGTAATACTTTGTAAACTTAATTTCATTCAACAACCGGAGCTGGAACGAAAGACAGCAGCGCCCCCTGGTGACATGAGCTGTGCATTACGCTGCGAATAAAAGCACCATCATCCTCCTGCAATAGGAACGTCGTTGTGCTGGAGATAAGGGCATCCTCCCAGCTCCCTGTGCTCATGACTACCGACTAGGGTCGCTCATTTTCGCTTGACGCCGCGGGATAAAAGGACTGCATTATGGTAAAACACCGCCCAGAGAGAGACAGCTGGGGTGAGTGTACGTAACAAACATTTCATCCTTCTTTCACACATCGGGTGGGAACGATGCAGCGCTCTATTTGCTCTGTTTGTTTTTGTTTCGTGTTGATTTTGACCAATGCTGATCAGACCAGCTCTGCATCTAATGTGTTTTTCCTTCATATGGAGGAAATCACCGTGCAGCATTTGTCCTCTGCAGGCCTGCTGATAATAATTTGAATATCTTACCATAAGAGTGGTTTAATGCGGTGATTGGCTTATGAAAAAGGCCTTGCTGGGTCAGCCTGGGCCTGTAAAGACACTAAATCACCATCTGATTCTAAGTGTTTGCTCTTCTTGTTAGTCTTTGGGGTAAATGTCAGAAATCTCAGGTGTTATTTTCCAACATTGCCTTTAATGCTGTTAAGCGTGGTTCTGGTGGTGCCCAGCATCCATTCTGTGTGAGTCAAACCAGCCTGTGAGGGAGTAGATGAAGATGTGTTAGAGATGAAAAAGCTGCTGCTGTTTGTAAAGCAGGGAGTTGATCTGGTCTGACCCACATAAAGCAGATTCTGACATCTTTAGCTGATTTAGGGGCAGAAGCAGAAGCAGCATGATTAGGTTGTTTGCCAGGCCATTGGAGAAGGGCCCCTGCAGTGGCAAACTGAACTGATGGCCCCTTTCAAGCCATATAAGAAACATTGGTTTATTTAAATAATTCACTGGGCCTTCCTGCTGGCTACTTCTTAACTTGTTACTTGGGCTTTATGAGAGATATCAAGTTTTTATTCCCGAGTCATTTCCTGGAAGACAAAGTCACATCTTTCTAGAGCGCAGGCCGGATGTCTGTGGGACACAGAGTGTTCTACAGTACAATTCATTCACCTTTTTACCTTTACCTCACATTACAACTACAGATATTGATCCATTTTATTTTTAATAGAGTAGATTAACAACAATTCTGGCTGCATTTGAATTTGACTCCTTTTAATTTGACCCTCAACGTATGGTTTACTTAGCTGGATTCAGATATCAGCTCGTAAACGGAGAGATTTTCTGCATAGTTTAATCTCAGGATACATTTAGCTGTTTTATGAAGGCCTAAGATGTTGGAGAACATTAGAGAACTTGCAGTGTGATGAAGACGAAGGAACAAAGCAGAAAGGTCAGGGAGAACGATTAGAGGAAGTTAAAATATGAGTGGGTTTAAAAAAGAAAAAGGCTTGTATTTAGATGATAAGAACAGTCAAAGTCCAACTCTTAATGCAAATAATAATAATTTCTTACGTTTATTTCTTTTTAACAGGCATTCTCCTTTCAAGCTGATTTATCTTGTAGTGTTAAAGCAAAGAATTTTTGCAAACTTTTAAAGGAATAAAATCTGAGTTGCAGGAAAACAAGAAAAAAGGTTTTTTAGTTGAACCATTTTGTGTCCCATAAAATCCAATTTACATAGATTTGGGATAAAATAAGCAAAGTTTTCCAAGGTTCTGCTTGTAGCTTCGTTGCTTCATGAACTAACAGTGATTGGAAACACTCAGAGCTGCTGCTGGGAAACCTTTTAGCCCAAGTGAAGCAGCGACAGATTGGAGTGATTCAGTCTAATGAATATTACTGCTTGGAAAAACGGGGTTTATCTTTCCTGCCTTCTCACTTAATGGACTGTTAAGTTTAGCCGTCATCACTGCGAAGACCTTCTGGCTCCTCTGTAATCATTTCAGTTGTCTTGTAAGTGAGATTCTTTCAGCTCACCTTGTGCTTTCTTTACTCACTGAAGATGATTTCCTCTCTCTGATTTGTCCTTCAGGGTCTCTGAGTGACAAAAATGTTTATGAGTGGAGCTCAGAGGAAGAGGAGCCGGATGGACGAGCCCGGCCCGTCCAGGTGCTGCTGGTCAAAGACGACCACACCTTCGAGCTGGACGAGGCGGCGCTGAGCCGCATCCTCCTCTCCGAGGAGGTCAGGGACCGAGAAGTGGTGGCCATCTCTGTGGCGGGGGCTTTCCGCAAGGGCAAGTCCTTCCTCATGGACTTCATGCTGCGCTATATGTACCACCATGTAAGTGCCTGCAAGTATGTGAGGTTTCTTAGAAAACTAAATAGTAAAATCACAATTATAGAGATTAAAGTATGCAGTTAGATGTCATTGTTTGCTACTGTCCCCTCCTATTCTTTAAAAGAATGATATTTGATGAATTTCTCTGGATTCTGAACTTTTTAAAAAAGATTCATCCTTTTAAAATGTTGATAGCCTGTCTAGTTTAGTTTTTAGTCGTCGGAATGACAGATCGAGCAGCGTTAAACTAACAAACTGTGACGTTTTGTTGCTCAGGCGTCTGAAAACTGGCTCGGCGACGCTAACGAGCCGCTGACGGGCTTCTCCTGGAGGGGGGGCTCTGAGAGGGAAACCACTGGGATCCAAATCTGGAGCGAGGTCTTTCTGGTGGATAAACCAGATGGTAGAAAGGTCAGAAGGATTTCTATATGCAGTTAGAAAGAGAAACTGGGAGCAAACATTGATCTGTGCAACACCTTTAAAATAAATACATTTCCATTGCAGCAGCATGATGGAATGCTGGACACTTTTTTAAGTGCATGAATTTGGTGGGAAACTAATTCAGAGGTTGTGTTTTTTTTAGTAACCTTCCAGATGGAGAAAAAAACCTCAAATTTTTGGCACAGATTGGCAACTTAAAGTCTCCAAAAGAAACATTAGACACCATTATATTTGCTTGTTGTTTGGGAGGAATTCATTCCTGTCTTAGCATCACATGTGGAGTTTACTAAACTCTGCTGAGGCTCTAACTGCAATTAGTTGAGCAGCAAAATCTCCAAGTAGGTCTGGTATTAAACTAAGGATGATTTCACGTCTTCTGTTGAGCACAGTGGAGGATCTGTGATGATGTGGGCCTTTTTCTTTCCCAGTTACCATGGGAACCTAATGTTACAGAAATACTGACCTGCTGGACTCGACCAGCAAACTGAGCGTGGAGCATCTTTGGCTCTGAGACAAATGCTAATGATAAAAACATGCTGGGAACCATTAAAAGTACTACTTGGATCCTGCAGGTGTATAAAATCGAGCACCTCGGTATAGAGTGGGAGCTCACATTCTGAGATAGACGGCGTACAGAATACACCAACTATGTTATGAGTCAATAGGGGTATCGGGTGTAACGCAGCACAGCACCGCAGGGCTCTGTGGCCGTAGTACCTGGTCACATCAGCTGTAACACAGATTCTAACCAGTGTCGCATAAAAAGCACCTCGATATGAAGACTTTTTCCTTCCTTCTTAGAGGAAAGAGCAGGTCTGTGTGATTAAAACCTGTTAGAAACTCAGCTTTCCACAGTTGCAGTGATATATGACGGATACCTGGCAGCCTCACATCAGTGTCTGACCTCATAAATGCTCTCCTGTCATTTTCACGGGGGTGGCCGGTCAGGGACCAATGGGGACTGAGGGGTGGCTCCAATCTGATCAGCACCAAAACCAGTTTAGTTCTGTTTACATTAATCACACTTTACCAACAGGAAAACTCAGGGTTAAGGTGCTGTTGTAGCTAACGCCTTGCTAAAGCAATTCTATTAAGAATCTGGTCTTAGTAGAACAAGCGCATGAAAAAGGTAGTGACACAGAACAATGTACTGTTAATCCTGCAGAGTGGTTTTATTCCCATGTCAGAATTCTGATCAAAAGCTGCATAGGTAACCTACACTGCAAAAAATGTAAATCTAAGTAAATATATTTTTCTTAAAACAAGTGCATTTCTTCTTGAATTGAGCAGGTAAGTAAGACTCTTTGCCAATGGAATAAGACAATTTTTCATTTAAAATAAGAAAAAACGACTATAGTCTCTTACTTCAAGTGCATAATATCTAATTTATCTTATTTTAAGGTTAAAAAGGCTCATTCCATTGGCAGATCTTCTTATTTTCCAAATTTAAGGTAAAAACACTTGTTTGAAGGCATTTTAACTAATTTTCAGAACGTTTTTGCAGTGTAGAGCTATGGATGATCTAGATGAATTTAGCAGAAATGTTTAGAGTTACGGTTGTTTAAAAAAAAAAGTAAAAGCATGATGGAAGCAGAAGAAATTGTGACACTAGTTTTTGTTTTGTTTTTTACACTAAATGCATGTACTAAATAATGATATTTTACAGCTACAGTAAAATATAAATTTATTTGATGTCTTTATTCACATCTTTGCTAGTAATAAAAAATGCCTGTGTTCACACTGACGGGTCGGTTTCTCTGGACTCAGGTGGCCGTGTTGCTGATGGACACGCAGGGAACATTTGACAGCCAATCCACGCTCAGGGATTCCGCCACCGTGTTCGCCCTGAGCACCATGATCAGCTCCATGCAGGTACAACACTTTTAATCCCAGAACAGTTTTACCAAGAAAAATAAATATATATTTGTTTGTTTTGACACAACCGTATATCATGACTGTAAGGAAACTCTTTGGTTTAGGTTTACAACATTTCCCAGAACGTACAGGAGGATGACCTCCAACACTTGCAGGTAAAAGTCAAGGCTACATATTTTCTTTCTAATATAAAGTTAGTGTTTCTGAATATTTGCAGGATTTTTCACTATGTGATGTCACTTATTTCAGCTTTTCACGGAGTACGGAAGGCTAGCGATGGAGGAAACTTTCCTAAAACCTTTCCAGGTACTGGAGGCGTTTGTGTCACTTCTTTTCCGATTAAATGCGGTTTGAAAACAAATTTTCTCTTTACTAAATATCTTTAAACACTGAATTATCATTTTAAACAATAAGTTGAGGCTCTGCCTGTGAGGATGATGTCATGTCTAATCTGCTGTGCTGGATGGTGAATTTTCTCTCCTAGTCCCTGATTTTCCTGGTCCGAGACTGGAGCTTTCCATACGAGTTTCCCTACGGACAGGAGGGGGGGATAAAGTTTCTAGAGAAAAGACTGAAGGTCAGTGAGGGCTGAATTTAACCCGAGTATTTAATGCTGGTGGATCTTTCTGTCCTGCAAACCTGCAGGAGAATGAAAACAAGTTAGAATGTCAGCATAAGGTTCAATAATTCAGTTATTTAATAAAACATACATGCAGATTATAGCATAAAGCTAATAGATGTATAAATAACTGCTAAAAACGTTATGTAACCAAGCCTGTTAACGGAAAGTTAAGTGGAAGGAAAAAGTTTGCTGAAAAAGTGCATAAGAAACAAGAGATTTTAAAGCACAGCCTCATTCAAAAGTAAAGCAGATTTACCAGAGTTTGTTTAGCAGCTGGAGTCGGAGCTTCTACAGCACCACAGAAAGTCCCGTCCAGGTCAGAGGCTACAACTGATAGGGTGCGTCTGAACCAGAGGACACATCAGATGGCTCTCAGCTGGGCTAAAGAGAAAAAGAAGCAGATAATGTCACATTAGCTGGACACCAATCTGACGTTTCTGCAGTCAGTGATGATGTGGACGTCCTGGTTTATCCATAGTTGTTTACTCCAAAGTCAGTGCAGGTGTCTCCCAGGAAATGTCAGGATATTTTGTTCTTCCTCTATGCTGTCAAGGACTTGGTTCTTTAGAGTGGAAAAAGAACAAATACCTGCTTTAATAAGAGCCTGTATGTAAAAATGTAAAGCAGTGGGCTGCCGTGGCGTGGCGCTCGGGGAGCAGTGGGCTGCCGTGGCGTGGCGCTCGGGGAGCAGTGGGCTGCCATGGCGTGGCGTTTGGGGAGCAGTGGGCTGCCATGGCGTGGCGTTTGGGGAGCAGTGGGCTGCCGTGGCGTGGCGCTCGGGGAGCAGTGTGGGGTTTAGGGGTCTTATAAGGGAACCCAGAGTGGAGGCTGTGGGGATCACACCGGGTACTTGCAACCTTCTCAGAACACAAACGCACAGCTCTAACCACTAGGCCATCACTCCCCTCACCAACCCTTAATGAGAACGCGTATCACTGATTTATTGGTTGAACATAAAACATAACTCAGCTTAACTCTTAAACTCCATATAGACTTTTTGGAGTTTTGAAAAGTGGATGAAAGGGAAAAACCGAAGTCAGCTCTGCAGTTGAGCTCAAAGTCACACCTCAGGATGATCGCCTCCATGGAATTTAGGCAAAGTACTGAGAAAAATGACACTATAGATCACATGGATGTACTTGATCCTGATTATATACAGTATTATGTCACATTTAGATTTTCTTCCAAACTGAATTGAAAGTTTTTTTTTCATTATTTACTAGAAATAAACTACAGTAAATGACCTGAAGTAGATTTAGTCCATTTCATGAGGTGACATAAGTAAATTCTTGAAATAAATGATCTTTTTCAATAGTCAGAGGTTTGGCTATAGAACCAGAACTATGTGCTTCTGCTGCAGATCTCTGAGAACCAGCATGAGGAACTTCAGAACGTACGGAAGCACATCCACTCCTGCTTCACCAACATCTCCTGCTTCCTGATGCCTCACCCCGGCCTCAAGGTGGCCACCAACCCTCACTTCGACGGCAGAATTAAAGGTACAGCGTCTCTGTCAGTGGGACCTTTGCAGCCAGTGCGGCAGTAGATGTTACAAATAGATGCTTTAAAAGCTTGGAAGATGTCTGTTAATCACATTTTTAACTCAGAAAATAGTTCTAATTGTGTAAAATACAATGGATGTGTGATTTAGAGCCATAACTATTATGGTGAATATGAATTACTGTCAAAAGATAACAGATTTACTCTGTTTGTGCTTCTTTTTTTTAAAATCTCAAAAATTTTAGCTCATCAAAAGAATTTGATAAACCTTTAAATCAAGTTATGGCTCCTGGTTTGAACTGTGCTGACTGCCAATAGAGCTAGCATGCTCCATAATGCACATGAAATCTGGATGTAACCTGTTTGACTGGTGGTTTTAGGTCTTTTTTAGCTGAAATTCAGTCAAATTTGCCTTCTATAAAGGCCAGTTTTTCTTTTTTTTCTCCTTAGTTGTATGTTTAGAATTTGTAGCTAACATATTTTAAAAGAGGAGCAGGCTGGTGGATTAAAGCACAGTTGCACTGTGTTCAGCAGTAATTTTGTTACCGATACAAAGAAACTAAACTCATAACTTCAGCACCAGATTGTTGCACAGATTTAGCATTAATTTTTCTTCTTTAGAGATTGACGGCGAGTTCATAAATAACCTGAAGATCCTGATCCCCTGGATCCTCAGTCCTCGTAACATCGACGTGAAGGAGATCAACGGGAGCAAGATCACCTGCAGGGGCCTGCTGGAGTACTTTAAGGTTGCTACACCATCCGTGATGCGAGGGTTTAGGAAAATTAATTCCTTGTGTTTTTTATTCATAACTTTTTATTTTTCTTATGCTTCAGGCATACATCAAAATATACCAAGGGGAAGAGTTGCCTCATCCAAAGTCGATGCTGCAGGTACCATGGAATATATCTGATATTTTTAATATTTCTGGATATTTCTGGATCACATCTGATGTGTTGCTTTTATTACTTATCTGCTGTCACTCAGGCCACAGCAGAGGCCAACAATTTAGCAGCAGTTGCAGCTGCAAAGGATCTCTACAACAAAAAAATGGAGGAGGTTGGTGGAAAGTAAATATAAGCCTCGGGTTGGAACTTCTTTGTCACTTTAACACCATTCTTCTCTGCTCCAAGGTCTGCGGGGGTGATAGACCCTTCCTGGCCCCCAGCGAGCTGCAGAACCGACACGGAGCCATCAGGGAGGAGGCCCTGCAGCTCTTCCGTGGCGTCAAAAAGATGGGTGGCGAGGAGTTTAGCCGCCGCTACCTGCAGCAGCTGGAAAGCGAGATCGACGAGGTGTTTGTTCAGTACATCAAGCACAACGACTCCAAGAACATTTTCCACGCTGCCCGCACGCCGGCAACACTCTTCGTGGTCATCTTCGTCATGTACGTGGGCGCGGGGATCACGGGCTTTGTGGGTGTGGACATCATCGCCAGCTTGTGCAACATGATCCTGGGCCTGGCGCTGATCACTCTCTGCACCTGGGCCTACATCCGCTACTCAGGGGAGTACAGGGAACTCGGCGCCGTCATCGACCAGGTGGCCGGAGCGCTTTGGGACCAGGTAGGTCGAATAACCTGAATCCAAACAACTAAATTACTGTTGAGCCAATTATAATTACCAATCCATATTTAAAATGTAGATCCAGATTCTCATAGGAGATTTTAAAATGCAATTTTTGTTAAATGTTTGTTAAGGACTCAAATCAATCATCCTAGCTAACTTAAAGTCAGAAAGAAATTAGAAACTCATTAAATGTACATAATACGTCCACTAGGTGGCGACAAACACTACACAGAGTTTATCAGTGAAAATGGTAAACTTTTTAAAATTTTGTGGAAACAGGCTTTATTCATGAAAGCTGATAGTGAAGGGGAGGATGCAAGAAAGAATAGAGGAAAAAAGAGGAAGGTCACTAAAAAGGAAAGAAGGGAACTGTATAAGGAAGGATGGAAAAGGAGGAAGGAAAGAGGGAGAGGAGAGGACCCAAGGAAAGGGGAGAATCACACTGGGATAATTGGCAAAAAAATAAAGGGTAAAAATGGTTTACAAAAAACAAAGAAGACCAAAAAAATAAAGATTCAAGATAGAATAGGAAAAGGGCTGGATAAAATAAAATGAGTAACCTTTAACACTAAAGAAAACAAGGAAGAGGTAGGACACAAGAAAGGGATGACGGAAAAAAGATGGAAAGGAATGAAGATCAGGATGGATGAAGGAAGGAAGGAGATAAAAGATGTCGGTCTGGAAATAATACGTGCATATCCTCCCATATTTTTGTCTTACTGTGTTAGAATCCAGCTTCTATCATCATTTTCCTCTAAAATGTAGTAAATCAAGTGTGTTCAGTACCTTTCCACTTACCTTCTGTGTATTTGTTCTATTTAATGCTTCTAGGGGAGCACAAATGAGGTGAGTATCACAAAGAGCCAGAGGGGCTAAAGCATCTGCTTACCCAACAAGCTCTCATGTTTGTGTGTGCTTGTCTTCCATCTACTTTAGTGCAGGAAATCAAGTCCTTCCTTGTTGCTCCAAAAACATGTCTTACCATGTGCAGATATGTGCCCCTACGCCTCAGCTTATGTCTGCCGATGATAAGCTTTAACACAAATCCCGTTTGTAAAAATGACTTAGAGCTTGGCTGGAGGTTCGACCTTCCAGCTGATGAAAGCAAACATGGTGCAAAAGGGTTGGTTTAGAGCAAAGCATATCATTGCTAGAAATGTCCAGATCTAAATCTAATGTAGGAATGAGGCAGAACATGAACGGGTATCGCAGAATAAAAAAAAAAAAAAAAAGCGTGCTTCTGTCTCTGCAAAGGTGGTAGACGTGGATCCAAAGATCTACACACTGCGGAAATTATTAAATAAATACATTCAAGACGGTAGAAAAACTGTTTTTATGGACATTTTATTATTATAAGGAAAAAGAATCCAAATCTTAAAGGTATAGTGGAGGATCACAAATTTTTACCGGCCCCTGAGACGGAACGCCTATTAAACGTGTGCGAGAGCGTGCACGAGGAGAAATGTGCTCGTGCACGCTCGTGCACGCTCCTCTGTTTAAAAGTTGCTGCTCATACTGTACAAGCTCACTTTCCAAAGGAAGATTTGATATTTTTTCCACTATTTCAGACTCTCCACCGGTGAGTGAAAATGGAGACGAGCACGTAGGATGGCCTGACATGAACATATCACCAGAATGATTGACAATTACGAGGACCACTTATTTTGATGATCCACCCGGAAAAAAAAAAAATCCTCCACTTTACCTTTAATGCTGACGTTCTGCACACGAAAATTAAACTCACTCAAAGAACAACGGTCTAACTTTTTTTATTTTTTCAGCTCGTCTTGACCTTTTGAGAGCGTGACGATGGTTTGGTTGAAATTTCAGAATAAGAATAAAATGATTCCTCTTATTTTAAGAGTAATGTCACTTTAAAAAACAACCCTCCCCAAAAAAAAATAAAAAATTCACAATTTAAAAAAAAGCACTACTGTAGATTTTGGAACAGATTCTAGCCAAGCAACTTTTGCATATACTATTGGTAGGTTTCTTTTTTTTCTTCCTCAAAACAAGACTTATTCGTATATAAGAATGTTTGACTTTTGTCACGTAATGCTTTTTTTTGTAGGAACAGAGTGCATGCGATGCTTTTCAGTTGTTTATCTGTAATGGGATAACAGTTAATCATTATGGAGGATAAAAAGTGCCAAAATTAAATAAATAAATATGTTAGGGGGCGGGGTTAACGCGAATCGAGTCTCTGTAATCGATTTGCTCCGCCTTATTGTTCAGGGTGACCAATCAGGTGTTAGATAACCGCCCCCTAACTTTGATGGGTGAGTTTGACAGATTCTTTTAATGGTTTAGATGCACTGGACTATGAAATAATTAAATGCAAACTGAAATAATTATATATATATTTTTTTTAATAAAATGAAGACATTTTATTAAATTAATGACACATTTATATTTTTAATTCCTTATTTATTTAATGAATTACACATTTTATTGTTTATCGCTGTATTTATTACTTTATATTAGTGACATGGTTTTAATTAATGAATGACACATTTATTTATTTAATTCCACATTTAATTAATTTTTTTTTTTTTTTAATGCTGTATTTATTTTGGCACTTTTTATCCTCCATAAATCATGTGCAGAAACTTGAAATAAAACCCATTGTGACTTCAATAAGGTTATAAACCAGCTCAGCAGCAACAGTTGGTGTGCATGATGCATGTAATGGATGTTTATTAAGTATTTTAGTCCTATTGGAGAATATTAAAGTTTATTTCCAGCTGAAAAAGACTGGAGAAGCTTTGCTGCTTGTCTCTTTAAATGTGGAAGTAGATGGACTTTTATTTTCTTGAACACAGCAGCATCTTTTAACGCTTTATTTTTCTCATACAGGCTCTGTATAAGCTGTACAATGTAGCGGCCAACCACCGGCACCTGTACCACCACGCTTTCCCTGGAGCCCATGCGGACGAAGGTGCGGAGGAGCGAGACAAGAAGAAAGACTGATGGCAACGCAGTCGGGACTTTCTTTAGGGATGTACAGAGGGGGAGGGGGAAGGAGAGGGGACATCCTCACCCATGGAGCACTTCTGTATTCTGGTGATGGCTGCTGCAGCCAACAAGTCCAGGCACTACTTTAATCCTTATACTGAACTTTATAACGTTCATATATCAGATTGTCAGAGCACCTCAGTAGTGGGGGGAGGGGTCGTGTGTCACGTTTCATCTGGACAGATACAGGGGGCGCTCTGCTGGAGGAGACCTCCTCGTACCCGTCTGCCGTTTAGAATCACAGATCTCTGTCATTTAATGCAGGCAATTCTTTTTTTTCCAAAGTGTTGCAGAGTTTGTGAGACAAATGTTCTGTTCTTTAAGGTTTCGTGTTTATATCTACGATCTGCAAAGGCCAAATTATGTACAGTGTGTTGAATAATGAAGCAGCATTATCTGCATGTTGATGTTTCTCATCTTTAAGCTCAGAATTCAGGTATACTTTTTAAGAAAAAAAACATGTTTTAATGGTTGTGACAAAGTGGTATCGTGCCATAAAATGTTGATTTGTTTTTCTTCCATACATCCGTTCCAGCCGAGGCAAATATAAACACTAAGGTTTTTAGGTGCATCTCAACTTTAATGGCGTTAGAACCACCAACTTTAGTGGGTTTTGTCAGGATTTTGTCCAACAGACCAACGCAGGCGTATTGAGACTGGAAGGGAGGTTGAAGAAAGAATCTGGAAAGTGTGGGGTGCATTTCTGCCCCTCTGAACCATTTGTCCCTGCAGACTCCTGAGGTGCAGACAGGTTGGGTAAAAAAAAAAAGAACAAATTTCGATCCTGCCAGATGCTGAAATAGATTTAATCTCTTGACCCTCCGAGCACATAATTGATTTAAACATTTATGTTTAAGGTTTGTTTACTTGCTAGAGGGTTGAAATTGTCCATCCTAGATGTTATTCGGTTTCCTTTCGACTGTAATAAAGTTAAACTTATCCTTCCATCAACTCTGACCAGCTTCCCTGTTTTGGGGAAAAAAGTAAACCCACAGCATGATCTTGCCACCACCATGTATCTTGTTTGAACATTTGCATCCTTACAACCCCACCCTGAGCTTTAAAGCCCACAAATCAAAAGTTACTTTCCTAGATTGTGGTTCAGCTGGTCTCTGCACATTAAGAGACTGTTGATCAAGCTTTATCTTCCTCTTCGTATTTGAATTATAATCCTTTTTGTGTGTTCTATCACAGAAAACCCTGTTAAAACACACTGGAGGTTGTGGTTGTAGGTGTGATAAAAAGAGGGAGAATTTAAGTTACATTTCCTCTTTCTGGAGTAGTTCCTGGATCAGGTGTATTTTAGGGCCTTAGTGGCGACATACAGGTGCTGGTCATAAAATTAGAATATCATGAAAAAGTAGATTGATTTCAGTAATTCCATTTAAAAAGTGAAACTTGTATATTATATTCATACATTACATACAAACTCATATATTTCAGATGTTTATTTTGTTTAATTTTGATGATTACAAATGACAACAAATGAAAATCTCAAATTCATCATATCAGAAAATTAGAATATTACTGAAGACCAATAAAAACAAAGGATTTATAGAAATGTTGGCCAACTGAAAAGTATGAACATGAAAAGTATGAGCATGTACAGCACTCAGTATTTAGTTGGGCCTCCTTTGGCCTGTATTACTGCAGCAATGCGGCGTGGCATGGAGTCGATCAGTCTGTGGCACTGCTCAGGTGTTATGATAGCCCAGGTTGCTCTAATAGTGGCTTTTAGCTCTTCTGAATTGTTGGGTCTGGTGTATTGCATCTTCTTCACAATACCCCATAGATTTTCTATGGGGTTAAGGTCAGGAGAGTTTGCTGGCCAATTAAGAACAGGGATACCATGGTCCTTCAACCAGGTACTGGTAGCTTTGGCACTGTGTGCAGGTGCCAAGTCCTGTTGGAAAATGAAATCTGCATCTCCAAAAAGTTGGTCAGCTGCAGGAAGCATGAAGTGCTCTAAAACTTCCTGGTATGTGGCTGCGTTGACCCTGGACCTCAGAAAACACAATGGACCAACACCAGCAGATGACATGGCACCCCAAACCATCACTGACTGTGGAAACTTTACACTGGACTTCAAGCAACGTGGATGAAGTGCCTCTCTTCTTTTCCTCCAGACTCTGGGACCTTGATTTCCAAAGGAAATGCAAAATTTACTTTCATCAGAGAACATGACTTTGGACCACTCACCAGCAGTCCAGTCCTGTTTCTCTTTAGACGCTTCTGACGCTGTCTGTGGTTCAAGAGTGGCTTGACACAAGGAATGCGACAGCAGAAACCCATGTCTTTCATACGTCTGTGTGTGGTGGTTCTTGAAGCACTCACTCCAGCTGCAGTCCACTCTTTGTGAATCTCCCCCACATTTTTGAATGGGTTTTGTTTCACAATCCTCTCCAGGGTGCGGTTATCTCTCTTGCTTGTACACTTTTTTCGACCACATCTTTTCCTTCCCTTCGCCTCTCTATTAATGTGCTTGGACACTGAGCTCTGTGAACAGCCAGCCTCTTTAGCGATGACCTTTTGTGTCTTGCCCTCCTTGTGCAAGGTGTCGATGGTCGTCTTTTGGACAACTGTCAAGTCAGCAGTCTTCCCCATGATTGTGTAGCCTATAGAACTAGACTGAAAGACCATTTAAAGGCTTTTGCAGGTGGTTTGAGTTAATTAGCTGATTAGAGTGTGGCACCAGGGGCCATCAATTTTGAACCTTTTCACAATATTCTAATTTTCTGATATGATGAATTTGAGATTTTCATTTGTTGTCATTTGTAATCATCAAAATTAAACAAAATAAACATCTGAAATATATGAGTTTGTATGTAATGTATGAATATAATATACAAGTTTCACTTTTTAAATGGAATTACTGAAATCAATCTACTTTTTCATGATATTCTAATTTTATGACCAGCACCTGTATAGGTGAAATGCAGCGCAGAGTAAGCGTCAGGTTCACAGCACCCAGCTGGCATCGTCTCACCTTTTAATCCGCTTTGCAGCTTTTGCATTTGCGCAGCATCCCGTGCATGCATGTTTGGCTTTTGAAGGTAAAGGGGTTGTTTTATGTGTAGTTTCTATTGAGACAAAGAGGAGGCCGGCGGATCCATTGTTTTGCTTCTCACTGAATGTTCGAGCAAATCCCAGGAATGTAGCCGTTCCGCGTCCGCAGAGGAATCAAAACTAGATGCTGCTGGGCGCGGCCACGGGGCCGGCTTTGGGAAAAGGCTCCTCATTCCAGATCTCATCCGTCATCTTTACAAACGTAACTTGAATCCTCGGAGCTAAACAGTTGGGCCTCATAAACACGAAGCTTTCTGATAGAGACAGACACTTTATTAGTGAGTGGATGCTTTAGCTTCTTTGACTGCCGACCTGAAATCAGAGCAGCAGCTGCAGCGTTTCTCATCATTTAGGAAGCTGATGATGAGGTTTGACCTGAATGGCAGCAGCCTGGTTTCTGGAGTCTTCCAGCGTGTAATCAGCATCACGGAGGCTTTGAAGCAACACATGTTCCTTCCTAATATCCCTGTTGAGTGTTTTAGGAGCTTAATTAGCTTCATCAGTCAGAGAAGTTGTTTATTTTTCTTCTTCCATCCCTCTATGCTTAGGAAAGTGGTAAATCTTTCAATTTAGCTCTTTGGCTTAAACACTGCAAAGTTACAGACACAAAGATAAATAAAGTTGGACCAAATTAATGAACACAAAGCTGTTCCATTGCATTTTTTATCATAATCTTAAGATATTAAGAGTTAATTTGTCAGCAGTTATTAAAAAAAATTCTATTCGAAGGCGTTTAAATAACTACCGTTCGTTTGGGACTTTTTATTGGTTTATTTTGTTCTAGAAGCAGGGTAAATTGTTTGATGTTTTGGATTTTATTTAAACTCATTTACTAAATACATAAAGTAGGAATCGGGAACATTTTCAGTGTAAAGAGTCACTTCTGCCCTTGATTCTAATAAAAACTCTCCAGTTAAGGACCGCAGCGTTTCTATTTTAGAGTTCTAGATAAATGAAACTCAACTTTTACAGATCAAGACTTCTGCATAACAAGTTTACTCAAGGTCTAAGTAAAACAATTTTAACGCTATTTTTAAGTGATAAGAACTTATTTGATTTAAACAAAATATAAAATTTATGGTAGTTTCCATTTTAATAAGAAAAACCAGTAAAAATAAAAAGGTATTTTTCCTGTAAATCAAATTTTGTGAATTTTCCAATAGAAAAACACGCATGTAGTTAAACATGTGGCTCAATCAGTGATCTCAAATGTCCAGTTCTTATTTTTAAAATACTGTAAAGTTTCATAAGGCGTGATCAATCCACTCATTAAAAAAAAAGGAAAAAGTTACCAAAATAAAAGGGCTCTTCTGTAAATGAAGACAGTAAATCCGCTCCCAGTCTGGTTTTATTCTGTAAATAAATGTGCTGCAACTGATGTAAAACTGTCCGTTTCTGGTTTCCAGATATAATTAACGAGCAGCACAAGATAACGAATATAAAGTTATGATTTTTATTTAGTAAAATAACTTTAGATTTTAGCTCTAAAATCCAAAATGTGGTTTTGTGTAACGTGGAGACGCTTCTTCACTCAAAGAACACTATAGGGCTCCCTACTTCGATTTAGATTATTTTTCTAATACTTCCACTTTCCGGGTTGTGCTAAATAGCTCAATAAAGCTCAATTTTTGTTGATATTGTAGAATTGCCACTTTAGGAAATCCCCGAACACGTTATTACCGAACACGTAAAACAAAGATTCACAGCCATTTCTGTTAAACACGTATCAGGTGACCTTTATATGGTTTTAAGGTGTGATAAAATGTCCAGCAGCTTATTGCGTTTCATCAGAATCAGAGCAATGCCAGGTGAGCGGAGAGATGGGAAAACCATCGCATCAAACGTGTTTCAGAATTACAAACCTTCCGATTGTCTTTAGTGTACATAACGCCACAGAACATGAGCAATGCATACGTTTATTTACTGGTTTAGTCTATGAGGATTACAACGTAACAGGGAGAAAATATATTGCGTTTAAATAAATGAAGCTGCCGGTCGTTTTGCCCTGCAGGAAAAATAAAGACGGAATAGATGGCGTACGCATGATATGAGCAAAAACTGTAGAGTTGCTTTAGGAAAGGCACGGTCTCTGATGCTTCTCAACAAACGTCCAGACTTGGTGCTGCTGTGTTGAAAGAAGAGAAAAATTGCACCATGATTCACGTCTCGTAGCGTTTTCAAAAACCACCAGCAGCAGCCTCCAGATCGTCTTCCTTCTAGTGTTTTCTTTCAGTCATTCCTAAAGTGAACAGCACTCAAAGCGACCACTCCCCGTCAGGGAGTGTTTGGACTTCTTGGCTGATATATTTGGATCAAGCGAAGGCACGGATGTATTTGGTAAGGAAGCAATTACGAGTCTGGATATCAAAGGCAACACGGACCGCTCCCAAACGGCTGCAACCTCAGCGAAGGCGTTCCCGTCACATGTTCCCGATGTAGTTCTTGTTGGGCTGCTGGGTGTACCACTGCTGCCGCTGTTTACGGGCCTCCAGCTCTGACAGCAGCGCCTGTCGATACACCTCGTAGGATTTAACGATGTGCTCCAGCTCCTTCATGAACAGCAGCTTCAACATGCCCTGATACGTGTCCAAGTCGGCCAGCTGGAACAGCTCCCACTTCAGGATGTGGTCATACCTGATGGGGGAGGCAAAAGGCAGGGGGGGGTGATTGATTTTAGAAAAGTTTGCAGCAATAAGATGAAAAAAGTATAAAATTCAGTTCAGTTTATTTATATAGCGCCAATCCAAACACGTCACAATTCAGCAGATCATTAAGTCAAACTGATAGAAGAGAAATAATTACTGATTATTCTTGATTTGATCAAAACTCCTATAATTATTGCTTTGTTTTAACAATAAATGTGCCTAAAAATACTAGGAAACAGAGATCCTAATTTAAAGAAAAATACTTAACAAAAATGAAACCATTTAGACACAAAATTTACCTCAAAGATTGTTGATAATTTGGGCTGCAAACTGAAAAAAACCAACTGAGGTTGTTGTATCCATCAAGCAGAACCTGAGGTCAGTTTCACAAATCAGTTTTAATCCTTGATGTTAAATTGATCTAGCCAGGAGTGGAAAAAAGGTGATCTTAGTGCAGAATTAAAAAGAAATATTGGAGAAAGTGTTTAAACGACAGAGAAACAGCTCCCTAGCAGGAAAGGAGATGGAGACGGTTGCTACTTAGAGGTAGTGCACAAGTTTATATGTAGTCTTTTATGGCAGACATATTAAAAACGCTTTCCTCTCTTTTAGCAGAAACGTTCGGTTTCTGCTAAACACCCCAGTCAGGAACTGGATGGGGGGTGGCGGACTAGTGGTTAGGGCAAAGAGTTTGGAATCCAGAGGTTCTGAGTAGGGATGGGAATGGAAAACCGGTTTCTGTTCAGAACCGGTTCCGTGTGTTCCAATTCCATGGCACCGTTTGGCAGCTCGCTTAACGGTTCTCTTTATCGATTCCAGGCAGCACCAGAGCCTAGCGCGGGCCAGCACGACTTGCGTCACGTTTTTTACTCAAGTTACGTACACGGCATTCAGTAAGCAAGAACGGCGAGACCAGGCGCATGTCTAGAAAAGCAAAACAAAAGCGATCAAAGCGAACAAAGGTGTGGCTTCATTTTAAAGGGTCCCTTGATTTTCTGTTATTCCATCATGTATTCCATATGAGTTTAGTGTCATTTGGAGCCGTTCTGAAGATATTCCGTTAGGTTATATCCAGTAACGTCTTCCTATGGGCAACGACTTGAAGGGACAAACTAAACTGTTCATCATTTATTCTTTATGGTACGCCAGCATTCAGAACATGGAGGCCAATCACTGTCCCCCAGACATCCACAGTTAGATTTTTTATATTTACATCTTTTAAAAATGAAGCGGTGCGTGTATGACATCATCCGCGCGCAGCCCGGGCCACAGGCGGCTACGCACTACCCCTTCTATTCATTCTAGCTAATCTGAATCGTTCAATTCCATCTTGAGAGCAAGATCATCTGTGGTAGCAGCACTAGACATCTTCCAGGCATGTGAGGAAAACTAGCAGCAGTTCAGCGGACAGGAGGAATGAACGGTGGCCGGCGCACGGATGACGGATGGCGGAATATGAAAGGACATCTAGACGTGGTCTAAAAAAATCTCTCCTAACAAATATTTAATTTGCTGCAAATAAATGCAGCTCCACTGATTGTATCGTGGTCTAAAGAACATGCTATGTTCGTGTTTTTAACACCTAATGTGTCTAACAGTCCTAGTGACTGATTGTTTTTTTTTGTTTTTTTGTATAGAACCATGACAGAACTGTACTGCCTGAATCAGGTAATGAAACAAGGTGATTGCTTTAAGGAGGATGGAGACAGAGGAGACCTGCTCCTTAACAGGTGAGTTCTAGGGAGAATGTTACTATGGTAACACATACAGAAGCTGAATAAAATGTCTTTGTGACACGGAGAACTCAGTTTTCATTAAACCTGCTTCGTGAAAATGACCTCTTTGCACTTTTGGCCCTTTTTAATAGTGCTGCAATTGTGTTTAACATTAACTGGTTGATCTATTCTGAAGCCAGTTTGGATCTCTAATGTGAACCCAAACCTCTGATAAAAGCAGGTGGGTCATAATGTTTAGGAGCAACACAGGAACGACTGAGGCTCAGATCTGTTAGGGCACATTCCCTCTGCTGCTCCTGTTCTTAAGGTTTCTGTTTTGGTGTTTGAATGTGGGTCTGGACCTCTTCACCGCTCCATGTCGCCGCAAGAGATTTTCTATGGAAGCAAATCCTTACCATATTTCAAATGAAAAGCATTTCCAGAAATGCTTTTCATTTTTGGAAGCGAATCGGTCTGACTATCGGGACACTGAACGAGCACAATGACCAAAACAGTGGCAGAGCTGATGGAGGCCGCTGCTGCTTTAAAGCAAGTCCCTGCCTCAAGCGGACCTGTGGCAAAGCCGACTGCTCCCGAGTTTCCCGCCGGCACACTTACAATGTAATGCAATGCAGACGTGCACAGCGCCCCCTACCGAACAAGATGGGTAGCCCGGTCAGCAAGGACCTGAGGAAGAGCGGCTGCTGATGTCACTCTGCTGCCCCCGCCGCTCAGAATGCTTTTTCGTTTTTGAATTATGGACAGTACTTTGCTGGCAGACCATGAAAACGAAAAAGTAATGCCCGCTGTGTTTTCTCTTTGATTATAGCATAAAATGTGCAGTCTTAAAGAGGAAAATACAAATGCAAATGTGATGATTGATTACTATTTAATTTATGAGTCAAGCAATGCAGCCACATTCTTAAAATGGAAAAGCATTTCTGGAAATGCTTTTCCATTTTCAAATTTTCCATTTCCAATTGAATTTTGGTATGTATTTGCTGGGGTACATTTTGAGAAATAAATCTCAAATGTCTTTCTTTTTCATTTTAAGTAAAAGGATGATCAGAGTTGAAGAAGCAAATGAAAATGCAAACAGGATTATTGATTACTAATTTTCATTTATGAGTCAAATAATGCAGCCACATTCTTAAACGATATGCTTCCATAATTTTCAGCCTATTTGGGGTTAACACTAATTTGTTTGCTTCTTCCGCCACACATTAACCTTTTGTTTTTTGCCAACAGCTCCAGGAGTTTGCTCCCGTGGAAACTCCACCAAACTTTTAGCTCCTTTACTGCAAAATTGTCATTTATTTTAGCTAAATTGGTTTGAAATTTAAGGAACAATCAGGGGTCTGACCTTCACCCCTAAAAGTTCTTCCTTTAAAGGTCACAGAAACGGCTCCCTTTGAGCCGCTGCAGCACAATCTGAACTCACTTGAGGGGGGCCCGTGCGTACACCTGCAGCCAGTCTGGGATCTCGGCCGTGTGGTAGGGGTTAGCGGGCACCAGCACGGGCTGGTTTCTTTCTGCTGGACGCGGCTGATAGCTTACAGGAGGCGGTGGGGGCTGATCGTAACGAGGCACACTGAAACAGAATTTAGTTTTACGTTATTCTAAAGTGCATAAATATTAGCATCAGCTTCTTGTTTTGATGCCTAAGATGTAAATATATTACTGCTTTCACCTCGGGGCACAAGGATGGCGATACTGTGCTCTTTCGTTGATGTGATCCATATAGTAGACCCCAAACTCAGCAGACTCCACCTTCTCCCAGCCTGGGGGGAGCCCTTCCCTCTCCAGAGGGTGGCTCCAGTGTGTAGTGTTGGTGTTGTGGTCGATGTAGTACTTCCTGCCCCGGATGGTCCAGTCCACAGTCCAACCGGCAGGAAGGGGGAGGTCCTCCGCGGTCAGACTGGAGAGGTTCCCCAGAGACTTGGCCTGAATTCGACCTATGCCTGAAGAATACAAGACATTTCTCACTAAAACGCAAAGATATCTGAACAAATGTGCAGCACTGCAGCTGTCAGCTTAATCCAACTCTTGGGGAAAAAAAAGATATTTTCAACTTCTTACTGTGTGGGAAAGAGGAGGAATGTGCTGAGTTAAAAAGGTCATCTAATGGGTCAACTAAACACACAACAGGCCGAGATAAGAATGCCTAGAATCAGTACTTAAGGTGGACGGATGCACTATGAGAGTAAAAATCTGATTCCAGGCAGAGTTGTAAATCAATTAGACAGCTGAGGCAGATCATCCAAAGCAGAGTCTTTAATGAATAGTAGGAAATATCTCCCAACACACGAGAGCAAAAAAACACAGAACTCCCAAAAACACTTTCTAGAAGCTGACCTGCCAATATCTACGCTACTTTTATAGAAGAACAACATCAGCGGAGGTATGTCGGACCAGCCAGCCGTGCGGACGACCGTCATGGCCGACAATGGACCAGACGAAATAAGCAGAGAATTCTGGGGAATGAAATATCTGAGGAAAAAGCTGATGAATTGAGCAGGAGAGTGACAGCAGCAGAGCTGGAGCTGAGGGAAGGAATGGAATGTGTTCCTCCTCCAAGGAGACGGACTGAAACGTCTCCTCCTTCACCCCATCATCATCCTTAATGGCTCCTTTTTCCCTTTAGAAAAATACGCCTTGAGGAACTAAAGTGGTAATACTTTACTACTTTTCCATCACTCTACTTTGATTTAACCAGACAAACACAAATGTTGCAAGAATGGGAGGTGTATAAAAAGTAAACATGGTTTTCTAATGTTTCTAAAAATAAAAATCTGATTTCAGCGAGTCAACACTTTTTAGAGCCACCTCTCCCTGTAATTAAAGCTGCAAGTCTTATTTTAGATTTACGCATCAACCCACTGACATATTTGCCCATGTTTCCATTAAAAATAGTCCATTTGTTGACGTCTTTTCACAGATTCTGACTCGGATTAAAGTCTAGAGTTTGTCGAGGCCATTCCTGACACATGAGTTTGGTTTAAAGCATTTTATTAAAGCTCTGACTGCAGGTGGTGAACCAGACTCTTTTGCCGCCTGTTTCTCTCTCCATCTCCCTGCCAGGTCTGACCAGCTTCCCTCTCTTTGCTGCCACAGCATAAAGCTGCCACTGCTATGTTTTACCAAAGGGAAGGCATGTTTAGTCTGATGTAGTTCCTTCTCATCTGACCAGAGCACCTACTACCACATGTCTAAACCTTAACTGGGACGACTTCTAGCTTTACCTTAACGACGGCTCATTTTTGGTCACTATTTTCTCTCCTGGAGAGAAATATCAGCTGTGCTGCTGCCATCAACACCTTTGTTTCTAGATGTTGGAGCTTGGCCTGTTTCTCTGACTGTGACTAACTGGATGTGCTCTCTTCATCCTCTGACATGGGAGCTGGCTCGGAGCTCGTCTGCCTGGCTGTGTGTTTCCTGGACGGGGCCGCCTGTGGAGCTGGTTGACAGTTGCCTTTTGTATCTATGCTTCTTTTTCTATGTCTGCTTCTGTCTCCTTGAACCCCAGTGGGCCTCAGCAGATGGCCGCTCACACTGAGCCTGGTTCTGCTGGAGGTTTCTTCCTGTTCAAAGGGAGTTTTTCCTCTCCACTGTCGCTACAAGCATGCTTAGTGTGAGGGATTGCTGAAGAGTCAATGAGTCGATGCAATCAGCTGGTTTTCCTTAGATAGAAAACTTTGAATCAATCTGAGTGGATGATCTGGTGAACTGGAAAGTGACCTGAGATGACATGATGTGAATTGGAGCTATAGAAATAAACTGAATAGAATAAAACTATTTTCTAAAGGTCAGATTTGTTGAGCGCAAAACTTTCAACCAATCACTGCAGCCTTTATATTACTTTGCTTTGGTTCTTTGACCAATCGGATTAAATCTGATTAAAATACAATCAAATTTACATCACAAGATGTAGATATTATAACCCCAGACTGATAAAATTATAGTCTTGGGTCACAGACAAAAAAACAGCATAAATAAGAACCAAAATACAAATTGTTCATGTTAAATTTAAATATATATATATTTTTTTATTATTGGACAATACATTAATCCATCAATCGTTTTGCGATCATTAATTCTACAAATCTTACTTTTTTTCTGGCTTCAAAGCAACTGCTTTTATAAATGAACCCACAGCTGCTGTTTTTTGTTGTCCTTTTAAATCATTTAGACTAAAAGTTATCCGCTGTCTCAGAACGCTCAGAAACCAGAGCTAAAGACCATCAGAAGCCTGATGGGAGCAGCTCTACCAGTGTAGCTCTAGGTTAAGGTTCCAGACTAACTCTGTGATTTTTTGGCTGCATTTTATTTCTCAATTAAGGCACAACGTCTCTCTCGACAGCAAATTAATTTTAAAAGAGGAACAGAGAAACGCGATCAAGGCTCATCTTCTTATTCTAGGCGTGCAACTGCACGCTTTGATTTCTGTTGACAACAACTATGCGTCGCTTAACATACGTCACGCACTCCGTTGCTCTTATTGGTTGTAGGTCTATCCAATTGAGTGCAGAGGCATTTTTTTCCTGGTTCGTTCGAAACACGCCCCATAATCACAGCTCTATGGAGCAGAATCAGGCTCATATTCTGACTAGAATTGAGTCGGACTACGTCAGGCTAGATTAGAGCTGCACAGTATATCTAAATCCGAATCATCTGCACAGTGTTGATATCTACGATATCCCCTCTGCAGGTGATAAATGGTGGATTTTTATAAATGACATTTCTGACACTCATCCTTGGATGCAATTAAATGAGCTCTGACCTTAATGCCCACAGTTGATGCATGGATGTGGAGACTGTTTAATAGTAAAGAAAAAATCAAAATCTGCTCTTTTTCAAAACAGCGAATGCTCCACACGTAAGCACTGCCATAGATTAAGGCTTCCAGCAGATAACAGCAAGCCTGAACAAAGTACAGAGAGACCACAGCTGGAGGAGCTGCCTGAGCTACAAAACACTGAGATTTTAAAAAGCTCTGAATCTACACAGATGCCTTATGATGAAACATGATTAAATCATCGTTGGGACGCTGGTGTAGAAACGCTGGCCGTTCGACACTACAAACACTACTTACTGATAATTATTACAATCCAAAATACTGAGCAGAAGGGAGAGAAAAACATGACCAGAAACCAAGCTAGAGCTAAATTTAGCAACTGAAAAAAAAAAAGAGTTTAGTAGAAACAATTTGCCAGGATACCTTCCAGATTAAATGGAGCAGCTCAGCACAGATTAGCATTTAGTCAACATGTGGCAGCAGAGAATGATGGTAGTACGGGACGCAGGTAAAGGTGAGAATGACACAGAGGCATTCCTACGATTCTTGTCTGATCAAAAACACAGCTATGAATATGCGTATGAAATACTAAGTCCTGACGGAATAAGTCAATTTTTTTTAGAACTAACTAAATAATTACACCAGAAACAAGGACAGCAGCAACAACAAGAAGAGTGCAATAACTAAGCTAGTGAGTAAAAAGAAAAATTGAAGATAGAAGCGTAAAAAGATGCAGGATAACACAACAAGCTGTTGAAGACGGAGGGAGGACTCCGTCTACACAAATTACTAGTTTGCCAGCAGAAGGGAGAGAAATAAAAAGTGAAAAATGCAGAGCCTGTAACGCTGGTTTCCCTTCACTTCAAACAGAGCTCCATGATATGCGATAGGCGGGTTGCATCAACAGGGCAGCCACATAATAAAAGGCTTTCTGCTCAGGGGGAACTGGAAAATTCCTGCAAGCCTCAAAAAATGTTATTCTCAGGGAAATTACGTTTAAAACGTACTAGTGTTTACAGTCTGGAGCTTTCATATTAAAACATCTCAACTGGTAGCAAATGTGGACTAAAACGTCTATTTTGGCTTGAAACTATGACGGTATTAACATTCAGAAGAGCACTTACTAGGGAGGCTGACAGACTTTGACAGAGTAGAGCACAGTTTGCTGTTTTAAAATCAGCTTCATAAAAATAACCGCAGTCAGATTATCCTCAAACTTATAGTCTTTGCTTTTAACCATCAAAACCTGTGATTAAAAAGACATCAAGAGGAATTTTAGCCTCTTAAAGAAGATGTGTCATTTATAGATTCATGTTTAAAGTCTGTAGCTCCTGAAATACATTTTTTAAATATTACTTTTAGTTTCTATTTAATGACCAATCAGAAAGCATTTGATGTTACCTGAGGGCGGTCGGCTTGGCGCTGGGGAAGCGTGTTGGTGGGGAAGTCTTTGGAAGTTGTGTTCATTGTGTTCATAAAACCTATAGTCCTCAGGGAAGCGCTCCTGGACTCTCCTGGGCTGACGCTGTAGCTGGTTTTCATAGTAGGGCTCAGCCTGGTAGTAATAACGATTAGCGTCTCCGTTTTCAGACATGGGGCTCACGTCCGTGAGGAAGGATTGCGTCGAGCCGCGGTACTCGTGCGACACGTCTCCCACGCTGCGAGGCAGGTACGGCGGCGCCGACATCCGGTGGCTCTCTCTGCGGGCCACCTCGTGCGGCGGCCTCTGCACGGGTGCGCGGAGGACGCTCTTGCTGCGGGACACTACGGACTCCCTGCTGCTTGCCACAGAGTAGGAGGAGGGGGCCATCTCTGGCGGGGGGCCCTCTGTTCGTCTGGGGATGGTGGGTCCATGGCGAATGAATGAAGGCATAAGACCTGCAATATCAACAGCATATCAAAATCATATCTACTGGCGGACTAAAGTTTTGAATAGTTTATTTCTTTAAATGATGGAAACAGCTTCTGATAGAAAATAAGACATCTCACAGAAATAATAAAAATATGTTAAAAAGCATCAGTCATTTACAATTTATCAATTAAAGGAAGGTTGAATATTAGTCAATACAATAATCAATAGTTAAATCCTTATTTATCTTACAGTAAATACATAATTAATAAATAATTATAAATGATGACCAGTATTATGCATTAGAAATACAGACCCTTCTTTTTCTGAAATATCTTGCAATCACCCTCATCTAAAGCTCCTTACACAGAATCTCTAATTCATTTAAGCAACTCTTCAATCTAAAAATATATTACTTAGAGTCAGATGAAAATATATTGATAAATAAAAGACTACTTTTATCCTAAAGTAAAAACAGTTTGTCCTGCTGTATATCTGTTTGGGTCAATGATGTCACAAGACATCCAGACTCATCAGCAAATTAACTTCTGCACTATTTTTATATAATTTACATCAAGTAGGATTCATCAAAGTTCAATTTAAATGACAGGAATTAAATATTAAGTGCTTGATCAGAGTTCAACTTCGATAAACCACAATCCCTGCTAAATATTTCCTTCAACAAAAGCTGAAGCAAACTGATATGTTGATAATTAAAAGCCTCAGACTGGTTTAAAACCTGCTGATACATAAATATGCATTAATAACTGTTTCCTCTGAATGTTTATTCCTGTAAAAGAACAAGCACTATTCTTTTTTTTTTTATTTTATTTTTTTTTTATCAATTTAAACCTTATCTTTCATGTGATTTCACTACAGGAATGTGAGCAGAAAAAAAACAAAAAAAAAACAATGACACCATGACTCAATGGTTATGGGTTAAAACTATAAATACAGAACATCTAACTGGGAATCTGACAAAAAATTGTTTTAAAATCAAAATCTATTCTGTAATGCCTTTATGGAAGAGGATTAGGGCCACTGAAAAAAAAAAAGAGTTAACTGATTTTTAAATATTATTTCAGTATATTATGAGAAAAAAGTCAGAATTCTGATTTTAATCTCAGAGTTTTGGACCTTAATGCAGGTGGGCCCCATGAAGGATGTGGAGCACTCAGCTTCACTGAAAAAGATGTGAGTTGTTTGGGAGGAACAGGAACACATTGGTGGAAAATTATGAAATTAAGTGACTTTTTAGGTGATGCTATTTAATTAATGGAAGGGCAGAAGGTGATTAAAACAAGAGAGCTAGTTTAGTCTTTAAAACAGACATGGCTACAGCTTGATGTTAGAATCCTGGTAGAATCCTGAGATTAAAGTCAAAATCATGAGATTAAAGTCAGAATTCTAATAAAAAAAGTCAGAATCCTGAGATTAAAGTCAGAATCACTGAGATTAAAGTCAGAGTCACTGAGATTAAAGTCTGAATTCGGACTTTTTTCTTCATATTATACTGAAATAAAATGTAAAAATCTGTTAACTTTTTTTTATTTTTCCAGTGGCCCTAATCCTCCTCCGTATGTGTAGCTATGCATCCAAGTATTGTTGTTTTAAATGCATTTAAATGACCGAAATTAAACGTTTTTCTAAGATATTTCACTCCAGCTGAAATCATGCATTTCTACTTTAATCTCAAAACTCTTTGTGCCTAATTAGGATTTTAACATAAAGATACAGGAAAACCCCAGTCAGAAGTGAAAACAACCTTTTTTTTTTTATAAAGTTAAATGAAAATCCAGCGTATATTATTAGCTGTAGCTTTCTTCACAGCTGTTCTCCTTTTCATAACAGGAAGTCCACAGAGATTTTCAGTTAGCTTGTGAACATCCGAGCTCCTTATACATTCAGCATACAGTGATACATTCCATTAGCGTTTTTAATCCTCTGCCTGAAGTTAGTTGGTATATTCTCACTGACTACCACCTTAGCTAACGAGTTAACTAATGCTAACCTGAACTAGCCGCTACTGAATACTTGTTGCGCTTACTTCTGAGGAGCGGAGACGTTTCCTTCTTCACATATTTCCCGTGAACCTCGGCTGGTTTTGACGCTTCGTTTTTACTTTTCTTTCGCGGGAGCATAACTTAAAGCTTGGAAAAGTCGTCAGAAAGACACTGGGAAGTCATGGCACACTCCTCCGATGCTGCTACTGCCCCCCGCTCAGTTAACAACCAGCAGAAAGTCAACATTTTCAGCTCGGTAGAACAGCTAGCAACAGTTAGCCAGCTAGCTGTAGTCGCTACGAGGGGCGACTGTGCGGCCGCAGCAGCCCTGTCCCCATGATGGTACTCTACTCTAACACGCCCCCTGCAGGAAGGTCTGAGCAGTGCACAGACCCAACACGATATGTGCAAAACCAAAGCAGTGAATAGTTTTGAAGTTAAAGAAAACCATTTGTTTTAATTGAAAAATAAAATAAAATCTTTACATTTTGGCATTTGAGTCAGATTTAAGTTGGAATTCTGTGAAAAAAGTCAGAATTCTGAGATTAAAGTCAGAATTCTGAGATTAAAGTCTGAATTCTGAGAAACAAAAGTCAGAATTCTGAGAAACAAAAGTCATGAATAGTTTTGAAGTTAAAGAAAACCATTTGTTTTAATTGAAAAATAAAATAAAATCTTTACATTTTGGCATTTGAGTCAGATTTAAGTTGGAATTCTGTGAAAAAAGTCAGAATTCTGAGATTAAAGTCAGAATTCTGAGATTAAAGTCTGAATTCTGAGAAACAAAAGTCAGAATTCTGAGAAACAAAAGTCATGAATAGTTTTGAAGTTAAAGAAAACCATTTGTTTTAATTGAAAAATAAAATAAAATCTTTACATTTTGGCATTTGAGTCAGATTTAAGTTGGAATTCTGAGATTATAGTCAGAATTCTGAGATTAAAGTCAGAATTCTGAGATTAAAGTCTGAATTCTGAGAAACAAAAGTCAGAATTCTGAGAAACAAAAGTCATGAATAGTTTTGAAGTTAAAGAAAACCATTTGTTTTAATTGAAAAATAATATAAAATTTTTACATTTTGGCATTTGAGTCAGATTTAAGTCGGAATTCTGAGATTAAAGTCAGAATTCTGAGCAAATAAAGTCAGAATTCTGTGAAAAAAGTCAGAATTCTGAGATTAAAGTCAGAGTTCTGAGATTAAAGTCAGAATTCTGAGATTAAAGTCTGAATTCTGAGAAACAAAAGTCAGAATTCTGAGAAACAAAAGTCATGAATAGTTTTGAAGTTAAAGAAAACCATTTGTTTTAATTGAAAAATAATATAAAATCTTTACATTTTGGCATTTGAGTCAGATTTAAGTCGGAATTCTGAGATTAAAGTCAGAATTCTGAGCAAATAAAGTCAGAATTTTGTGAAAAAAGTCAGAATTCTGAGATTAAAGTCAGAGTTCTGAGATTAAAGTCAGAATTCTGAGATTAAAGTCTGAATTCTGAGATTAGAGTCTGAATTCTGAGAAACAAAAGTCAGAATTCTGAGAAACAAAAGTCATGAATAGTTTTGAAGTTAAAGAAAACCATTTGTTTTAATTGAAAAATAATATAAAATCTTTACATTTTGGCATTTGAGTCAGATTTAAGTCGGAATTCTGAGATTAAAGTCAGAATTCTGAGCAAATAAAGTCAGAATTCTGTGAAAAAAGTCAGAATTCTGAGATTAAAGTCAGAGTTCTGAGATTAAAGTCAGAATTCTGAGATTAAAGTCAGAATTCTGAGATTAAAGTCTGAATTCTGAGAAACAAAAGTCAGAATTCTGAGAAACAAAAGTCATGATTAGTTTTGAAGTTAAAGAAAACTATTTGTTTTAATTGAAAAATAAAATCTTTACATTTTGGCATTTGAGTCAGATTAAAGTCAGAATTCTAAGATTAAAGTCAGTATTCTGAGAAAAAAAGTCATAATTCTGAGAAAAAAAGTCATAATTCTGATATTAAAGTCAGAATTCTGTGAACAAAATCAGAATTCTGGGAAAAAAGTCAGAATTCTGAGATTAGAGTCAGAATTCTGAGAAAAAGTCAGAATTCCGAGATTAAAAGCAGATTTCTGACTTCTTCCCAATATTAAACTGAAATATTTAAAAATCAATACTGTTCTTTTTTTTTTTTATTAGTGACCCTCATCCTCCTCCGTATGATGCAGACTGTATTCATGTCATGCAGACTGTGACATTATTTGATAGGACATGATAGGGGTGGGGGGGTTTGTCCCTTTGTTTTTTTTCTCCCAACATTCAGTCTGAAGGCGGTTGGGAAGAAGCTGTTTAGGACTCTGCTGGTCCTACATCGAATGTTACGAGCAGTTGCCACATCCTTGCTTTGGAAAAGCAGTTTAGCTCCCATGCTCTTGTTTCACTGTGGAGAAATTGTGTTCAGGGTGATATGAGGTGTTATTTTTTTTAAACCAAAGGTTTTGCATAGAAGCAAAATAAAATTTTAACCTAATTTGATCCAAGCTCCCTTTTCCACAGACCCATTTGTCTCGTTCTTATTCTTCCATAAAGGACACCTTTGTGTAGTGCATAGCCTGTCTTGGGTTTGCGGATATGCAACGGCGTTGTTAATGCATCACTGCAAAGGTGGATGAACTAAACCACATTTTATTTTATGTAATAAAGTTTGGATACCATAGTTTCTTCTAAGCAGTTTTGCACGATGATGCTCTATCAAAACAAACAAAAAATCCAATTAAAATACATATAAGTTTATGGTGGAGGTATAATGTAGAAGAAACACTTAAAACTCTACTTGTTTTTTTTTTTGGGCATTGTAACTTTCTTATATCTGGACCAAAAAAAAACAAAAACAAAAAAAAACAGCATTTATTTAATTTAGATTCAAGTTGTCTTAAAATATTAATGACATTAAACTAAACCTGAAGAAAAATGACAAAAATAGTATTTTGAATAATGAACAAAATGACCACAAACTGACTGAATGCTAAACATTTTATTTACACCTGTAACACAGACATTACCCTGGTTCCACGTTAGCGTAGATATGAGCTTAAAACATTCATGATAGAAACTTCACATGATGCCAAAGATAATTGCATTTTCTTCATTATAATTAAACAAAATGGTAACTTTTGCCACGTGAGACATTTATAGTGAACATAGTTTTAGGTAGTGTTAAATACAAGCATAAACTTTAATATTAATAGTTTAAAATATTGGTCCTTGATTTTACTCATTGTTTTTTCTCAACATAACAGACAGACATTATAAGCTTTCTATAAACCTTTATGTCATTCCTTTTGTCTTTGGCCAGAAAGAGTGTTCGGAGAGTTGGATCTTTTTTTCCTTTCTTCATTAGTTTCTACCTTCTCAGTCAAAAAAAAAGTTTTAAAAATTATGGATTTTTGTGAAATTAAAAGCCTAGCCAACAATAAAAATAAAATAAATAAAATACTGCAAATTCAGTGGTGAAGTTTACATACATTAGAGCCCTTCAGTTATCCTGCGTCTGCAGCTGGATCTGTTGCACAAACGTCCCAGCAGTTAAATATACACAGTATCTACACAGCTAAAGTTGGCACCACCGACTCCTTCAATATGCCGAGTATTTTACGAGACACCTCATGGGCATTTGTAGTTGTACGGCAGAGACGCAATCGTGGACGGGTTTAGATCTCTGACTATCTTGTTGAGGCTGGAGATCTTTTCCTCCAATAGGTAGTTCTTCTTTTCTGCAATTTTCTGCCGCTGCTCGGTTATTTCCAGAGCCTTGATCAGCTGAGAGTTCTCCACATACAGGTCTTTGATCAGCACATCTGCTTTGCCATTTCTATGCAGCTGAAAGAATCAAGAGAAATAAAATGAGTCGTATTTAATGTGCATTTACACTCTGCAATATCTGCTTGTTGCCGATGAAACCTTTAATGGTTTATAATTTACTGAGGTGTAGTAAATGTAGCTTTTTGATGACACATCTACTCAGTTTGCTTTAATAACAGTAACTGACCTGGTCCTTCAGCTGAGAGACTTTCTCTTTCAGCAGCAGCTTGACGTTATGCAGCGATAGTTCAATTTCTTTCATGCGTTCCTCCATGTTTTTCATCTTCTTCTCCCTTTCATCCTGGTGAAAAGACAGTGAGGTGTGAATGAAAAAAAATGCAGATGCAGACACTTTGAGATAAATAAGAATTTTACTTCATATTGATCTTAGAAACATGGTTTGAAGAAAACTGAAACACCATACAGACATTTGGATGTATTGTGAGATGGTTGCTTTATTTTAGATGGATTTTTTGCAGAATTCAAGTTTAGATACAGTTTAAAATATTGTCCCTTAATGAATAAATAAAAATAAATATGATTAAAATAATTCCAAAATAAACCTACAAAAAATAACTTAATACATAAATAGAAAGTTAGCGTGAAATAAATACTCAAAAAAAACACAAAAAAAAAAAAAAAAAAAAAAACACATTTTAAACATTTGGGGGGAAAAAAGTGACTCATCTTAAAACACAATATGAGAAGATAAACACATTGGGACAGGATACTAATTAAAAAATAAATATTAGTATAATAAGCAGTGAAATGAAAATGTAAACAAGTTGGTGTTAGAAAAAAAAATAAAACACATTCATTTTGGTTGTGAAGCAGCAAAAGAAACAGGTCCAGAACACATTAAACTAGGATTTACCAACTTAAAAATGAAAAAATAAATAATAAAACATAAAGTAACAGGCTGGCTGTCCATAATGGTGGGAAAGGAGCCCCAAGGTTTGACCTCTAAGGATTTAAACGTCACATTTATTAAAAATATAAAAGTATGTCAATACAAATTTACAAAACAATCAACCAGCATTAAGATTTCCTGATCTCAGCCAAGCTTTGCAAACTTTAGAGGAAGTCGCATCAGTTTGTCAATATTTATAATGTAAACGTTACATTTGGTAAAAAAAAAAAATTCTGGTAATAATGCAACTGTACTGTAATCCACTTTCCACCAAATGAAAACAAACTAGCAGGATTATTATTCTCTGCTCTTTACTGCCACCTAGCTGCAGAGAAACAACCTGCAGGCCTTTTGAATCATCTGTTCACAGTCTTCCACAAGGATGTGGGAAGCTCACGGTTTCACGTGTATCGCTTTGATTTTATTTGCTTCAAATATCACAGCAGTAGAGGAGAAGGGAAAATTAAAGCATGGAAGAAGAGGAAGAAGAAGAAGCAGGCATCATAATCCACCGATCCGCCTGAAGATGTCAGCGTGAGCGGCCCGTTGCTCCGGCATCGCCCCCTGGAGAGAAAAGGCAGGAACACTTCACCAGAGGTCTACCCTCTCCTTCAATCCTCAACATCCACACACACACACACACACTAGAAATAACTAGAAACCCGTTCAATTAACTGGAACTGCATGAAGTGAGCAAAATACGACGAAATTATGAGAAAAGGAGCTTGTAGTAAAGGCACTTATGGGAATTTATACCGATATTCACAGATAAAATGAGCCTTTCAAAAGTAAATATTTGTATCCTATGTTCTGTTATATGCTACTTTTTTTACTAATACAAATCTGAGAACTGTGGAGTAAAAATCTGGACACCCTCTTTACAACCTTAAATAAAATCCAGTTCAACCAGTTACCCTAAATAGTAAAGAAAGGTCCAATAGGGTGTAACTAAACCGCAGTAGAATTACTAGGCTATCCAATGAAAAATGAAGAGATCTACTGGTCAGAGGGGGAGTAGCAAAAAACGAAACACTGCATGTCACCCATTCCCTGAGTCTAACATGGTTAAGGTGGCATCATGCTGTGGGGCGGCCTGGCTTACTTCATATGTAACCAATAAACAGGTAGTTCATCTGAGCAGGCTTAGACTCCCCGGCCAAAATGTACTCGACCAATCACAGTGCAGGAAGAAGGAGCTTACAATACATCACCATCAGTGCCAAATTACCCATAATGCAGCAGTGCTTTCTCTAGGAATAAAAGTCAAAATAGTGCTTGCAATGGAGTGATGTTATAATGGTGCCTTCATTGTGTCCTGTAAAAGCTGGACTGCAATAACTGGCTGCTCTAAAGGCATTTCTTTTTAAAGGCATCCCCTCCATAGTCTGCTTGGTTCTAGTCCACTGGCTGAGGGGCTGCTGTGCTTCTGGAGCTTTAACAGAGACACTAACGCTGGTCTAACCAGGAGGAAAACCTGTCAGAAGCTGCAAAAGACACACGGCTAAAGTTTGCCTTTCAGCAGATTGACAACTTGAAGAATTTACAGCTAAAGCTACCGAACATTAACCTGTTGGAATGGCCTAGTCAAAGTCTAACATAGATACAGCGGTGGGCAGCTAACAGCTAACACATAAACTAAGTTTGTTTGGTGGATTGCAGTTTGTACTAACTTTGTAAATCTCTACCAGCACATTAAATTCAGCTAAATCAGCCTTTGAAGCTAAATCCTCCAGTCAAAGCGACATGTTTGTCTGCTGACAGCATGTTTTAAATAGAGTCGTTTGCCTGCGGTTACTTTTCCTTCACCTGAGTAGCAGGACTTCCTCTGAAGGGTGGAGATCTATTTATTTTGGTCTGTGTTATGATTAGCTTGGACACAAAAAAAAAACAATTATTTTGGTCTGCAATGCCCCATAGACAATAACGATGTGAGTGACAGCACCGTGTCCAAAATAGTCATTATTTAGGAGGTTTTTCCAAGCTTTATTTTTCAATAACATTGAGCATTCTGGGCTGGAAATCGATTTGGTGATGAATTTTCTTAGCAGTTAGCATTGGCCTTCACCAGTTGCCCCCCCCCGTTCACGGTTAGTAAAGCTAATATTTTGGTTAGAAACATGGGTTAGTGAAGCTAACTTTATGGGTAGCTGTGCCAATCAGTGCCTAATCCAACTAAGGTCTAGTGCAGGGGTCGGCAACCCGCGGCTCTTTCATCCTTGTACTCGGAGTGGTTTGGGAAAATAAATTACTAAAAAAAAAAAAAAAACAACAACTAAGTATTTAATTGACAGATGAAAGCTTACAGTCCTGCGTAAAGATGAGAGTGGCTTCGTACAGCCCCGATTTGCAGACGCTGTGCGCAGAAGTCCCATTAACCAGATTAAATAAATATTTATGCAGATATTTTGCAAATATTTATTTTTCATTGTTTAGTGACACAGTTTTTTTCCCCCCAATTTATTCTTGAAATTCAGGTCAAGGCTCCGCAACATGCTCTGAAAGCCCAATAATATAAGGATGACAGCTCACGGCATTCTTTTGCTTTTGTTTGCTACATGGATAATTTAAGTTCAGCTTTTTAATTTATTTGAAAGAGACATTCAGACATTGTATTATTTTTTCAAGAATTCAAAATGTTCAAAATGTGTTCATTAGATCAAATTTTATTTTCTCTGTAGCACTTTGTGGATTTCATAAGCAACACACTTTAGTTGTTTATATAATGTGTAAAGGTAAGAAAAAGCAATATATAGAGTGTTATCTTCATTTTAGATAAGATGATAGCCCATCTTCAAAAGGGTAGTCAAAGCACTAATGAGTGTTCTGTACGGCTGGGGTGAACTCCGAAGCATGAAAGGGAAGTTGTTGTTGTTTTTTTAAAAATATTTTTTCTTTCTATTTAATAAATGCGTTCATAAACAAATTCATTTTAGATGTCATAAAGTATTTGCGGCTCCCAGTGTTTTCTTTTCCATGGAAACCGGATCAAATGGCTCTTTCAGTGTTAAAGGTCGCCGACCCCTGGTCTAGTGAGTTAAACTCGATATGTTTTTGTTCACAATATAGGCTCATCTGATCATTATGATGTTATTTCACAAATAAAGAGGAAATATTTCAGTCTCTACATTAGAGATCCTTATAGGGATATGCTTTAAAATAAACTGCAGCTATAACTTCAACAAAAACAGTTTCTACAGAATATGAACTCTGGGGGGGCTCCATATAAATGCTCCAAACTCTTCAGATTTGTATTAGAAAATAAGTCTTCTGTAAAAACAATCAAGTAAATTGCAATCAAATTCACTATATATAAATTCTTCTGTAAGGCACTGCCTGCTATTTTGTTTCATGGTATAATAGTTATATGATCTGAACAAAGATGCAGCGTTTACACAATGTGGTTCTACTGCAAAGGGGGCATCTTCTGCAGCAGCTGCCTGAAGTGTACATTCAGAGTTATATAAAAGGGTAAATTTTTAACTAGTGCGAACACAGAAATACATGTCAAGGTGTTAGCATTAAGAGATAATTATGCGACAGGAGTCACCAAAAAGAAAAAACAAACAGGAACCCGGATCACACCCAGACGATCACTCTACTGAAACACCCTCAGGCCCTGAGATGGAAACTTAAATAAGGACAGTGAGTTTTGTGACACGTTTAAAGCAACAGATGAACACCAAACCCAGAAAGTAAACACCGTGTGGCACGAGGACAGACAGATGCATGGACAGACCTGCGACAGGAGCAATGAATGGGAAAAAAGAAGAGAAAAAGCTCTGCATTCAAACAGAAACAAAAATAAAGATAAAATTAATCAGCTCAGATGTTGGGAGGGGGGTTTTATACCCTAATATTTCAAAGGCTTTTAGTGCAAAACAGTATTTTAATTTTTGATTATCTGCCATTATGCTTCCGTGCACAAAAACACAACAGCAGTAATTTCTTCATTCATCAGCATCCTTAGTTCAGTATATGATGTTTACGCTTTCTTAACTACAGCAGCATCTGAGTTATTAATGTTTGACTGCTGGTCAAACATGCAAACATCCCTACAGTGAAATCTGGTAGTGGCAGTATCATGCTGTGGGGGGGCTTTTCTTCAGCTGGGACAGGAAACATGCTAACTTTTAATAAGACGGATGGAGCTACATTCACACAGCATGTCTGGAATTCTGATTTTATTCTGAAATCCAATTTTCTTGCTGCTGTTAGCATGTCTATAATAACTAGACATGGATCAACACCTTCAAATCCAAGGGGGTTCTCCACCAGAGAAAGGTGGATCCCCCTCTTCTGGTCGGTGGAGAGTCCAAGTATCTCGGGGTCTTTTTCAGGAGTGAGGGACGGATGGAGCGCGAGATCGAGAGACAGATCGGTGGAGCGTCGGCAGTGATGCAGTCGCTGTACTGGACTGTCATGGTGAAGAAGTCGGGAGGGCAAAACTCTTGATTTATTAATAAATCTACTTTCCCACTCTAACCTATGTTCATGAGATCTTGGTAATGACAGACAGGACAAGATCGCGAATACAAGCTGCTAAAATTAGTTTCCTTCGCAGGCTGCGGGACTAAATGTGACCTCAAAACCCTCGGTGGGCGTGCGGCGGGATCTAAGGAGTTCCAATCTTATGGATTAGACTTGCCTATTTCAGCAGGTTGGATCACATTGGGTGTGAAAAGACAAGCAGCAGCTTACCTTCTCCCCCGTCTGTGCTCCCTATTACTCCATTTACACTACCCTTGAAAAACTGATCCATGCAGAGAACGGTCCGAGCTCGGTTCTGACGACCGTTTACACATCGCACTCTCTCGACTCCTCGCCTCCTACTGATGATCTGCGGTATTACTGCCAGTATTGAAGGAGGAAATCAAGCCGTTGGTGGCAGTAATGCACCAAAAGTTGTTTACCAACCGCCATAAAACACAAGAAGAAGAAGAAGAAGAAGGAGGGAATCAAGCAAATCAAAGGCCGTTTCTTGACTTGACGAGAACGCGAGTACGTACTCGCGTTCTCGTCAAGTCCGTTCTTGGCGAGAACGCAGGTAGATCGGACTTGACGAGAACGCGAGCACACAAGCACGTATGTATATTGGAGCAGAAGCAACTCGTGACGTCATCACAGGCAACGTTGTTTAGCATTTCTTTAACAGTCAAAACTATTTATTCCCTACACAAAACATTTTGAAAACAATATTTTTAATTTCTGAAGCTTAAAAAACATTTTTTTTTAATTACCGAACCGCAAAAAACCGCCATCAGAACGAGCGGTAGTTCACACATAACTAGACCGAGAGAAGTGCACTACAGACGGGGTAAATTTAGCCCTGGCTGCGGTTACCCTCGGAGGTCTGCTGGTCACTCTGGTCCGCTCAACGTCTGACTTTTTTTAAAATTTCGCACTAACTCTTTAAACAGGCCACACAGGGAGGCTTCAATGTATAATGTTATCGCCTCAAACAATTTCAAAACGTACTTTTGAAGAACAACAGCAGCAGAAAAGGGAATGTTTAACTTACCACTGTGAGCGCTGTCTGGAATCAAGCTGCGGCCGCGGGGCATTCTGGGGAAGCGGTCAGTCTGAAGAACGCACAAGTCTGCTCTGATGCAGATAAAGATGATGATAAAGAGGGCGGGGTGAGAACAACATCCGGGGATTTGATGCGTTCTCGATCTGGCGTTCTTGAGAATTGGAACGGTACTCGGGCTGAGGCTGATGACGTGTCACGAGCACACGAGAACGCTCAAGAACGCATATTGAGAAACAGCCTTTAAAATGTTGCGTGGAGAAGATTTCGATTGTTGTTTATAGTTGTTCTTCTTCTTCTGTTTTGTGTTGGTTGGCAAGCAACTTCCGGAGGAGCATTACCGCCACCTACTGGAATGGAGTGTGAATCGGGATGTGCAGCCAGACGGAGATGACGCGTTCTGCTCATGCGCTCTTGTTATCAGAGAACCGAGCCAGGGAAAAACCGAGCCGGGCCTACCTCTGGAACTGGTCTGCAGTTAGCTCGGTCCGGTTGTGTCTAGCTCGGTTCAGTTCAGTTTGCTTTCCATTTACACACCATAAGTTATCTCAGTTACTGAGCTCGGACCGGCCTCGGCACAGTTTTTCAAGGCTAGTGTAAATGGGGTATACGTCTCTGAGCTGGCCTGGTTTTGCCTTGGGGTTCCCTCAGAGCAGCTGGCGGAGGTGCGTGTGGATCAGGAAGTCTGAGCATCTCTGTTTAGACTGCTGCCTCGGCAACCCGGCCCCGGATAAGCGGAAGAAAATGGATGAATGTCTATCATACTGCTAATTAAATCCAACAGCTACCAGGCTGGTTTAGGATTGGTTCAGGAAACTAAACACAACTTCTGCATGTAGATGAAGAATGTAGACATCACATAGCAGTGTAAGGTTTATGGAAGTAATGAGGGATGTGACTGTTACTAAAACAAAATGGCAATGATGTAAAAGTCAGACGAAACTGCAGACATTATTGGATATGTTCCTGATTACGTTCCAAATATGGAAATAGCTTTAAAATGATTTTTTCTGGAGTGATGAGAAGATTGGAAATTAGCCATTTGGAGTAAAAAAAAAAAAAAAAAAAAAAAAAAAAAAAAGTCATTTGTGAGTAAAATCAGGCAAAAAGATCCTATTTGGGTTGAATTTGCTGCTGTGTGAAGGTAGCCTTAGAAGCTACTAAAAACATGAAACTGGAGGATGGAGGAATCACAAAATCCCAATGAGATACAATAGTGGTTGGAAATTGCTAAGTCATTTCATGTTAAGATTTTTAAGGTGGAGGGGGGGTGAAACATGTTGCAAAACAAATTTTGAATACCCCCCGAACTTCTATTACAACAATCATGTTATAAATAAGTTTAACAGGCAGATATGAATGTTTTTAAGCAGCTGAACTAAATGGATGAAATAAAACCTCCACAGTAGCCCATTAGAACCGATGATGAAACAGACGGTGCACAGGTTCCGCTTTGAGACATCAGTTAACAGACAACCCCAGTGTGACACAAAGTAACGACAGAGCGGTGAAAAATGGAAGAAGGTGGAAGTAATGCATTATACAACGTGTAACGATGCTGTGCCGTGGCATCCTGAAAATTTAATAACTCTTGTCTGTTTTTTTTTTTTTTTATTATTGCAGAGTAAATCTAGAGCTTTTGGACACATCTTTTAGTTCATAAGGGGTTTTAATTGTGCCGTACCTGCATGTTGTCTGGATCCTCGCCACGCTGCTGTCCCCTTGGCCCCCTCTGAGGTGATGCAGGAAGAGGTCCGCCGAACTGCACCTGAAACGACTAAAACCACAAAAGAATAAATCAACAGTTAAAGATGGAAAATATATTACAAGCAGCAGTGTTGTGGTCAAGACCACCTAACCCGAGACCAAGACAAGACCAAGACAGAGGGAAGTCGAGACCGAGTCAAGACCAAGACCAGCGCCAGTATGTGACAATAAAATGTGAAACATGATCAAAATCACTAAAATTGATCTAAAAGACCCACATTCACATAAAAACACCTAGATATTTAACACACAGAACTGGAATAAACATTAACATCTTTATTTAGTACTTCTGTGTAGTAATCACAGAATTTCAAACAATTAATCAAAGTCGATCAAACTTGTATTTTCTCTGCCTTTCATGAACAGTACATACATTTATGTTGTTTTTAAATGTGCTATTTCAAAACAATGTGCAAAATTCTGTAAAATGTGTAAAACTGAAAAAAATGCCATTCATTTCTCTTGTTTCTCTCTCATATCCAGATTAAAGCTATATTATATAACTTTTCTTAAATAAATCTATATCCGTCACCAAGTTGTGAAATATGTTATGAGACAGATAATTTGTTGAAAAAATAGATTGGATTTGAATCCAAGCATCCAATAAAAAGAAGGATCTTAAAGAAACTGATAATATACCGATGATTGGCGTTATTTCCACAGTTGTGGTCTTGACCGGTCTTGAAATAAAATGCAGAGTCCTCAGCGCCCGAGACCGAGACAAGACCGAGACCAAATGTGGTCAAGTCCGAGACGAGACGAGACCATCAAAAAATGGTTTTGAGACCAAGACCGATCTCGAGTACTACAACACTGACAAGCAGGGATTGATTTTATAGACAGAGGTAAAGTGTACCTCCATCAGCTGCGTTGACAGTCGAGACATCTGCGCCTTGAGCGCCTCGTTTTGTTGTTGAAGACTTTCCAGTTCAGTGTTGCTTTGCTCAGCATCACAGCCCTGAAAAGAATTTAACAGAATAAGGAAACTGTTGCTTTATAAGCAATCTCTAATAAAAAATAAAATATAAAAAAGGGGAAGATTTTCACCTTTGTTAGCTCGCTTTTAGCACTGAGCTCCTGTTTCAAGGAGGCGTTCTCCTGTTCCAAGGCCCTCAGAAGGGAGGAATGACTTTGTTGTTTCTGTTTGTTCAGGGAGAGGATTGTAGCATCATGTTGACGGATCTAAAGGCCAAAAACCAGACATTAACATTTTTTTCTGTAAAATAAAGGTACTTTGATGCAGAGATTTCCAATCATATTTCTGTGGTTGCTCGGTTTGAGCTACCTTTTCTCTGGACTGGACGAGTTCAGTGTTGATGCTGTGTAACTCAGCTTTCAGCCTCTCGTTTTCTTGCCTCAGCAGCTGCTGCTCCTGCTCCATCAGCCTGGAGAGCCCTTCTCTGTACAGCTTCTTGCTCTGACTCTGCAGGCCGCTCGAGTGCAAGGCCATCTCTAAAATATGGTTCTGAGATTAAAACAAAAAGGTCACGCCTTTATCCGGCATCAAGCCTCTGCTTTTGTTAGAGATTCTAGAAGAGAAAAACAAATCTCACTTTATCGCTTGCATTCTGCAGTTGTTTTCGTAGCACAGTAACCTCATGCTTCAGGGAATCCCTCTCCTGCTGCAAAACCTGGACGTCAAACTTCAGGCGACTGTTCTGTCGGTTTACGACTTTGACGCTTTCATCTGCAGATTTCAACTGGAGTGGGGGGGGAAGAAAATTAGATTAGATGTAAAACACATTGTTAAGGATTTAAACTTTACAAAACTAGACAAGACTTTGTTGCAATTTAGAAAAAAAACACTAGGTGATCTGTCTAAACTTAGTTTTTTTTTTATCAGGTAATAATTCTGGATGTTCTACTTCCTTCAAACTCCTACCTGCTCTTGAGTTTTAGCTAGCTGGTTGCGCAGACCTGCGCTCTCCTTATCCGCAATCCTCCGCTCCTCCTCCAGATGGCCGAGCTGATTCTCCACAGATTCCACACGGACCGCCTGAGATGAAAGAAGTGAAGCGGTTTCCTTAGCAACGCTGCCATGACATCTTTTCCTTGAAGTTCATTCGATTCTTTCACACATAAAAACACTTACAGAAAGTGTTCATGTCTCAATATGTTCTAATACAGCTACAGGACATTTTATAAAAAAATAATAAATACTTGGTAATAAATACCTGAAAAGTGCGGTGTGCATTTGTATTCCCTCTCCCTCCGTAAATGATTAATTCAAGTTCTTACCCTAATTCTGCAGATAAGAAAACTGCAGGTCTTTTGTGTCAAACAGCTTTATTTGTTTACAGGTGACATCTTTGTTTATTCTTAGAAAAAATAGCTCAAGCTCAGGCAGGTTGAATGGAGAACACCTGAGGGCCAATTAATGGTTAGTTCTTAATGAATTTGTTCTGAACTTTGAAGGATCAATTTCTAACTCCTGAAGAAGAGCATAATGCTGCGACTAATAATTTTGTGACGTTGCTGCATAAAATTAATTTGCTGGAACAAAACAAAAAAGGTTTTAGATATAGGCCTAAAACAGTCTCAGCTAATCAGAGCAGCTTCCTTCTGAGGCTTGTTGGAACCAGTGGTTGTGGTTCTTTGAAGCTCCTCCAAAGTAGCTTGGGTGTTTCATTGATTAAGAGGGCTGCCGTGTCTTGGTAGGTTTGCATTAAAGTCAGCACTCAGCAAGGCGTTTTAAACCTTGTTTATTAACTGAACCCCTTCGTTAAGCATCTCCACTAATTTACCTCTGATGTGTCCCATGGTCTTTAACGCTTTTAATTTACAGATATCCTCCAACAAGCTCTTTAAAGACCAAAAGATTTATGAAAATATGAAGAAAAAAAAAAACCAAATAGCTGGATCCAGCTTTTATCCATAGATCGACAATTTAGACCATTTCTAAAAGTAAATGGGTTCAACAGGATTCTATTTTAGGAACAGCAAAGTAAGAAGCGGTGAAAATGGAAACCATTAACAGATTTTCATAGGTCACAAAAAATTGGAAATTATTCATGATTTTCCTTTGATTATAAGAAGCAGATTGCAAGAAATCTCAGTGACACAGTTTAAAGCATGTATGTTCTGCCTGAATTCTTCTAGAGCTGATTGCTGGACTCCAGATGTTGCTGCTCACCTCCTCCTTGAGGTCAGAGAGCTGTTGTGAGAGCTGGCCATTTCTCTTCGTCAGCTGGGCACAGTCCTCCACAGCTTTCCTTAAATCTGCCTCCATAGCAGAGACACAAGCTGCCATCTAACACAAAACAACCACCAATCAACTACCAGCTACTGACAGCAGGACTGCTCTGCTGTTGATCAACTCTTACCTTGTTTTTCTCTTCAGAGTAGAACGCCTCCCTCTTTTTATTTTCCTTGATCAGCTCTGCAAGTTGCTCTCGTAGACCCTCGGTGTCAGCGACACTTTGAGCATTTTTCTCTGTTAGAGTCCCTTTGTCATCTTCCAGTTGTTGGCTCTGTAACTGCAACTCTGAAATCTGGAGATAAAATAAACCTTTATTACTAGAAAACTAGAAAATGGCCAGAGCTGTTGACTTGATTTTGCAGGGGATTTAATTACCCGTTTGTTGAAAATGTCAGCTGCTTGTTGAGCTGCAGACTTCTCTTTTTCCAAATGCTCCAAAGTTTTTCTGCAATGAGAGAAATTAAACTTTAGGCTAAAAAAAACAAAAACAAGGTGATGACCTGCAGGTAATGTTAGACTTGATTTCTAAAACCACCATGCTCAGCATCTCAAGAGGGATCCCTCAGGGCTCCATATTAAGATTTTCTTATTTTATTTGCATAAATCATTTTGGTCAGATGTAAAAGACAAAGCTGATGACAAAGTTGTTTCCCATCACATAAGTGGCTGGTTCTTATTGCTAAAATAAATAAATAAATCTATAATTTCTTGCATTGCGAATTAATTAATGAATATGAATTAAAAACAACTTCCTTTTCTGGTTGCATATCTTTCTTTCATGATTACTGACCAAGTTTTTCATGGGTCATGAAAACCTATTATCTACCTTATTCTTTTTTTTTTTTTTTTTAACTAGGTTTCATTTTATTCTTTTGCAAATCACTTATTCATTCATTGCTTCACATCCAGTGGACCCAACTTCCTAAATGTGACCTAAACAGAGCAACTAAAACAAAATTTTCATTATTACAAATGAAAAGAAGCCTTTCAAATGCATGTTAAAGACAGCGGAGACAGCACAGTGATTTGATCATTAGGCATCATTTTCTCTGACCATGAGTAGCCCTCTTAGTTATTAGATGTTTCTGTTTTGGACAATCATCACAACGTTTGACTGATTATGAAATAAAAACTATTTTTCTAAATCTTTTCATTGGAGCCTATAATTCTTGGGCATTTTATGCTTTCAATCTCAAAAAAAAGAAAAATCATAAATATGTTGCCTGGAAGTTTGCAAGGAATCTAAATGAATACAAAATAAAATCCTATTCTAAGCCTGTAGATGTCACCTCGCTGGTGGGGAAAGAGCCGGAGCTAGTGTGTGAGGCTGAGAGGTTCCGGCTAGAAATAGTCGGTCTCACCTCAACACATGGTTCTGGTTCTGGAACCAGTCTCCTTGAGAGGGGCTGGACATACTTCCACTCTGGAGTTGCCCACGGTGAGAGGCGCCGGGCAGGAGTGGGGATACTTGTTGCCCCCCATCTCGGTGCCTGTACGTTGGGGTTTACCCCGGTTAACGAGAGGGTAGCCTCCCTCCGCCTACGGGTGGGGGGACGGGTTCTGACTGTTGTCTGTGCTTACGGGCCGAACAACAGTTCAGATTACCCACCCTTCTTGGAGTCCTTAGAGGGGGTACTGGAGGGTGCCCCTCCTGGGGATTCCCTTGTTCTGCTGGGAGACTTCAACGCTCACGTGGGCAATGACAGTGAGACCTGGAGGGGCGTGGTTGGGAGGAATGGCCGCCCTGATCTGAACTCGAGTGGTGTTCTGTTGTTGGACTTCTGTGCTCGTCATGGATTGTCCATAACGAACACCATGTTCAAGCATAAGGGTGTCCACATGTGCACATGGCACCAGGACACCCTAGGCCGCAGTTCGATGATCGACTTTGTCATCGTTTCATCGGACTTGCGGCCGTATGTCTTGGACACTCGGGTGAAGAGAGGTGCTGAGCTTTCCACTGACCACTACCTGGTGGTGAGTTGGCTCCGGTGGTGGGGGAGGATGCCGGTCAGACCTGGCAGGCCCAAACGTGTTGTGAGGGTCTGCTGGGAAGATCTGGCGGAGTCCCCTGTTAGGCGGAGCTTTAACTCCCATCTCCGGCAGAACTTCGAACACATCCCGGGGGAGGTGGGGGACATTGAGTCCGAGTGGACCATGTTCCGTTCCTCCATTGTCGAGGCAGCTTATCTGAGCTGCGGCCGCAAGGTTGTCGGTGCCTGTCGTGGCGGCAACCCTCGAACCCGTTGGTGGACACCTCCGGTGAGGGATGCTGTCAGGTTGAAGAAGGAGGCCTATCGGGCCTTTTTGGCCTGTGGGACTCCGGAATCAGCTGATGGGTACCGGCGGGCGAAGCGTCATGCGGCTCGGATGGTTGCTGAGGCAAAAACTCGGGTGTGGGAGGAGTTTGGAGAGGCCATGGAGAAAGACTTCCGTACGGCTCCGAAGCGATTCTGGTCCGCCATCCGGCGTCTCAGGAGGGGGAAGCAGTGCAGCACCAACACTGTTTATAGTGGGGATGGTGTGCTGCTGACCTCGACTCGAGACGTTGTGGGTCGGTGGGTGGAATACTTCGAAGACCTCCTCAATCCCACCAACATGTCTTCCATTGAGGAAGCTGGGCCTGGGGACTCTGGACTGGGCTCTCCAATCTCTGTGGGCGAGGTCGCCGAGGTGGTTAAAAAGCTCCTCGGTGGCAGGGCCCCGGGGGTGGATGAGATCCGCCCGGAGTTCCTCAAGGTCCTGGATGTTGTAGGGTTGTGTTGGCTGACACGACTCTTCAACATTGCATGGACATCGGGGGCAGTCCCCCTGGATTGGCAGACTGGGGTGGTGGTCCCCCTGTTCAAAAAGGGGGACTGGAGGGTGTGCTCCAATTACAGGGGAGTCACACTCTTAAGCCTCCCCGGCAAGGTCTATTCGGGGGTGCTGGAGAGGAGGGTCCGTCGGATAGTCGAACCTCGGATTCAGGAAGAGCAGTGTGGTTTCCGTCCTGGTCGTGGAACGCTGGACCAGCTCTACACCCTCAGCAGGGTCCTGGAGGGTGCATGGGAGTTCGCCCAACCAGTCTACATTTGCTTTGTGGACTTGGAGAAGGCGTTCGACCGTGTCACTCGGGGGCCCTGTGGGGGGTTCTCCGGGAGTACGGGGTGCCAGGCCCTTTGATACGGGCTGTCAGGTCCCTGTATGACCGGTGTCAGAGTCTGGTCCGCATTGCCGGCAGTAAGTCGGGCTCATTTCCGGTGAGAGTTGGACTCCGCCAGGGCTGCCCTTTGTCACCGATTCTGTTCATTACCTTCATGGACAGAATTTCTAGGCGCAGCCAAGGTGTTGAGGGGATCCGTTTTGGTGGCCTTAGGATTGCGTCTCTGCTTTTTGCAGATGATGTGGTCCTATTGGCTTCATCAGGTCGTGATCTGCAGCTCTCGCTGGATCGGTTCGCAGCCGAGTGTGAAGCGGCCGGGATGGGGATCAGTGCCTCCAAATCCGAGGCCATGGTCTTGAGCCGGAAAAGGGTACAGTGCCTTCTCCGGGTCAGGGGGGGTGTCCTGCCCCAAGTGGAGGAGTTTAAGTATCTTGGGATCTTGTTCACGAATGAGGGAAGAAGGGAGCGGGAGGTCGACAGGCGGATTGGTGCAGCGTCTGCCGTGAAGCGGGCGCTGTACCGGTCCGTCGTGGTGAAGAGAGAGCTGAGTCAAAAAGCGAAGCTCTCGATTTACCGGTCGATCTACCTTCCTACCCTCATCTATGGTCATGAACTCTGGGTCATGACCGAAAGAACGAGATCGCGGATACAAGCGGCCGAAATGGGTTTCCTCCGTAGGGTGGCTGGGCTCTCCCTTAGAGATAGGGTGAGAAGCTCGGTCATCCGGGAGGGACTCGGAGTAGAGCCGCTGCTCCTCCACGTCGAGAGGAGCCAGTTGAGGTGGCTCGGGCATCTGTTTAGGATGCCTCCTGGACGCCTCCCTGGTGAGGTGTTCCGGGCACGTCCCACCGGGGGGAGGCCCTGGGGAAGACCCAGGACACGCTGGAGAGACTATGTTTCTCGGCTGGCCTGGGAACGCCTTGGGGTTCCTCCTGAAGAGCTGGAAGAAGTGGCTGGGGAGAGGGAAGTCTGGGCCTCCCTTCTTAAGCTGCTGCCCCCGCGACCCGACCCCGGATAAGCGGAGGAAGATGGATGGATGGATGGAAGCCTGTAGTTATAAAACTGGAGCTCGTCTGAGTAACTCCCCCATTATCACATTTAAACTTGATGAATTTGGAAAACGATACAGAAGAGAAATTATAGTCAGACTGATGATTTAATGAATTTTACTTTTGTTTTCATGAAGACACCTGAGATGCTTTGCTGAGCTCTGTTAGCTCAGTGTGAAAAACAGCTGATATCATCCAGTCTGTTCATCTGCTTGGTTTGGATGTGTCAAAGCTGAGGGTGAATTTAAACATAAGAAAAACTACATTTTCGGTTGATAAAAGCTTGTTTAATTTTTTAAGTTGGGTCCTCAGAAAGTAAACCAGGTCCCAGCCCTATTTTCTTTTATTACCCAAGAAATAAAATATTTTCATGTACCCCTTGCAATACACCCGTGGACCACTAGGGGTAAGAGACTAGAGGCAGGGCAGCTTTGCACATTATTTAGCTCCCTGCAGCACAATGAGCGAACGTAGATCTGAACCAATGATCTTTTATTAATCAGATATTGTATAATTGAACACTTTCCAAAGGATTGCCTCGACATATATTCCAGTTCTTCTCAGTGATTTATGTCGATAGTCTGCCTTCCATGCCATATTTTCTGGTTATCAGTAAAAGTATGTTATGTTGATCTTTACGGGTTCCTGCTACCAGATTTACCAAAACAACTTTTTGCATTATTGGCAAATAAGACTCTCAAATTATATGAGGAATTTGTTTCTATGATTATTTTTATGCCTTTGCTTTCTTTGATTATGAAGAGTTTCAGTTTGTGTTTCTCACATCAACTCGTCCTTGGCCTCCTTTAGGTCCCCTTCCTTTAGAGCAGAGATGTTTTTTTGCAGTGAGATGTTTTCCTCGGCAAGTCGAGCAGCTTCGGATCTAAAAAGAGATGGCAGTAAATTAAAAAGTCTTTCTACATGCATTAATAACAGAGTGTGCTTCATTTTGAATAAAAGCAACCAACTCTAATACTCAGCATGGTGCTTTTGAGGGATGAAAGCAGCTAAGCTCAGGTGATCTTAGGCTCTTTACATGGAGGAAAATCACAGACGGCAACAAGCTCTATAGGTTGTGACTGGGAACAAAAGGAAAAGTGTGTCTAACATCTGCCCACTAATGGGACGGGGCTAGCAGACGCCACTCGGGATCCTAGCTTTTCACTTTACCTATGAGCCTGAGTGGTTTGGTTAATTATCTGCGACTTGTCTCGGAGTTCTGCGATGGCTCTGCGAAGTTTGCCATTCTCCTCTTCAAATTCCCTGCAACATTCCTGGACACCAACTTCCACGGATTCCTCCTCCAGCCGATCGCAGTGCAGAGAAGTCTCCTCTATGGGTCTTTCTGTTCGTTCACCGTCAGAGGTCGAGTCTGAAAGCTCATCCTGCTTCTCCACTTCATTCAGCAGGTGGAAGAGCTCAGAGTTTTCCGCTCTCATCCGGCTGATCTCGTCCACCAGCGAAGCGTGCCGATGTCTAAAGTCGTGGAAAATGTCAAGCCTACCCTCGAGGCTCCAAACCCTATTTTCCAGCGCATCGTTTTGGTCCCTCAGTTTGGCGTTTTCACACATGCAGTCTTCATACCTGATCTGCAGATCCACCATTTTTAGGCGCTTCGCCTGCAGCTCTTTTACCTGCTCCACTAACAGCAGCGTTTGGACTTTGAGCTTGTAGTTTTCGTCCAAAGCCTGACGAGCAGCGTTGAACTTTTCTCTGTGGTGTTCCAACAAACTTTCGAGAATTTCAGTTTTCTGCTTAAGCAAGGAGATCTTCTCGTGTAGCAGAACATTCTCCTCTGTGGCAGTGTTATATAACGCCTGTAATTTCAGAGTAGCAAACTCGTGATTCTCTTCATCAACAGTTTCAAAACTATTCTGTGCAGATTTCTCCTGGTGTTTGTGCTCACAATCGAGAAGTAGGTCACTTTCCTGTTGGTTACTAAACCCATTTAGTAAACAATTAAACTGAGCATCCTCCAGCGAGAGCTCAGGGTCACCTGCTGTCTCCTGCAGCGTTAAAACCCCAACCACAGTCTCATGATGCTGTTGATCTGCATGCAAACAGCTTCCGCAGTCCTCTTGTGGTTTGGTCTCCTGGTTGCAGGACTCAGCAGCTACTTTATTTTTACCGTCAGTAAACGCCTGAAGCAGGGAGACGTCCTCACCCCGAACCTCACGGGAAACGACGACTTTGTTGTTTTCGACATATAAATACCCGGCGTCAGGTGATCGTGAGTCCGGATCACTTCGCTCAGGGCTTCGCTGTCCAGGGTTCTGATCAGGAGGAACAGCAGCAGCATCATCTTCACACCCCTCACTGAAAACACCAGAGCTTTCAAGCTGCATGTCCTGATTTTCTGACACTTCTTGTTCATCCATCTCAATGGTAGCAGAGTCAGAGTCAACTTCGTCCTCATCTATACTTTCTAAAACATCTTCATCCGGATCAGACAGAGCTTGGCAGGATTCACCATCTTTCTCCTCTATATATGCACTGATATGGTTTGACTCTTTCCAGTTTTTCCCATTTAAAGCAGATAAAAGCTCTTCCTGCAGCTCCTTTATCTTGATTTTAAGAGCATCTCTTTCTGCTCTGAGGGCCTCCACATCAACTTCCTGTGTCTCTCTCAATTTTTCCTCGAGAACCACCAGATTCTCCAGTATTTCCTTCCTCTCAAGCTCAAAGTCCAACGCTGCTTGTTTGAGAAGCGTCTCCAACTCTTCAACTTTAACCCGTAAATCGTCTCGCTCTGTCAGCAGCTGAATCCTCTCTGCTACCTGCCTCTCTGAAAGGGAAATAAACGCGGTGCATTTTGCCTGCAGTTCAGAAATGTTTCCGAGGAGTTCTGCCCTCTCCTGCTTAAAATCTTCCACCGTTTGATTTAGCAGCTGCTCCGTCTGAACTAATCTGTCCTCCGCCTGTGAGAGGAGCTGATGTTTCTCCTGCAGGCGGCTGTGGAGTTCGTTCAGCTGCATGCTGAGCTCTATTTCCTTACTCTGAGCCCTGCTTGTACCTTCCTCCAGTTCATTTAGGAGCTGCCTGTTCTCAATCTTTAGCATATTCATTTCTTCACTGTGAATATTTTCAAGCTCCTGTCGCTCATTCTCCCACTCCTGATCACATCTCTCTCTTTCCTGCTCTACAGCTTCCTCTACTGCTTTTCTTTGGTCTTCTGTAGCATCCAGAACTTTTTGCATCTCCTTTTCCCAGAGTAGCTGTTGATCAGCATGGCTTTTGGAAAGGGTCTTCAGCTCACTTTGGTAACGCTCTTCAAGTTTGTAGATCTGAGCTTGAAAACGCTCTTCTGTAGATTCCTGATCGCATGAGAAACGATCTTCTATGTCTCTGATTCTCTGGGTGAAGCTGATCTCAACTGCCTCCCTGTATGTAGTCAATCAATGTTTGTTACAGAAGAAACATAAAACCTTTGTTATGTTTATTTCTAGACAGAAATGTTTTTTAAAAGACATTCAAATACTCCTGCTGTTCTTATTTTCATATTTTGCCACATTAATACTGCAAACTTGAATGTACACTGCCGTTCAAAAGTTTGGGGTCAGGTTGAAATGTCCTTATTTGTGAAGGAAAAGCACTGTACTTTTCAATGAATATAACTTTAAACTAGTCTTAACCTTAAAGAAATACACTCTATACATTGCTAATGTGGTAAATGACTATTCTAGCTGCAAATGTCTGGTTTTTGGTGCAATATCTACATAGATGTATAGAGGCCCATTTCCAGCAACTATCACTCCAGTGTTCTAATGGTACAATGTGTTTGCTCATTGGCTCAGAAGGCTAATTGATGATTAGAAAACCCTTGTGCAATCATGTCCACACATCTGAAAACAGTTTAGCTCGTTACAGAAGCTACAAAACTGACCTTCCTTTGAGCAGATTGAGTTTCTGGAGCATCACATTTGTGGGGTCAATTAAACGCTCAAAATGGCCAGAAAAAGAGAACTTTCATCTGAAACTAGACAGTCTATTCTAGTTCTTAGAAATGAAGGCTATTCCATGCGAGAAATTGCTAAGAAATTGAAGATTTCCTGCAACGGTGTGTACTACTCCCTTCAGAGGACAGCACAAACAGGCTCTAACTAGAGTAGAAAAAGAAGTGGGAGGCCGCGTTGCACAACTGAGCAAGAAGATAAGTACATTAGAGTCTCTAGTTTGAGAAACAGACGCCTCACAGGTCCCCAACTGGCTTCTTCATTAAATAGAATCCGCAAAACACCAGTGTCAACATCTACAGTGAAGAGGCGGCTGCAGGATTCTGGGCTTCAGGGCAGAGTGGCAAAGAAAAAGCCATATCTGAGACTGGCCAATAAAAGATAAAATAATATAAAACATGGCGGTGGCAGCATCATGGTGTGGGAGAGATCATCTTCAGGGAAAGAGAAGCTGGTCAGAGTTAAGAGCGGGCCGTTATTGTATCATTATCATGATAAGTTTCTAGTCATGATAAGAATTTTGATTTATTGTCCAAGCGATGAATTAAAAGAAATGATGAACCAAAACTCCATAAACTGGGAGAATCCTCCGTATTTTTATTTCCACCATTTTTTAACTTTGTCTTTCATTTATCCCATCGGGGCTTTGATACATTTGAAGAATACAATAAAATGCCGTTACTATGATATATTTAGCGATATTAACAGACTTGCGTCGAATTGTATTACTTGTGGCGGTTATGAGTGCTGTGGTAAGCAGACATAGAGGTACCTGGGAAAGACTTCCAAGAAAAAAATTCTTTTTTTGTTTGTTTTTTTACTGTTACTTTTATCGGTATGATCTTATCACCTAATATCGCTGTAAGGTTTTAAGTGCAAATCGCCCAGCCCTGGTCAGAGTTGATGAGAAGATGGGTGGAGTTAAATTCAGGCCCGTCCTGAACAAAGAGATGCTGTAAAAGATCAATCTGAAGCTAAAAGTCTCTTTACAGAAGGACGACCCTACACACAGAACCAGAACTAAAATAGAAGTGTTTAGATCAAATAGTGGTGGACTATAACTTATTATTATTATATAGCAACACAATTCTATTAAAAAAATGATAAGGACTGTGATTAAACACATTTCTGATATTTCGTTAGACATTTTGGTCTTTGTCTCAGACTGACGATCCAGGTCTTATGTACTTTTATGTGTTCTTACGTAGCAAAATAACTAAATAAGTTTGTACGGGATTCTGTTGAGGAATTTCTGATGCTTTTATTCAGTTTATATCAATATTGAAATTATAATGTATTGGCTGAAATGAAGTAGTGAAATTTAAAGTTGACTTTCCCAGAACTTCTCCGTCTTCGAATAAGCTATTCTGCAAAGAAATAATGGTATAGAAACAGCTCAGAATGCTGTTTTTTTTTTTATAAAGTCGAGGGGAACTATTAGATAAATATGAAACAATTGTTTTTATAAAGGAAATAGAGTATATAAAACAACTGACTGATTCATTACTTTGTTGGTTTATCTGAGGAAACTGCTTAAATCAATTCAAATCCCAGTTTTAATGTGACAAAGAATAAAAAAAATTTCAAGCCACAATTAAACCTAAATACTAAAGTTGATGTAATAAACAAATGACGCCCGACTTGGACCGTGAACTCTCACCTTTCCTTACTGATGTCCCCTCTCAGATTGTCCAACATGGCGCCGAGTGCGTTCCTCTCCTCTGCATGCTTGTTGATGAGCTCCTTCATGGCCGCTGCGTGGCTCTCCTCTAGACGAGCCCTCTCCTCTGCTATCAGCTCCTTCATCCTCCTCTCTTTCTCTTCTCTCTCAGTCTGGATTTTTCCTCTTTCCTCCGTCAGCCTGTCTTGGATCAACCTTTCATAGTCCTCTTCCGTTTGAAGTTTCTCCCTCTCCCACTCTTCTCTTAGTTCTCTCTCCCTTTGCTCAAACTGCTCCTGCAGCTGCAGCCTTTCCTGATGAACTTTTTCCAGGAGGACCTTCTCATGACGCTCCTGAAGCAGAGCTCGTTGGCTCTCCCACTGCTCCCACAGTTTCTTCTCCTTCTCCTCTTGTTCCCTGACTAGTCTCAGCGTCTCTTCCTCAAGCAGAACCTGCAGAGTTGTCTTGTGCTGCTCATCTCGCTGTGCGCTTTCCTTCTGCCACTCTTCTGTTAATGCGTTCACCCTTTCATCACGCTCCTTCTCAAACACCAGCTTGGCCTCCTCTAAATGGACTTCCAGGGCATCCTTCTCTCTTTCCCAGTCATCTAATAACCTTTGCTCCAACTCCTCCTTTTCTCTCTGCAGCTTCTGTCTCTCCTCTGACAGTCGAGCTTCTAGCAGCTGTCCTTGTTCCTCCTTTAGTTTCAGAATCTCTGAAGCATGTTGGTTCCTCAGCTCTTCTATTCTGGAGAGAAGGTTTTCATCCATCTCTGCTTGCTGGCTTTCCAGAGAGTTCAACTGGTCCTCCAGATCAGCAATCTGAGTATGTGCTTCTAGCAGCTGCTGTCTGAGATTTCCAGCCTCATCGTCTTCCTGGTTCTGGAGTTCTTCCATCTCACTGGCCTGCTTTAGCTCCAGGTGAGCCCGTTCCAGCTCTGCCTGCTGGAGCTGGTTCTGAAGCTGCTGAGCATGGCTCTGAGCGCTGACCAGCTCCTCCTTCAAAGCCTGGGCCTCCTGCTGGAACTGGAGGACCAGGGTAGCTTTCTGGTTTTCATTGCTCATCCTGTGTTCTTCCACCATTTTCTCAAATTCACTGATCTGAAAGACAAAAGAGGAACAAAACAAACATTAGGCTTGAAACTAGGGATGCACAATATTGGGATTTTGGCCGATATCCGATATGCCGATATTTTAAAACTCATGTAGCCGATAACCGATATCGATACCGATGTTAAAGCTGGACAAAAATAAGTAGTCATTGAAAATAGCAGTTTTGTTATCCATTTCTGACACTTTGAAAAATAATAAACTCAAATATATTTTCATATGCTGATCTCAAATTGATTTTTAAAAACGCGGTATCGATCTATTTTACTTTCAAAATCTGGTGAAATTTCATCGTTCTGTTACAAACTCTCGTGATATTTTGCAAATTCTTGTGAGATTTTGTTAGTAAAATAGATCGATACCGCGTCAATATATCAACATATAAAAATATGGCAAAATTTCGTGAATTTTCGGGGGATTTCGTAGCATAACGATGACATATAGCAATATTTCATTAGTAAAAGAGATTGATATGGTGTTTTTAAATGGCAATATATCAGCATATGAAGATATTGGGATATTTTAATGGATCAATATTTTTTCCCTCGTCTTTAGAAGTTTTTAAGTCTGTAAAAAAGAAGTTTTTGAGGAAGAAGAAGAAGTAGTATCTTTTTTTTTTTTTTTTTTTTAGACTTTAGAAACTCAGAAGCTGATCAAATATCGGGTTAAATATCGGTGGGGGGGCCGATGTCCGATATTCAGTTTTAATGCCGATACCGATAGGGGGCCGATTATATCGTGCATCCCGTGAAACTTAGAGACAAGAAAAGACTCATCTGAAATTAGTCGACTAATATCTAAAGTAAAATCATGAAATTTTACTACAGGTTTGTCTTGTAAGAAGAAAATGTGGTTGGCAGAAAGGTGATGAATGCCTTCAAAATGCAACAGAAAAACACTGCAAACAAAAAAATGCTGCCATCAAAAATAGAAGCAAAAAACTACAATTAACAGAAAGGAAGATGCAAACAAAAAAATACAAACAAAATGCTGCAATCACAGAAAGGAAATGATAAAACAGTAAACCGGCACCACAAAAAAGAGAAGTGCTCCAGACCACTAGAGGGAGTCAAACAAAGAACAAACCATATTGAACCAAACCCGCTATAGAAGGTCCAGCTGTAATCCAGGAATAAAAAAAAAAAAAAGAAAGTTGCAGCAATAAAAGAGAAGGTTTGTTATCTTTCATTTAATTTTCTAACACTTAATCGTTTAGTTTATAAGTAACACTTTGGTCCAATATGTTTTGTCCGTTGTTTAACTCCCTCTAGGGTTCTGGAGCTCTTTTGTTTTGTGGTGTGAGTTTGCTGCTGTTTACCATTTGCCTCAGTTTTTAAGTAATTACAACATTTGCTTATGGTTGCACTTTTTTTTTTTATTATTTGTAGTGTTTTAATGTTAAAAGTGTAATTCAGGGTTGAGAAATAAAATTTCCCCAGCCTTCAGACACCATAGGGGCCCTGTGTTACCCTACATCACTCAGGCTTTCCCTTAGATGAAAAAGGCATTACGATTATGAGCCAGATAGTAAATGACAAACCTTGCTTTCAAGTTGGTTTTGTAGATTCTCCATTTCCTGATGGTGCCGCTCCTTCAGCTGCTCCAGCAACATCTCAGCTTCAAGGCTCATGCTGAAAGGCTGAACCTCGTCTGAACCGATACCTGGAGACAGATTTGGATCGACAATGGGCGACAGCTCCAGTAGGAACAGATGGGAGAATGCTGGTCTGACACCAGTAAACCCTCTGTTCCAACAATCAAACTTCTCCAAATCATAAACTTATCTTTAATAGTTTTGTAAATTACCTACAGAGTTACTGCTAACCAGTACACCACACACAGCCGCACTTAATTTTTGAAGAAAAATATACATTCTCTTTTATTTTATTGATATTTATAAATACTTACAAAATACTCAAAAGCATTCCTGCCTTAAGCCTGAGTCTTAAACCCTTCTTAGAGCTGTCTTAGAACAGGGAGGAGGTGTCTGATGCTACCTGGGTCGGACTCCATGCCAGGGCTTTTGCTCTCCAGCTCCTCGGACAGAGTTTTACCGCCGGATTCATGAGATCTTCCAAGAGTGTGAAACTCCCGCAGCTCTGACTGCAGCTCATCGATTCGATCCTGCAACTCCTAAACATCAACAGAATGAGGTTAATTTTATATAATCAAGTGCAGATGATATAAACACTCAAAAAGTTTACAAGAAAAATCTTTTAGTTGCAGTTACCCTGCACTGTTCTTCATAGCTGCAGCGTAGCTGTTTAATTCGCTCCTCTTGAAGAAAGAAGTCAGCACTGCCTGGATCTAGGTCTCCAAACTATGGGGAAAAAAAATCACATTTTATACATTTCATATATGGAGATTTTTTTATTTTATTTGAAGTGTAAAAGATTTTTGCACCTTTTCTTTCATGATGTTCTCTAAATTCGCCTGGAGTTTGGTTACTTGGCTTTGCGCCTCTGTGAGCTTTTCAGTGCTGTCAAGCAATTCCACCTCCAGTCGCCTGTTTTCCTGAAAGAAATGCCACAAAGAAAAAGGGTTAGAAGACAATGATGTGATGTATCCAGGACATTTTGCAATGCTTTAAACCATTAGCAGCTAGAGGACGTGCATATACTTATCATATAGTTGCAAAGTGTTTAAATTGATAAATAAAAGTGAAACTGGACTGTTTTTGGCACCTTCAGTGAGATAGAGAGATGATCTCTCAGCAGCGATTCATCTTCCCTGATCTTCTCCATCTCTGCCTCCAGTTCTTCCCGCTGCAGACCTGCCTGCTGCTGCATCTGGTCCATCTCCTTCATCAGCTCCGATCGTACAGCCGCCAGTTTCTCCTTGTAGTCTTGTTCAAGTTTCCTGCCAGCAATAAATACATATTTAGGATATAAATTAAAAAGGAAAACAATAATATAATAAATGGATTACTTTTCAATCATTTAATGACGACAAAATCTTAAATATATGACACAAAATTAAATGACTGAACTGTTCTTTAACTTTAAGACAAGGTAAAGAAATGTTAGCTTTAGGGCTTGTTTTCTAAGAGTGGTT